TCCAAGGGTTGGGGTTCATCAATGGAAGGGGTTCATCAAGAGTTGAGGGTTCTCCAAGAGTTGGAGTTCATCAATGGTCCAGCAGAATCTGGGGGTTCCCCAAGAGTTGGGGGTTCTTCAAGGGTTGGGGGTTCTCCAAGAGTTGGGGGTTCTCCAAGAGTTGGGGTTCTCCAGTGGTTGGGGTTCCCCAAGAGTTGGGGGTTCTCCAAGTGTTGGGGTTCCCCAAGATTTGGGGGTTCTCCAAGGGTTGGGGTTCTCCAAGAGTTGAGGGTTCTCCAAGGGTTGGGGGTTCATCAATGGAAGGGGTTCATCAAGAGTTGGGGGTTCTCCAAGGGTTGGGGCTCACCAAGAGTTGAGGGTTCTCCAGGGGTTGGGGATCATCAGTGATCCACCAGAATTTGGGGTTTCTCCAAGGGTTGGGGGTTCTCTTAGTGTTGGGCTTCCACAAGAGTTGGGGGTTCTCCAAGGGTTGGGGTTCTCCAAGGGTTGAAGCTTCACCAAGGGTTAGGGGGACATCAGTGGAGGGAGTTCTCCAAGGGTTGGGTTGGGTTCATCCATGAAGAGGGTCCCCCAAGGGCTGGAGGTTCACCAGTGGTTGGGGTTTCACCAAGACTTGGAATTCCCCAAAATCTGGGGATTCACCAGCGGTTGGAGGGTCCACCAAGGGTTGGGCTTTCTCCAAGGGTTTGGTGTCCATCTATGGAGAGGACCCACCAGCATTTGGGTGTCCACCACGAGCCGGGGCTCCCCAGTGAAGGAGATTAACCAAAATGTGGGAATTAATCAAAGATAAGAACATTCATCCACCAAACCACCAAAATTTGGGGACCCACCAAAACTCAGCTTTCCCTAAAACCTGGTGGTCACCCCACGTCCCACCACGAGCAGGTCGTGGGTGAACCTCTACTGTGTCCTGGCCAAGGGCGACCTGGGCTTCTACAAGGACGCCAAAGGTCCCGCGGCCGGGGCCACCCACGGCGGGGAGCCCCTGCTGAGCCTCCACCGCGCCACCGCCGAGGTGGCCAACGACTACAAGAAGAAGAAGAACGTCTTCAAGCTCAAGTGAGTTTTGGGGTTGGCCGGTTTTGGGCTGTCTGATGACACTTTTGGGGTCTCTGGTGTCATTTTTGGGTTCTCCTGCTGGTTTTGGTGGCTCTGACACCCGTTTTGGGGTCTCCTGTTTCATTTGGGTGGGTTTGGTGCCGCTTTTGGGATCTCCGATGTCGTTTTTGGGGTCTCTGATGTGATTTTTGGGATCTCGTCGTGATCTTGGTGGTTCTGATGCTCCTTTTGGGGTCTCTGATGTGATTTTTGGGATCTTCTCTTGATCTTGGTGGTTCTGATGCTCTTTTTGGGGTGTCGGACACAATTTTTGGGGTCTCCTGCTGACTTTGGTGGCTCTGAGGCCCCAAAGTCCAGGGGGACACGGTGACAATGTCCTGTCTTGTAGGACCGGCGACGGGAGCGAGTTCCTGCTGCAGGCCAAGGATGAGGTGAAGCTTTGGGGGGTCTCTGGAGGGTTTTGGGGTGTCTCGTGGTGCTTTTGGGTTGGTGATTTGGGGGTTGGGTGGGGTGGTGATTTTGGGGGGTCTGATGGTGATTTTGGGGGGTCTGATGGTGATTTGGGGGGTCTGATGGTGATTTGGGGGGTCTGATGGTGATTTGGGGGGTCTGATGGTGATTTTGGGGGGTCTGATGGTGATTTTGGGGGGGTCTGATGGTGATTTTGGGGGGTCTGATGGTGATTTTGGGGGGTGTCGTGGTGGTTTTGTGGTGGTCTCATACTGATTTTGATGGGTCCCCAATCCCATTTTCGGTGTCCCTGACCCCATTTTCGGTGTCCCTGACCCCATTTTCGGTGTCCCTGACCCCATTTTTGGTGTCCCTGACTCCATTTTCGGTGTCCCTGACCCCATTTTCGGTGTCCCTGACCCCATTTTCAGTGTCCCTGACCCCATTTTCGGTGTCCCTGACCCCATTTTCGGTGTCCCTGACCCCATTTTTGGTGTCCCTGACCCTGTTTTCGGTGTCCCTGACCCCATTTTCGGTGTCCCTGACCCCATTTTCAGTGTCCCTGACCCCATTTTCGGTGTCCCTAACCCCATTTTTGGTGTCCCTGACCCCATTTTCAATGTCCCTGACCCCATTTTCGGTGCCCCTGACCCCATTTTCGGTGTCCCTGACCCCATTTTCAGTGTCCCTAACCCCATTTTCAGTGTCCCTGACCCCATTTTTGGTGTCCCTGACCCCATTTTCAGTGTCCCTGACCCCATTTTCGGTGTCCCTGACCCCATTTTCGGTGTCCCTGACCCCATTTTTGATGTCCCTGACCCCATTTTCAGTGTCCCTGACCCCATTTTTGGTGTCCCTGACCCCATTTTCAGTGTCCCTGACCCCATTTTCAGTGTCCCTGACCCCATTTTCGGTGTCCCTGACCCCATTTTTGGTGTCCCTGACCCCATTTTTGGTGCCCCTGAGCCCATTTTCAGTGTCCCTGACCCCGTTTTCAGTGTCCCGGTCCCCATTTTCAGTGTCCCTGACCCCATTTTCAGTGTCCCTGACCCCATTTTCGGTGTCCCTGACCCCATTTTCGGTGTCCCTAACCCCATTTTCGGTGTCCCTGACCCCATTTTCAGTGTCCCTGACCCCATTTTCGGTGTCCCTGACCCCATTTTTGGTGTCCCTGACCCCATTTTTAGTGTCCCTGACCCCATTTTCGGTGTCCCTGACCCCGTTTTCGGTGTCCCTGACCCCATTTTCGGTGTCCCTGACCCCATTTTCGGTGTCCCTGACCCCATTTTCGGTGTCCCTGACCCCATTTTCGGTGTCCCTGACCCCATTTTCGGTGTCCCTGACCCCATTTTCACTGTCCCTGACCCCATTTTTGTTGTCCCTAACCCCATTTTCGGTGTCGCTGACCCCATTTTCAGTGTCCCTGACCCCATTTTCAGTGTCCCTGACCCCATTTTTGGTGTCCCTGACCCCATTTTCGGTGTCCCTGAGCCCATTTTCGGTGTCCCTGACCCCGTTTTCAGTGTCCCTGACCCCATTTTTGGTGTCCCTGACCCCATTTTTGGTGTCCCTGACCCCATTTTCGGTGTCCCTGACCCCATTTTCGGTGTCCCTGACCCCATTTTTAGTGTCCCTGACCCCATTTTTGGTGTCCCTGACCCCATTTTCGGTGTCCCTGACCCCGTTTTCGGTGTCCCTGACCCCGTTTTGCCCTCCAGGAGGACATGCAGGGCTGGCTGCGGGCGCTGGCCGCCAGCGCTCAGGAACACGCCGAGCTGGCCCGGTGGCACCAAGGCCTCCTCACCACCTCCTCCACCGACGAGGGGCTCCCCCGGCGCGACCCCGACCGGCCCCGGCGGAAGTGACCCCCTCGAACCCCCACTTTGGCCTTCTGGCCCCCCAAAAAACCCACATTTTGGGCTCCTGGCCTCCTCCAAAAATCTGTATTTTGGGGTCCCACCCCCATCACGAGCCCTGGGTTGGGAGTCCCGAGCCCCGATTTTGGGGTGCAGGCCTCCCCAAACTCTAATGTGGGAGTCCAAGCTCCACCCCAAACCTCGGTTTTGGGGTCCTGGTCCCCCCAAACCTCAATCTCGGGGCCCTGGCTTCCCCAAAATCCAAATCTGGAGTCCTGGTTTCCCCGAAACGCTAATTGTGGGATCCTGCCTACCCCAAAACCCGACTTTGGGGTCCTGGCCTGCCCAAAACACCAAATTTGGGGTCCCAGCCGCCTTCTTTCCCCCAGCACAAGCCATAGACAGCCGGGGGGGCCCCAGCGCCGCCGTTGTACAAATGTAATAAAGCACCCGCTGCACCCCAAAATGGGCTGGGGCATTTTGGGGGGGCGTGGGAAGGCTTGGGGCATCCTGGGAGGGTTTTGGGGGGTCCTGAGGGGATCTGGGAAGTCCTGTGGGGGGTTTGGAGGAGTCTGGGGGGATTGGAGGAGATCCTGGGGAGGCTTGGGGGAGTCCTGGAAGGGTTTTGGGGGAGTCCTGGGAGGGTTTGGGGGAGTCCTGGGAGGGTTTTGGGGAGTCCTGGGAGGGTTTGGGGGAGTCCTGAAAGGGTTTTGGGGGAGTCCTGGGAGGGTTTTGGGGGAGTCCTGGGAGGGTTTGGGGGAGTCCTGGGAGGGTTTGGGGGGAGTCCTGGGAGGGTTTGGGGGAGTCCTGGGAAGGCTTGGGGCATCCTGGGAGGGTTTTGGGGGAGTCCTGAAAGGGTTTTGGGGAGTCCTGAAAGGGATTTGGGGGAGTCCTGAAAGGGATTTGGGGAGTCCTGAAAGGGATTTGGGGGAGTCCTGGGAAGGCTTGGGGCATCCTGGGAGGGTTTTGGGGTGTCCTGAGGGGATCTGGGAAGTCCTGTGAGGGGTTTGGAGGAGTCTGGGGGGTTTGGAGGAGATCCTGGGGAGGCTTGGGGGAGTCCTGGAAGGGTTTTGGGGGAGTCCTGAAAGGGTTTTGGGGAGTCCTGAAAGGGTTTTGGGGAGTCCTGAAAGGGTTTTGGGGGAGTCCTGGGAGGGTTTGGGGGAGTCCTGGGAGGGTTTGGGGGAGTCCTGGGAGGGTTTGGGGGCGGCCGGGCTGGACGTGGGGGTTCCCGGTGTTTGTGCGAGAAGGGATGGAAGAGGAGAAGGAGGTGGGGATAGAGAAGAGGAGGAGGAGGACGGGGAGGGATGAAGGAGGAGAAGGAGGTGGGGATAGGGAAGAGGAGGAGGAGGGATGAAGGAGGAGAAGGAGGTGGGGATAGCGAGGGGCAGGAGGAGGAGGAGGAGCGGGGATGGAAGGGAAGGGATAAAGGAGGACAGGCAGGAGGGGACGGGACACAGGAGGAGGAGGAGCGATGGAAGATGAGGGATGAGGGAGCAGAAGGCGGCGGGATTAGAGAGAGGGAGGAGGGGAAGGAAGGGCAGGGAGGGAAGGGCAGGGATGGAGGAGGAGCGGGAGGTGGGCTTAGGGAGGAGGAGGAGGAGGAGGAAAGGGGATGGAAGAGGAGGAGCGGCAGGAAGAGGAAGAGGAGGGACAAAGCGGATCGAACAGGGCAGAGGAATCACGCGGTCGAGCCCTGCCTGAATTCGCAGCCCCCACCTGTGGGATCATCGCCCCCCATCCCGCAGGTGAGCGGGGAGGGGGAGCTCGGGCCCGATCTCCCGGGGGGTGCCTGGGTTGGGTTTTTTGGGGGGATGTTTGGAGAAGGAAGAACTGCGAAGCGGAGCGGAAAAGGCCCCTTGGGGGGACTCCTTGGAGCCCCGGCAGCCCAGAGCAGAGAAGGAGGGGAGAAGGGAGCCCGGGAGCCCAAACAGCCCCGGCACCCCTGGATGGGGAGAGCCAAGAGGGGGGAGCTTTTGGGATCGCTGGGACTCGCGGCAGCCTGGGGAGGGTGGGCAGCGAGGAGAAGGGGGACCCCCAATGCAAGCGTGACCCCAGCAGCTGGGACAGGGGGGAGCCCCGAACAGCAAAGGGGAGGGAGCAGGGACGGGGAACTCCCGGGAGGCTTTTTCAGGGCTGGATCTCGGTGTTCGGGAGGTTTTTATGGAGCCCAGGAGGGCAGGGACTTCCAGAGATGGACTGGGGCAGAGGAGCTTCCAACTCCACGTGCTCATCCCTTGTTTTCCCCAAAGCAGGATTTCCCATTCCCAGCCCCTGGGAGGCTGCGAGGAAGAGGAAGAGCCTCTCCTTGTCCTTCCTCCCCCAGGGCAGGAGCTGAGGATGGAGAGCAGGGAGGACAAATCCCCGCGGCAGAACCTGGTGGGAGAGGCCGTTTTGAGCGGCTCCACGGCGCAGGAACCCGACGGGGAGGAAAAGCCCCGGAGATCCCGCACGAGGAGGGGCTGCAAACGCAGATCGCGGGGATCTGAGGGGGAAAGACCCACCCTGGGCCGGGGAGGCGGCCGGAGATGGAGCCAGAGCACGGAGCTGGGGGTCCCTGAGCAGCTCCATGATGGGGAGAAGCCCCACAAGTGCTCCGAGTGTGGGAAGAGCTTCACATGGAGATCCGAGCTGATCATGCACCAGAGGATCCACACTGGGGAGAGGCCCTACGAGTGTGGGGAGTGTGGGAAGAGCTTCATATGCAGCTCCAAACTGATCACGCACCAGAGGATCCACACTGGGGAGAGGCCCTACGAGTGTTCCAAGTGTGGGAAGAGATTCTCACAGAGCTCCAGCCTGATCAAGCACCAGAGGATCCACACTGGGGAGAGGCCCTACGAGTGTTCCAAGTGTGGGAAGAGGTTTCCGACCAGCTCCTGTCTCCTCCGGCACTATCAGAGTCACACAGAGGAGAGGCCCTTCTGCTGCCCCGACTGCGGGAAGGGATTCAGGAGTAACTCAGACCTCATCAAGCACCGGAGGAGCCACACTGGGGAGAGGCCCTACGAGTGTGGGGAGTGTGGGAAGAGCTTCATATGCAGCTCCACCCTGATCATGCACCAGAGGATCCACACTGGGGAGAGGCCCTACGAGTGTTCCGAGTGTGGGAAGAGCTTCACCGAGAGCTCCAGTCTGATCAGGCACCAGGTGATCCACACTGGGGAGAGGCCCTACGAGTGTTCTGAGTGTGGGAAGACGTTTCCGACCAGCTCCCATCTCCTCCGGCACTATCAGAGTCACACGGAGGAGAGGCCCTTCTGCTGCCCCGACTGCGGGAAGGGATTCAGGCAGAACTCCCACCTCACCAGGCATCGCCGCATCCACACTGGGGAGAGGCCCTACGAGTGTTCCAAGTGTGGGAAGAGATTCTCCAGGAGCTCTCACTTGACCCGACACCAACGGAGTCACCGGTAAGGGAAGCCCTGCGAGTGCCCCGAGTGCGAGAAGAGCTAAACTCCATCCCACACTGGAGGACCCACACTGGGCACAGCCCTGGTGACCCACATTCCCTGTGATCCATGTTGGGAACACACCTGGCTGCTTCTCCTTTTGTGTTTACCTGCATTGTTTTCTGTTCTCCACCTCTCTGTGCTCCGAAAGCCAAGAGGGATCGATCTTTCACCTCAAATCCACTCACATCCCACTGAAAACAACTGAATTTTAACCCTCAGAGACTCAATCCCACCTCAAAAAAAAACTGAATCTCACACCAAACTCACTCGATTCCACAGCTGCCAGGCTGAGATGGGTTTGGGAGGAGACTGGGAGAAGTGGGATCCCAGTTTAGAGCGGTGGGATGGGGATTGTGTGGGGCTGGGTGGCTGCGATGTATTTGATAGCAAATAAAACTTTCAGACTTACTGATTTCTTTGCCGTTCATTCCCAGTCCGTGGCAATTCTGTTTGCTGAGCGCCGCCTCACAGAGCGTCCCCTCACAGTTCCGCCCTTGGCCTGAGCCGCCTCTTTCCCCTCACGGTTTTCCCTTTCCTCGCCCCTTTCCCCTCACGGTTTTCCTTTTCCTCGCCCCTTTCCCCTCACGGTTTTCCCTTTCCTCGCCCCTTTCCCCTCACGGTTTTCCCTTTCCTCGCCCCCTTTCCCCTCACGGTCCCGCCCTTTCCTCGCCCCTTTCCCCTCACGGTCCCGCCCTTTCCTCGCCCCCTTTCCCCTCACGGTCCCGCCCTTTCCTCGCCCCTTTCCCCTCACGGTCCCGCCATTTCCTCGCCCCCTTTCCCCTCACGGTCCCGCCCTTTCCTCGCCCCCTTTCCCCTCACGGTCCCGCCCTTTCCTCGCCCCTTTCCCCTCACGGTCCCGCCCTTTCCTCGCCCCTTTCCCCTCACGGTTTTCCCTTTCCTCGCCCCCTTTCCCCTCACGGTCCCGCCCTTTTCTCGCCCCTTTCCCCTCACGGTCCCGCTCTTTCCTCGCCCCCTTTCCCCTCACGGTCCCGCCATTTCCTCGCCCCTTTCCCCTCACGGTTCGGCCTTCGGGAGCGGGGATTGTGTGGGGCAATATGGGATAAAATAGGGACTGGGGTCAAATAGAGACTGGGATCAGATATGAACTGGGATAAATTAGGGACTGGGATCAGGTATGAACTGGGATCGGGTCTGAACTGGGATCGGGTCTGAACTGGGATCGCCCAGTCCCTCCCAGTCCCTCCCAGTCCCTCCCAGTTCCATCCCAGTTCCCTCCCAGTTTGTCCCAGTTCCCTCCCAGTTCCTCCCAGTCCCTCCCAGTTCCCGCCCAGTCCCGCCCAGTCCCTCCCAGTCCCTCCCAGTTTGTCCCAGTCCCTCCCAGTTCCCTCCCAGTCCCTCCCAGTTCCCTCCCAGTTCCCTCCCAGTCCCTCCCAGTTCCCTCCCAGTCCCGCCCAGTCCCTCCCAGTTCCATCCCAGTCCCTCCCAGTTCCCTCCCAGTCCCTCCCAGTTCCCTCCCAGTTCCCTCCCAGTCCCTCCCAGTTCCCTCCCAGTTCCCTCCCAGTCCCTCCCAGTCCCTCCCAGTTCCTCCCAGTCCCTCCCAGTTTGTCCCAGTCCCTCCCAGTTTGTCCCAGTCCCTCCCAGTTTATCCCAGTCCCTCCCAGTCCATCCCAGTTTGTCCCAGTCCCTCCCAGTTCCCGCCCAGTGGCGGGGGCTGCGGGGTGGGGGAGGGGCCGGGGTCCCTCCCCCCAACCACAAGGTCGGGACTGGGATAAACTGGGAAGGACTGGGAGGGACTGGGAGGGGACTGGGAGGGACTGGGAGGGACTGGGAGGGAACTGGGAGGGACTGGGAGGGACAGGGAGGAACTGGGATGAACTGGGAGGGACTGGGAGGGAATCGGAGGGAGTGGGATGGGACAGGGATGGGACTGGGATGGACTGGGAGGGACTGGGAGGGACTGGGAGGGAACTGGGAGGGACTGGGAGGGAACTGGGATGGGACGGGGATGGAACTGGGATGGACTGGGATGAACTGGGAGGGACTGGGAGGGACTGAGAGGGACTGGGAGGGACTGGGATGAACTGGGATGAACTGGGAGGGACTGGGATGGACTGGGAAGGACTGGGAGGGACTGGGATGGACTGGGATGGACACCACAGGGACGTCCCTTGGGGACACCTTGGTGGCATCAAGGATTTGGGGACACCATGGGGACATTTCCGAGGACACCTTGGGGACATCATGGATTTGGGGACATCCCTGGGGACACCTTGGGGACAGCCTTGGTGACATCCTGGCTCTGGGGACGTCACGGGGACATCCCTGGGGACACCCTTGGTGACATCCTGGCTTTGGGGACATCTCCAAGGACACTCTGGGGACATCCTTGGTGACATCCTGGCCTTGGGGACATCACCGGGACATCCCCGAGGACACCTTGGGGACACCTTGGGGACACCATGGGGACACCCTGGGGACATTGTGGCCTTGGGGACACCTTGGGGACATCCCTGGTGACACCCCAGCTTTGGGGACACCCTTGGGGACACCCTGGGGACACCCTGGGGACATTGTGGCCTTGGGGACACCCTTGGGGACACCCTGGGGACATCCCCGGGGACGTTGTGGCCTTGGGGACACCCTTGGGGACACCCTTGGGGACACCCTGGGGACGTTGTGGCCTTGGGGACACCCTTGGGGACACCCTGGGGACACCCTGGGGACATTGTGGCCTTGGTGACACCCTTGGGGACACCCTGGGGACACCCTGGGGACGTTGTGGCCTTGGGGACACCCTTGGGGACATCCTTGGGGACACCCTGGGGACATTGTGGCCTTGGTGACACCCTTGGGGACATCCTTGGGGACACCCTGGGGACATTGTGGCCTTGGTGACACCCTTGGGGACACCCTGGGGACACCCTGGGGACGTTGTGGCCCTGGTGACACCCTTGGGGACACCCCGGGGACGCCCTTGGGGACATCTCCGGGGACGTTGTGGCCTTGGGGACACCCTTAGGGACACCCTGGGGACATTCCCGGGGACATTGTGGCCTTGGGGACACCCTTGGGGACACCCTGGGGACAACCCTGGAGACATTGTGGCCTTGGGGACACCCTGGGCCAGTCCCGCGTTACCATGGCAACCACAACGCGCCATCTTAACTCCGGGCACGCGTACCCTTTCCTGCCAACCACTTCCGCCCCCCTCAGCCAATCACAACCTCCCGCCTTCCCCACGTGACTCCCGGTAACCGAACAGGGAAGCGCCGCCGTTACCGACCCTACCGGAGCCCGTGACTCGCCCGCGGCCTCAGCAGCGTTGGCGACACCCCCGGGGACACTTTGGGGACACTTTGGGGACAATTTGGGGAGTCACGAGCCCGCTGCAGCCACGTTGCCATGGAAACAACCCCAACGCCGCGGCCGCCATATTTGACATCTTGGCACCGCCGCCATCTTAACTTTGGGCATAACTTCCGCCCTCTCCGCCAATCACAACCTCCCGTTCTCCCCACGTGACTCCCGGTAACCGAACAGGGAAGCGCCGCCGTTACGGACCCTACCGGGGCCCGTGACTCGCCCGCGGCCTCAGCAGCGTTGGCGACACCCCCGGGGACACTTTGGGGACAATTTGGGGAGTCACGAGCCCGCTGGAGCCACGTTGCCATGGAAACAACCCCAACGCCGCGGCCGCCATACTTGACATCTTGGCACCGCCGCCATCTTAACTTTGGGCATAACTTCCGCCCTCTCCGCCAATCACAACCTCCCGTTCTCCCCACGTGACCCCCGGTACGGCCGAACCCGGAAGTGCCGCCGCCGCCATGGATCCCGCCGCTCCCCGTGAGTCTCTGGCGGCGCCGCGAGGGGAAATTCGTGTTTCAAACCGCTTCAAATTGACCTTTTCTTTCGTTTTTAGCCCCAAAACGCCGCGGGCCCGCCCGCTTGGCCGATCCGCGGCCTCTGTTCGAGGACACGAGCGCTACCGGGGCCTCACCGGGCCGCGGCTTCGGGGCTCCGCCGCCGCCGCCTTCGGCCTCGGCCGCCGCCGCCTCCTCCTCCTCGGCCGCGTTCGGGGCGCCCGCGGCGTTCCTGAGCGAGCCCGTGAGCTCCCTGGCCGCGGCCTACGGGAGCAGCCTCGCCTCGCACGTGGAGGGCAACGTGAGCGACCGGGGATAACGGGAATAACCGGGGATAACCGGGAATAACGGGGGGATAACCGGGAATAACGGGGGGAATAACTGCGGAAAAAACTGGGAATAACGGGGGGGAAAACGGGGGGAAATAACGGGAGATAACGGGGAAATAACCGGGAATAACGGGGGGGATAATGGGGGGAATAACCGGGAATAACGGGGGGAATAACGGGGGGATAACCGGGAATAACGGGGGGGGGGGATAACGGTGGAAAAAACTGGGAATAACGGGGGGATAACCGGGGGGATAACCGGGAATAACGGGGAAAAATGGGGGAGAATAACCGGGAATAATGGGGGGGATAACCGGGAATAAAGAGGGGAATAACCGGGAATAACGGGGGGATAACCGGGGAAAAAACTGGGAATAATGGGGGGGAAAACGGGGGGAAATAACGGGAGATAACGGGGAAATAACCGGGAATAACGGGGGGGATAACCGGGAATAACGGGGAATAATGGGGGGAAATAACCGGGAATAACGGGGGGGGATAATGGGGGGAAATAACCGGGAATAACAGGGGGGATAACGGGGGGGAATAACGGGAGATAACGGGGGGAATAACCGGGAATGATGGGGGGAAATAACCGGGAATAACGGGGGGGATAACGGGGGAAATAACCGGGAATAATGAGGGGAATAACCGGGGATAACGGGGGGGATAACCGGGAGTAACGGGGGGGAATAACCGGGGATAACGGGGGGGAATAACCGGGGGATAACGGGGAATACCGGGGGGGAATAACCGGGAATAACGGGGGGAATAACCGGGAATAATGAGGGGAATAACCGGGGATAACGGGGGGGATAACCGGGAATAACCGGGAATAAAGGGGGGAATAATTGGGAATAACGGGGGGGAATAACCGGGGGGAATAACGGGGGGGATAACGGGGGGAAATAACCGGGAATAACGGGGGGGAATAACCGGGAATAACGGGGAAAAATGGGGGAAAATAACCGGGAATAACCGGGGGGGAATAACCGGGAATAACGGGGGGAAAACCAGGAAAAAAATGGGGGATAACGGGGAGAATAACCGGGAAAAATAGGAAAAAAATGCAGAAAAAAGGAGAAAAAAGCAGAAAAAATGTGGAAGAATGGGGAAAAATGAGGGAAAATAGGGGGAAAATGGGAAAAAAATGGAAAAAAAACCCAGAAAAAATTGGAAAAAAAGGGGAAAAATGGGAAAAAATTGGGGGAAAATTGGAAAAACATCTAGAAAAAATGGGGGAAAAATGGGAAAAAATAAGGGAAAAAATGGGAAAAATGGAGAAAAAAAAAAAGCAGAAAAAATGTGGGGAAATGGGAAAAAATAGGAGGGAAAATGGGAAAAAAATGGGGAAAAAGTAGGAAAAATAGGGAAAAATTGGGGAAAAATGGAAAAGAATGGATGAAAAAATGGGGAAAAAATGGGAAAAAAGTAGGAGGGAAAATGGGAAAAAATGCGGAAAAAATAGGAAAATGGGGAAAAAATGGGAAAAAATAAGGGAAAAATGGAGAAAAAAAAAGGCCAAAAAAATAGGGAAAAAACCAGAAAAATGGGGGAAAATGGGGGAAAAATGGGAAAAGAATGGAGAAAAAAACCAGAAAAAATGGGAAAAAAGGGGAAACATGGAAAAAAACGGGGGGAAAAAATCCAGAAAAAATGGGGGGAAAATGTGGAAAAAACAGGGAAAAAAAATGGAGGAAAAAACCCAGAAAAAATGAGGGGAAAAAATGGGAAAAAATAAGGGAAAAATGGGAAAAAATAGGAAAAAAAAACCCAGAAAAAAATGGGGAGTAATGGGAAAAAAATCCAGAAAAAATGGGGAAAATGGGAAAAAAATTGGGGAAAATAGTGAAAAAAATCCAGAAAAAAAAGGGGGAAAAAATGGGAAAAAAGGGAAAAAATGGAGGAAAAACCCAGAAAAAATAGCGGAGGAATGGGGAAAAATAGGAAAAAAAAACAGAAAAAAATGGGGGGAAAATGGGGAAAAAACCCAGAAAAAAATGGGGGGAAAATCCAGAAAAAATGGGGGAAAAATAGGAAAAAAAACCAGAAAAAATGGGGGGAAAATGGGAAAAATGGGGAAAACATGGAGGAAAAAACCCAGAAAAAAATGGGGGGGAAATGGGAAAAAAATTGAGAAAAAAACCCAGAAAAAAATGGCGAAAATGGGAAAAAAATCCAGAAAAAATGGGAAAAAATAGGGGAAAAATGGGAAAAAATAGGGGAAAAATGGGAAAAATGGGAAAAAATGGGGAAAAAACCCAGAAAAAATGGGGGAAAAATGGGGGGAAAATTCAGAAAAAATGGGGAAAAAATGGTGAAAAATGGGAAAAAATAGGAAAAAAACCTAGAAAAAAATGGAGGAAAAATGGGGAAAAAAAAAAAAGGAAAAAATGGGAAAGAAATCAAAAAAAAATGGGGAAAAATAAGGAAAAAATGAGAAAAAACCCCATAAAAAACGGGAAAAAGCCGCGGGAGGAAGGGAAAGCGGCGCGAGGTGGGCTGGGCTGGTTTATACTGGTCTGTACTGGTCCGTACTGGTCCGTACTGGTCCATACTGGTCCGTACTGGTCCCCCCCAGCTGTGCCGCTGGCTGCCCGTGGGCCGCCTCAAGTATTACTTCGCCGTGGATTCTGTTTACGTGGGGCGGAAACTGCGGCTGCTGCTCTTCCCCTTCCGCCACCCGGTACTGGGATAAACTGGGCAAACTGGGCGGGACTGGGAGGGACTGGGATGGACTGGGAGCAGATTGGGGGGACTGGGAGGGGGTTTGGGGGGACTGGGAGGGACTGGGAGGGAACTGGGATGGACTGGGAGGGACTGGGAGGGGATTGGGGGGACTGGGAGGGACTGGGAGGGAACTGGGATGGACTGGGAGGGACTGGGAGGGGATTGGGGGGACTGGGAGGGACTGGGAGGGAACTGGGATGGACTGGGAGGGGATTTGGGGTTACTGGGAGGGACTGGGAGAGACTGGGGGGAACTGGGAAGAACTGGGAGAGACTGGGAGGGACTGGGAGGGACTGGGACGGATTTGGGGTTACTGGGAGGGACTGGGATGGACTGGGAGGGAATTTTGGGGTTACTGGGATGGACTGGGAGGGGATTTGGGGGGACTGGGAGGGGATTTTGGGGGAACTGGGAGCAACTGGGAGGGGATTTGGGGGGACTGGGAGGGACTGGGAGGGACTGGGAGAGACTGGGAGGGACTGGGAGCAACTGGGAGGGGATTTTGGGGTTACTGGGACAGACTGTGAGGGACTGGGAGGGAACTGGGAGGGGATTTGGGGGGATTTGGGGTTACTGGGAGGGGATTTGGGGTTACTGGGATGGACTGGGAGCAGGTTTGGGGTTACTTGGATGGACTGGGAGGGGATTTGGGGGACTGGGACAAACTGGGAGGGACTGGGAGGGAACTGGGAGGGAACTGGGAGGGAACTGGGAGGAACTGGGAGAGACTGGGAGGGACTGGGAGCAACTGGGAGGGGATTTTGGGGTTACTGGGATGGACTGGGAGGGACTGGGAGGGAACTGGGAGGGGATTTGGGGGGATTTGGGGTTACTGGGAGGGGATTTGGGGTTACTGGGAGGGACTGGGAGGGGATTTGGGGTTACAGGGACAAACTGGGAGGCACTGGGAGGGAACTGGGAGGGGATTGGGGTTACTGGGAGGGGATTTGGGTGTTACTGGGGTTACTGGGAGGGACTGGGAGGGGATTGGGGGTTACTGGGAGGGACTGGGAGCAGGTTTGGGGTTACTTGGATGGACTGGGAGGGGATTTGGGGGACTGGGACAAACTGGGAGGGACTGGGAGGGACTGGGAGGGGATTTGGGGAGACTGGGGAGGGGATTGGGGGTTACTGGGGTTACTGGGAGCAACTGGGAGGGGATTTGGGGGGGACTGGGAGGGACTGGGAGAGACTGAGAGGGACTGGGAGCAACTGGGAGGGGATTTTGGGGTTATTGGGACAGACTGGGACAGACTGGGAGGGAACTGGGAGGGGATTTGGGGGGATTTGGGGTTACTGGGAGGGGATTTGGGGGGATTTGGGGTTACTGGGATGGACTGGGAGGGACTGGGAGGGACTGGGAGGGGATTTGGGGTTACTGGGAGGGGATTTTGGGGTGTTTTGGGTTCTTTTGGGGTATATTGGTCTATTTTTGGGTTATTTTGGGCCGTTTTTGGGGTATTTTGGGCCATTTTTGGAGTATTTTGGGGTGTTTTGGGGTATTTTGGGGTGGTTTTGGGGTGTTTTTGGGTTATTTTGGGGTGTTTTTGGGGTATTTTTGGGGTGTTTTTTGGGGTGTTTTTTGGGGTGTTTTTGGGTATTTTGGGGTGTTTTGGGGTATTTTTGGGATATTTGGGGTGTTTTTGGGGTATTTTTGGGGTGTTTTGGGCTGTTTTGGGGGTATTTTTGTGTGTTTTTGGGGTAATTTGGGGTGTTTTGGGCTATTTTGGGGTGTTTTTGGGGTAGTTTTGTGTGGTTTTGGGCTGTTTTTGGGGTATTCCTGGGTTATTTTGGGGTGTTTTTGGGGTATTTTGGGCTGGTTTTGTGTGTTTTTGGGGTATTTTTGTGTGTTTTTGGGGTATTTTGGGGTATTTTGGGGTATTTTGGGCTGTTTTTGGGGTATTTTGGGGTATTTTGGGGTATTTTGGGGTGTTTTGGGGTGTTTTTGGGGTATTTTGGGGTTATTTTGGGTTATTTTGGGGTGTTTTGGGGTTCCTGACCCCCCGCCCCCAGGACTGGCAGGTTCGGTACCAGCAGGACACGCCGGTGGCGCCGCGCTTCGATGTCAACGCCCCCGACCTCTACATCCCGGGTGGGGACCCCAAAACACCCGGGAACCCCAAAATCCCCCCAAAAAAACCCCAAAATCCCCTCAAAACACCCCGGGAACCCCAAAATCCCCCCAAAAAACCCCCAAAATCCCCCCTGGGAAATCCGAAATCCGGCTCGGGACCCCCAAAAACCCCCAAAACCCATCCAGGACCCCCAAAATCCAGCTCGGGACACCCAAAATCCCCCCAAACCACCCCCAGGAACCCCAAAATTCCCCCAAACCACCACCGGGAACCCCAAAATCCAGCTCGGGACCCCCAAAATCCCCTCAAACCACCCCTGGGAACCCCAAAATCCCCCCAAAACCCACCCAGGACCCCAAAATCCCCGGGGAACCCCAAAATCCCCCAAAAAAACGCCTCGGGAACCCCAAAATCCCCCCGGGAACCCCAAAATCCCCCCTGGGAAACCCGAAATCCGGCTCGGGACCCCCAAAAACCCCCAAAACCCATCCAGGACCCCCAAAATCCAGCTCAGGACCCCCAAAATCCAGCTGGGGAACCCCAAAATCCCCCCAAACCACCCCCAGGAACCCCGAAATCCAGCTTGGGACCCCCAAAACCACCCTGGGACCCCTAAAATCCAGCTCAGGATCACCAAAATCCAGCTCAGAACCCCCAAAATCACCTCGGGACCTCCAAAATCCAGCTCAGGACACCCAAAATCCAGCTCGGGACCCCCAAAATCCCCCAAACCACCCTTTGAACCCCCAAAATCCAGCTCAGGACTCCCAAAATCCCCCCAAACCACCCCCAGGAACCCCAAAATCCAGCTCGGGACCCCCAAAATCCTCCCAAACCACCCCCAGGAACCCCAAAATCCAGCTCAGGACTCCCAAAATCCCCTCAGTACCCCCAAAAACCCACCCAGGACCCCCAAAATCCATTTTGGGACCGCCAAAAACCCCCAAAACCTACCCAGGACCCCCAAAATCCAGCTCAGGACCCCAAAAACCCCCTTGAGACCCCCAAAATTGCCCCCAAACCACTCTGGGACCCCAAAATCCTCCCCAAACCCCCCTGGGACCCCCAAAATCCAGCTTGGGACCCCCAAAACCACCCTGGGAACCCCAAAATCCAGCTCGGGACCCCCTAAATCCCCCCAAATCACCCAGGACCCCCAAAATCCAGCTGGGGAACCCCAAAATCCCCCCAAAATCCCCCCGGGAACCCCAAAATCCAGCTTAGGACCCCCAAAACCACCCTGGGACCCCTAAAATCCAGCTCAGGACCCCCAAAATCCACCTTGGGACCCCCAAAATCCCCCCAAAACCCCCCTGGGAACCCCAAAATCCCCCCAAAACCCCCCGGGAACCCCAAAATCCAGCTGGGGACCCCCAAAATCCCCCCCAAATCCCGGGAATCCCAAAATCCAGCTTGGGACACCCAAAATCCAGCTCGGGAACCCCAAAATCCCCCCAAAACCACCCTGGGACCCCCAAAATCCAGCTCGGGACCCCCAAAATCCATCTCAGGACCCCCAAAATTCACATTGGGACCCCCAAAACCCCCCCCAGGACCCCCAAAATCCATCTCAGGACCCCCAAAATCCATCTCAGGACCCCCAAAATCACCCAGGAGCCCCAAAATTCATCTTGGCACCCCAAAAAAACCCCAAAACCACCCCCAAAATTCCCAATTTCCCCCAAATTCTCTCCCCACCCCCTCAAAACCCCCAAATTTCTCAAAAAATTCCCAAAAAATTCCCAAAAATTACCCAAAAATTCCCAAATTTCTCCCTCACAGCCATGGCCTTCCTCACCTACATCCTCCTGGCCGGCCTCGCTTTGGGCACCCAAAACAGGTACAAAAATCCCCTTTTTTCCCCCAAAATCCCCTTTTTTTCCCCAAAAAATCCCTTTTTATTTTTTCCCAAAAATCCCTTTTTATTTTTCCCCAAAAAAATCCTTTTTTCCCCCAAAAAATCAAATTTCCCCCCAAAATCCCTTTTTTTTCCCCAAAAAATCCATTTTTTCCTCCCAAAAAATCCCTTTTTTTCTTTAAAATTCCCATTTTCCCCAAAAATCCCTTTTTCCCCCACAAAATCCCTTTTATTCCCCCAAAAATTCTATTTTTGCCCCCAAAAATCCCTTTTTTACCCCCAAAAAATCCTGAAAACCCCTCAAAAATGTAAAAATCCGCCAAAAAACACCAAAAGACCACCAAAAACCTCAACAAGCCCCCCCAAAAACCCCAAAACCCTCCAAAACACCCCCCAAAAAAACCCCAAAAAAAGGGGAAAAATCCCCAAAAAAAGACCCAAAAAATTCCATTTTTTTGCCTGTTTTTTCCCCATTTTTTTCCCATTTCCCCCTGCTTTTTCCCCATTTTTCCCCGTTTTTTCCCGTTTTTCCCCATGTTCCCCGTTTCTCCCCGTTTTCCTCCCATTTTTCCTGTTTTTCCCCATTTTTCCCCCATTTTTTCCCCAATTTGTCCCCGTTTTTCCCCCATTTTCCCTCCATTTTTTCCAATTTTTCCCCCATTTTTCCCCTATTTTTTCCCCATTTTCCCCCCATTTTTTCCCCATTTTTTTCCCGTTTTTCCCCATTTTTTCTCCACTTTTTCCCCATTTTTCCCCCGATTCTTCCCCTGTTTTTTCCCCCTTTTTTGCCCCAATTTCCCCCCTTTCCCCATTCCCGAATAATGTGAATTTTGGGGTAAAATCGCAGGTTTTCCCCGGCCAGCCTGGGGCTGGTGGCTGTGCTGGAACTTGGAGCAAATTTCCAAACGGGAATTTCACCAATCCCAAAAATTTTTTCCCCAATTTGTCCCCATTTTTCCCCCTATTTTCCCCCCTTTTTCCCCGTTTTTCCCCCTTTTTCCCCATTTTATCCCATTTTTTCCCCATTTTTTCCCTCATTTTTTTCCAATTTTTTTCCCCATTTTTTTCCCATTTTTTTCCCATTTCCCCCCTATTTTCCCCCTATTTTTTCCCCGTTTTTCCCCATTTTTTCCCCATTTCCCCCCCATTTTTCCCCAATTTTTCCCCGTTTTTTCCCAATTTTCCCCATTTTTCCCTGTTTTTTCCCCATTTTTTTCCCCATTTCCCACCCCCATTTTTCCCCCGTTTTCCTCATTTCCAACCGTGAATTTTTGGGGTGAAATTCCAGGTTTTCCCCGGACAGCCTGGGGCTGGTGGCTGTGCTGGAACTCTGATAAAATGTGAATTTTTTGGGATAAAATTCCAGGTTTTCCCCGGCCAGCCTGGGGCTGGTGGCTGTGCTGGAACTTGGAGCAAATTTCCAAACGGGAATTTCACCAATCCCAAAAATTTTTTCCCCAATTTGTCCCCATTTTTCCCCCTATTTTCCCCCATTTTTCCACGTTTTTCCCCATTTTTCCCCCATTTTATCCCCATTTTTTCCCCATTTTTCCCCATTTTTCCCCATTTTTTTCCAATTTTTTCCCCATTTTTTCCCCATTTTTTCCCATTTCCCCCCCTATTTTCCCCCTATTTTTTCCCCGTTTTTCCCCATTTTTTCCCCATTTTCCCCCCATTTTTTCCCCATTTTTCCCCGTTTTTTCCCATTTTTCCCCCATTTTTCCCCTGTTTTTTCCCCATTTTTTTCCCCATTTCCCACCCCCATTTTTCCCCCGTTTTCCTCATTTCCAACCGTGAATTTTTGGGGTGAAATTCCAGGTTTTCCCCGGCCAGCCTGGGGCTGGTGGCTGTGCTGGAACTCTGACAAACTCCCAAATAATGTGAATTTTTTGGGTTGAAATTCCAGGTTTTCCCCGGCCAGCCTGGGGCTGGTGGCTGTGCTGGAACTCTGACAAATTCCCAAACGGGAATTTCACCAATCCCAAAAATTTTTTCCGCAATTTGTCCCCGTTTTTCCCCCATTTTCCCTCCATTTTTTCCAATTTTTTCGCCGTTTTTCCCCATTTTTTTTCCCCATTTTCCCCCCATTTTTCCCCCATTTTTCCCCCATTTTTTCCTCAATTTGTCCCTGTTTTTCCCCCATTTTCCCTCAGTTTTTTCCAATTTTTTCCCATTTTTCCCCATTTTTTCCCCATTTCCCCCCATTTTTCCCCGTTTTTTCCCCATTCCCCCCCTCATTTTCCCCCCATTTTCCCCCCCATTTTTTCCCCATTTTTCCCTGTGTTTCCTCAGTTTTTATCCCGTTTTTCTCCCATTTTCCCTCCGTTTTTTCCAATTTTTTCCCCATTTTTCCCCATTTTTTCCCCCAGTTTTTTCCCCATTTTTTCCCCCATTTTTCCCCATTTTCCCCACCCTAAATAATGTGAATTTTGGGGTAAAATCACAGGTTTTCCCCGGCCAGCCTGGGGCTGCTGGCTGTGCTGGAACTCTGACCAAACACCCGAATAATGTGAATTTTGGGGTGAAATCGCAGGTTTTCCCCGGCCAGCCTGGGGCTGCTGCCTTTGCTGGAACTCGGAGCAAATTCCCAAATGGGAATTTCACCAATCCCAAAAATTTCTTCCCCAATTTGTCCCCGTTTTTCCCCCATTTTCCCCCCCCGTTACTTCCCCTGTTTTTCCCTATTTTCCCCCATTTCCCCCCATTTTCCCCCAATTTTCCCCCATTTTTTCCCCAATTTGTCCCTGTTTTTCCCCCATTTTCCCTCCGTTTTTTTCAATTTTTTCCCCGTTTTCCCCATTTTTTCCCCATTTTCCCCCCATTATTTCCTCATTTTTCCCCATTTTCTCCCTGTTTTTCCCCAAATTTTCCCCATTTTTTTCCCGGCTTTTCCCCAATTTTCCCCAATTTTCCCCCAATTTGTCCCCATTTTCCCCCCATTTTCCCTCAGTTTTTTCCAATTTTTCCTCCGTTTTTCCCCATTTTTTCTACATTTTCCCCCCGTTTTTTTCCCATTTCCCCCTATTTTTTCCTGTTTTTTCCCCATTTTCCCCCATTTTTTCCCCAATTTCCCCCCATTTTTCCCCAATTTCCCCCCGTTTTCCCCCCATTTTCCCCCGTTTTTTCCCCATTTCCCCCCCATTTTTCCCCATTTCCCCCCCATTTTTCCCCATTTCCCCCCCATTTTTCCCCATTTCCCCCCCATTTTTTCCCCGTTTTTCCCACCCCAAATAATGTGAATTTTTGGGTTGAAATCCCAGGTTTTCCCCGGCCAGCCTGGGGCTGCTGCCTTTGCTGGAACTCGCAGCAAATTCCCAAACGGGAATTTCACCAATCCCAAACATTTCTTCCCCAATTTGTCCCCGTGTTCCCCCCATTTTCCCCCCATTTTTCCCCATTTTTCCCTATTTTTCCCCCCCATTTTCCCCCAGTTTTTCCCCAATTTTTCCCCATTTTTTTCCCGGCTTTTCCCCAATTTTCCCCCATTTTTTCCCCAATTTGTCCCTGTTTTTCCCCCATTTTCCCTCCGTTTTTTCCAATTTTTCCCCTATTTTCCCCCCATTTTCCCCCCGTTTTCCCCCCATTTTTTACCCATTTTCCCCCCCTATTTTTCCCCATTTTACCCCCATTTTTCCCCCATCCCCCCCCGTTTTCCCTCCATTTTGTCCCCGTTTTTCCCCCATTTTCCCTCCGTTTTTCCAATTTTTCCCCTGTTTTTCCCCCATTTTTTCCTCATTTTCCCCCCCCCATTTCCCCCCGTTTTTCTCCCATTTTCCCTCAGTTTTTCCCCATTTTTCCCCTATTTTCCCCCCATTTTCCCCCCATTTTTTACCCATTTCCCCCCCCTATTTTTCCCCATTTTACCCCCATTTTTCCCCCATTCCCCCCCCCGTTTTCCCTCCATTTTGTCTCCGTTTTTCCCCCATTTCCCCCTCAGTTTTTTCCAGATTTTTCCCAATTTTTCCCCCATTTTTTCTCCATTTTTCCCCATTTTCCCCCCATTTTTCCCCTGTTTTTTCCCCGTTTTTTTTCCCATTTTCCCCCCAATTTCCCCCTTTTTTCCCACCCCAAATAATGTGAATTTTTGGGGTGAAATCGCAGGTTTTCCCCGGCCAGCCTGGGGCTGCTGGCTGTGCTGGAACTCGGAGCAAATTCCCAAACGGGAATTTCACCAATCCCAAAAATTTTTTCCGCAATTTGTCCCCGTTTTTCCCCCATTTTCCCTCCATTTTTTCGAATTTTTTCGCCGTTTTTCCCCATGTTTTTTCCCCATTTTTCCTCATTTTTCCCCATTTTTTCCCCATTTCCCCCCCATTTTTCCCCCATTTTTCCCCATTTTATCCCCATTTCTTCCCCATTTCCTCCCCCATTTTTCCCCGTTTTTCTCCAATTTTCCATCAGTTTTTCCCCATTTTTTCCCCGTTTTTCCCCATTTTCCCCCCATTTTTTCCCATTTCCCCCCCCTATTTTCCCCCTATTTTTTCCCCGTTTTTCCCTGTTTTTCTCCCATTTTCCCCCATTTTCCCCCCATTTTTTCCCCATTTTTTCCCCGTTTTTTCCCCCCATTTCCCCTATTTTCCCCCCCTTTCCCCACCCCAAATAATGTGAATTTTTGGGGTGAAATTCCAGGTTTTCCCCGGCCAGCCTGGGGCTGGTGGCTGTGCTGGAACTTGCAGCAAATTCCCAAATAATGTGAATTTTTTGGGTTGAAATTCCAGGTTTTCCCCGGCCAGCCTGGGGCTGGTGGCTGTGCTGGAACTCGCAGCAAATTCCCAAACGAGAATTTCACCAATCCCAAAAATTTTTTCCGCAATTTGTCCCCGTTTTTCACCCATTTTCCCTCCGTTTTCTCGAATTTTTTCGCCGTTTTTCCCCATTTTTTTTCCCCATTTTCCCCCCATTTTTCCTCAGTTTTCCCCATTTTTTCCCCAATTTGTCCCCATTTTTCCCCCATTTTCCCTCCGTTTTTTCCAATTTTTTCCTCATTTTTGCCCGTTTTTTCCCCATTTTCCCCCCATTTTCCCATTTTTCCCCATTTTCCCCCTATTTTCCCCCCATTTTTCCCCCATTTTTCCCCATTTTATCCCCATTTCTTCCCCATTCCCCCCCCCCATTTTTTCCCCGTTTTTCTCCAATTTTCCCTCAGTTTTCCCCCATTTTTTCCCCATTTTCCCCCCATTTCCCCCCCATTTCCCCCCCATTTTTTACCCATTTTCCCCCCCTATTTTCCCCCATTTTTCCCCATTTCCCCCCCATTTTTTCCTGTTTTTCCCTATTTTTTCCCCCTATTTTCCCCCCATTTTTTCCCCCGTTTTTTCCCCATTTTTCCCCCAATTTCCCCCCCTTTCCCTACCCAAAATGTGACTTTTTTTGGGTTGAAATCGCAGGTTTTCCCCGGACAGCCTGGGGCTGGTGGCTGTGCTGGAACTCTGATAAAATGTGACTTTTTTTGGGGTAAAATCGCAGGTTTTCCCCGGCCAGCCTGGGGCTGGTGGCTGTGCTGGAACTCGCAGCAAATTCCCAAACGGGAATTTCACCAATCCCAAACATTTCTTCCCCAATTTGTCCCCGTGTTCCCCCCATTTTCCCCCCATTGTTTCCCCATTTTTCCCTATTTTCCCCCCCCATTTTCCCCCAGTTTTTCCCCAATTTTTCCCAATTTTTTTCCCGGCTTTTCCCCAATTTTCCCCCATTTTTTCCCCAATTTGTCCCTGTTTTTCCCCCATTTTCCCTCCGTTTTTTCCAATTTTTCCCCTGTTTTGCCCCCATTTTTTCCTCATTTCCCCCCCATTTCCCTCCCCTTTTTTTCCTCATTTTCCCCCCATTTTTTCCCCGTTTTTCCCCATTTTCCCCCTGTTTTTCCCCAATTTTTCTCCATTTTTTCCCCGGCTTTTCCCCAATTTTCCCCCATTTTTTCCCCAATTTGTCCCTGTTTTTCCCCCATTTTCCCTCTGTATTTTCCATTTTTTTCCCCATTTTTTCCCCATTTTTCCCCCGTTTTTCCCCATTTTCCCCCCATTTTTCCCCTGTTTTTTCCCCATTTTTTTCCCCATTTTTTCCCCCCTATTTTTTCCCATTTTCCTCATTTCCAACCATGAATTTTTTGGGATAAAATTCCAGGTTTTCCCCGGACAGCCTGGGGCTGGTGGCCAGCTCGGCGCTGGCCTGGCTGCTGCTGGAGGTTCTGAGCGTCCTCCTGAGCCTCTACCTGGTCACCGTCAGCACCGACCTCACCCCCATCGACCTCCTGGCCTTCGCCGGCTACAAATACGTGGGGTCAGTACCCAAAATCCGCATTTTTCACCCCAAAAATCCCTCCCCGACAGCCCCGAAAAAATCCCACTCGGAATGCCCCGAAACGGCCAGAAATTCACCCAAAATCTCCACGAATTCACCCAAAATCTCTGCAAAAATGTCCAGAGTCCCTTCAAAAAGTCAATTTCCAAGGCAGGAAAATTCAAAAAAATGAAGAAAATTCGTCAAATTTGGTGGTTTTACTCAAAAATCCCAATGAAAGCCCAGAAAAGCCCTGAAATGGCCACAAATTGCCCCAAAATCGACACAAATTCACCCAAAATCCTGCTTGAAACATCCTGATTCCCTTCAAAAAGTCCCTTACCAAGGTAGCAAAATCCAAAAAAATCAACAAAATGCCCAAAATGCCCCAAATTTGGTGTTTTTACCCAAGAAATAAAAAAGGTCCCCTTGGAATGTCCCAAAATGGCCACAAATTCCCCCAAAATCGACACAAATTAACCCAAAATCCTGCTTGAAACGTCCTGATTCCCTCCAAAAAGTCCCTTCCCAAGACAGCAAAATCAAAAAAAATCAACAAAATGCCCAAAATGCCTCAAAATGCACCAAATTTTGTGTTTTTACCCAAAAATTACAAAAGATCCCCTTGAAATGCCCCAAATTGGCCACAAATTGCCCCAAAATCGACACAAATTCCCCCAAAATGTCCACGAATTCACCCAAAATCAGCACCGACCTTACCCCCATCGACCTCCTGGCCTTCGCCGGCTACAAATACGTGGGGTCAGTGCCAAAATCCGCCTTTTTCACCCCAAAAATCCCTCCCCGCCCGCCCCGAAAAAATCCCACTCGGAATGCCCCGAAACGGCCACGAATTCACCCAAAATCGACACGAATTCACCCAAAATCGCAGCAAAAATGTCCTGATTCCCTCCAAAAAGTCCCTTACCAAGGCAGCAAAATGCAAAAAAATCAACAAAATGCCCAAAATGCCCCAAATTTGGTGGTTTTGCCCAAAAATCCCAATGAAAGCCCAGAAAAGCCCTGAAATGGCCACAAATTCCCCCAAAATCGACAAAAATTGCCCCAAAATCCTGCTTGAAACGTCCTGATTCCCTCCAAAAAGTCCCTTCCCAAGGCAGCAAAATCCAAAAAAATCAACAAAATGCCCAAAATGCCCCAAATTTGGTGTTTTTACCCAAGAAATAAAAAAGGTCCCCTTGAAATGGCCCCAAATGGCCACAAATTCCCCCAAAATCGCCACAAATTCACCCAAAATCAGCACCAACCTCACCCCCATCGACCTCCTGGCCTTCGCCGGCTACAAATACGTGGGGTCAGTGCCAAAATCCGCCTTTTTCACCCCAAAAATCCCTCCCCGACAGCCCCGAAAAAATCCCACTCGGAATGCCCCGAAACGGCCACAAATTCACCCAAAATCGCCACAAATTCACTCAAAATCGCAGCAAAAACGGCCAAAGTCCCTTCAAAAAGTCCCTTCCCAAGGCAGCAAAATTCAAAAAAAACAACAAAATGCCTCAAAATGCCTCAAATTTGGTGGTTTTACCCAAAAATCCCAATGAAACTCCAGAAAAGCCCTGAAATGGACACAAATTCCCCCAAAATCCTGCTTGAAAAGTCCGGATTCCCTCCAAAAAGTCCCTTCCCAAGGCAGCAAAATCCAAAAAAATCAACAAAATGCCCAAAATGCCTCAAAATGCCCCAAATTTGGTGGTTTTACCCAAAAAATAAAAAAGATCCCCTTGAAATGCCCCAAAATGGCCACAAATTGCCCCAAAATCGCCACAAATTCACCCAAAATCAGCACTGACCTCACCCCCCATCGACCTCCTGGCCTTCGCCGGCTACAAATACGTGGGGTCAGTGCCAAAATCCCCGTTTTTCACCCCAAAAATCCCTCCCCGGGGGCCCCGAAAAAATCCCACTCGGAATGCCCCAAAACGGCCACGAATTCACCCAAAATCGCCACAAATTCCCTCAAAATCTCCACAAAAATGTCCAGAGTCCGTTCAAAAAGTCAATTTCCAAGGCAGCAAAATTCAAAAAAATGAAGAAAATTCATCAAATTTGGTGGTTTTACCCAAAAATCCCAATGAAAGCCCAGAAAAGCCCCGAAATGGCCACAAATTGCCCCAAAATCGCCACAAATTCCCCCAAAATCCTGCTTAAAAAGTCCTGATTCCCTCCAAAAAGTCCCTTACCAAGGCAGCAAAATCCAAAAAAATCAACAAAATGCCCAAAATGCCTCAAAATGCCCCAAATTTGGTGTTTTTACCCAAAAAATAAAAAAGATCCCCTTGAAATGCCCCAAAATGGCCACAAATTCACCCAAAATCGCTGCAAATTCCCTCAAAATCCTGCTTGAAACGTCCTGATTACCTCCAAAAAGTCCCTTCCCAAGCCACAAAATTCAAAAAAATCAAGAAAATTCCTCAAATTTGGTGGTTTTACCCAAAAATCCCAATGAAAGCCCAGAAAAGCCCTGAAATGGCCACAAATTGCCCCAAAATCACCACAAATTCCCCCAAAATCACCACGAATTCACCCAAAATCAGCACCGACCTCACCCCCATCGACCTCCTGGCCTTCGCCGGCTACAAATACGTGGGGTCAGTGCCCAAAATCCGCGTTTTTCACCCCAAAAATCCCTCCCCGACAGCCCCGAAAAAATCCCCCTCGGAATGCCCCGAAACGGCCACGAATTCACCCAAAATCGCCACGAATTCACCCAAAATTGCCACAAAAATGGCCGGAGTCCCTCCAAAAAGTCAATTCACAAACCAGCAAAATTCAAAAAAATCAACAAAATGCCCAAAATGCCTCAAAATGCCCCAAATTTGGTGGTTTTACCCAAAAATCCCAATAAAAGCCCAGAAAAGCCCTGAAATGGCCACAAATTGCCCCAAAATCGCCACAAATTGCCCCAAAATCGACACAAATTCCCTCAAAATCCTGCTTAAAAAGTCCTGATTCCCTCCAAAAAGTCACTTCCCAAGCCAGCAAAATTCAAAAAAAACAACAAAATGCCTCAAAATGCACCAAATTTGGTGTTTTTACCCAAAAAGTAAAAAAAGATCCCCTTGGAATGCCCCAAAATCGCCACGAATTCACCCAAAATCGCCACAAATTCACCCAAAATCGCAGCAAAAACGTCCGGAGTCCCTCTAAAAAGTCCCTTCCCAAGCCAGCAAAATGCAAAAAAATAAAGAAAATTCCTCAAATTTGGTGGTTTTACCCAAAAATCCCAATAAAAGCCCAGAAAAGCCCTGAAATGGCCACAAATTGCCCCAAAATCGCCACAAATTGCCCCAAAACGGCCACGAATTCACCCAAAATTGCCGCAAAAATGTCCTGATTCCCTCCAAAAAGTCCCTTACCAAGGCAGCAAAATTCCAAAAAATCAACAAAATTTCAGAATTTTGGGGTAGAATCTGAGATTTTCGGGGTGAAATCCCAGAGTTTTGGGTTGAAACCCCAGAATTTCGGGTAAAATCCCAGAATGTTGGGCTGGAACCCCGGGATTTTGGGGTGAAACCCCACAATTTTGGGGTAAAATCTGAGATTTTTGGGGCAAAATGCCACAATTTTGCGGTAAAATTCCAGAATTTTGGGGTGAAAACCCAGAATTTGGATGAAATCCCACAATTTAGGGGTGATTTTGGGGTGAAACCCCACAATTTTGGGGTAAAATTTCAGTATTTTGGGGTAAAATCCCGGAATTTTTGGGTAAAACCTGAGATTTTTGGGGTGAAATCCCACAATTTTGGGGTGAAATATCAGTATTTTGGGGTAAAATCTGAGATTTTCGGGGTGAAATCCCAGAGTTTTGGGTTGAAATCCCAGAATTTTGGGGTGAAATCCCAGAATTTGGGGTGAAATCCCAGAATTTGGGGTGAAACCCCAGAATTTGGGGTGAAACCCCGGTATTTTGGGGTGGTTTTAGGGTGAAACCCTACAATTTTGGGGTAAAATGTCAATATTTTGGGGTGTAATTTCAGAATTTTGGGGTAAAATCTGAGATTTTCGGGGTGAAATCCCAGATTTTTGGGTTGAAACCCCAGAATTTGGGGTAAATCCCAGAATGTTGGGCTGGAACCCCAGGGATTTTGGGGTGAAACCCCACAATTTTGGGGTAAAATTTCAGAATTTTGGGGTGAAATCTGAGATTTTTGGGGTGAAATGCCACAATTTTGGGTTGAAACAACAGAATTTGGGGTGAAACCCCAGAATTTTGGGGTAAAATGTCAGTATTTTGGGGTAAAATCCCAGAATTTTTGGGTAAAACCTGAGATTTTTGGGGTGAAATGCCACAATTTTGGGTTGAAACCCCAGAATTTCGGGTAAATCCCAGAATGTTGGAGTGGAACCCCGGGATTTTGGGGTGAAATGTCAGTATTTTGAGGTAAAATCCTGGAATTTTGGGGTGAAATCTGAGAGTTTTGGGGTGAAATGCCACAATTTTGGGTTGAAACACCAGAATTTGGGGTGCAATCTCAGAATTTGGATGAAGTCCCACAATTTTGGGGTCGTTTTGGGGTGAAACCCCACAATTTTGGGGTGAAATGTCAGTATTTTGGGGTAAAATCCCAGAAATTTGGGGTAAAACCTGAGATTTTTGTGGTAAAATTTCAGAATTTTGGGGTAAATTGTGAGATTTTTGTGGTGAAATCCCAGAGTTTTGGGTTGAAACCCCAGAATTTTGGGGTGAAATCCCAGAATTTTGGGGTGAAATACCAGAATTTTGGGGTGAAATCCCACGGTTTTGGAGTAAAATCCTGGAATTTGGGGTGAAATCCCAGAATTTGGATGAAACCCCACAATTTTGGGGTGATTTTGGGTTGAAATGTGTATTTTTGGGGTTCCCAGGATGATCGTGGGGCTGCTGGCCGGGCTCCTCCTGGGCCGGGCCGGGTACTACGCGGCCCTGAGCTGGTGCTGCCTCAGCAGCTTCATCTTCACCGTGAGTTTGGGGCGTTTTGGGCAATTTCGGGAATTTTTGGGGATTTTTGGGGGAATTTTTGGGGATTTGGGACAGGTAAAATTTCCAGGAATTTGAGCAGAATTCTCAGGAAATCACCAAAATTTCCTTGCAATGCTCAGGGAGGGTTTGGGGTTGGTTCTACAAATTTATTTTTAATTTTTTGGGGCATTTTTGGGGATTTTTGGAAATTTTTGGGGATTTTTGGGGATTTTCGGGATTTTTTGGGATTTGGGACTGCTAAAATTCGCAGGAATTTGATCAGAATTTTCAGGAATTCACCAAAATTTCCTTGTGATGCTCAGGGAGGATTTGGGGTTGATGCTACAATTTTTTTTTAATTTTTTGGGGCATTTTTGGGAATTTTGTGAATTTTTCAGGATTTTGGGAGATTTTTGGGGCTTTGGGACGGGTAAAATTTGCAGGAATTTGATCAGAATTTTCAGGAATTCACCAAAATTTCCTTGAGATGCTCAGGGAGGATTTGGGGTTGGTTCTCCAAATTTTTGGGATTTTTTTTAATTTTTTGGGGCATTTTTTTGGATTTTTGGAAATTTTGGGGATTTTTGGGGATTTTGGGGGAATTTTTGGGGCTTTGGGACGGGGTAAAATTCGCAGGAATTTGAGCAGAATTCCCAGGAATTCACCGAAATTTCCTTGTGATGCTCATGGAGGGTTTGGGGTTGGTTCTACGAATTTTGGGGATTTTTTTGGAATTTTTTTGGCATTTTTGGGGATTTTTGGGAATTTTTCGGGATTTTTCGGGAATTTTTGGGGGTTTGGGACGGGTAAAATTCGCAGGAATTTGATCAGAATTTTCAGGGATTCACCAAAATTTCCTTGAGATACTCAGGGAGGGTTTGGGGTTGGTTCTCCAAATTTTGGGGATTTTTTTGGAATTTTTTGGGCATTTTCGGGTAATTTGGGGAATTTTTCAGGATTTTGGGAGATTTTTGGGGGTTTGGGACGGGTAAAATTCGCAGGAATTTGATCAGAATTTTCAGGAATTCACCAAAATTTCCTTGTGATGCTCAGGGAGGGTTTGGGGTTGGTTCTACAAATTTTGGGGATTTTTGGGGATTTTGGGGGATTTTTTGGGGCTTTGGGACTGGTAAAATTCGCAGGAATTTGATCAGAATTCCCAGGAAATCACCAAAATTTTCTTGAGATACTCAGGGAGGGTTTGGGGTTGATTCTACAAATTTTTGGTATTTTTTTTAATTTTTTGTGGCATTTTTGGGGATTTTTGGAAATTTTTGGGGATTTTTTGGGGATTTGGGATGGGTAAAATTCCCAAGAATTTGATCAGAATTTTCAGGAATTCACCAAAACTTCCTTGTGGTGCTCAGGGAGGGTTTGGGATTGGTTCTCTGAATTTGGGGGATTTTTTTGGAATTTTTAGGGAATTTTATTTGGATTTTGGAATTTTTTTGGGTTTTGAGGACCTGAAGAGCCGGAAAAGGCTGATCCCAAAATTCTAAATCCCAAATTTCCCTGGAATTTTCCGAAATCCAGATGCTGAGGCTGAAGCTGCTCTGGGATGCCTCAGCCGAGGGATTTTGGGGCAGATTTTCCATCTTTTTAATTGGATTTTCGTAGGAATTTCGGGATTTTTTGGGGTTTTTAGTACCTGAAGAGCCGGAAAAGGCTGATCCTAGATTTCCAAATCCCGAATTTCCCTGGAATTCCGCAGATCCGGACGCTGAGGCTGAAGCTGCTGTCGGAGGCGGCGGCCGAGGGCGTTCTGGGGCCGATTTTGAGCGTTTTAAATGCAATTTTTGGGGGATTTTGGGTGTTTTTCGTACCTGAGGGGTCGATGCCAACATTCCCAATCCCGAATTTTCCCGGAATTCCCGCAGATCCGGACCCTGAGGCTGAAGCTGCTGTCGGAGGCGGCGGCCGAGGACATTTTGGGGCCGATTTTGAGGGTCTTTAATGCGATTTTTATGGAATTTTGGGGGTTTTTGGGACCTGAGGAGGTGGAAAACATTAATCCCAACATTCCCAATCCCGAATTTCCCTGGAATTCCGCAGATCCGGACCCTGAGGCTGAAGCTGCTCTGGGATGCCTCAACAGAGGGCGTTTTGGGGCCGATTTTGGCTCTTTTTAGTGGGATTTTTGTGGGAATTTTGGGATTTTTTGGGGATTTTCGTACCTGAGGGGTCGATCCCGATGTTCCCGATCCCGAATTTCCCTGGAATTCCGCAGATCCGGACCCTGAGGCTGAAGCTGCTGTCGGAGGCGGCGGCCGAGGGCGTTCTGGGGCTGATTTTGGCTCTTTTTAATTGGTTTTTTGTAGGAATTTTGGGATTTTTTTGGGTTTTAAGGACCTGAAGAGCTGGAAAAGGCTGATCCCAAAATTCCAAATCCCGAATTTTCCTGGAATTTCCCCAGATCCGCACGCTGAGGCTGAAGCTGCTCTGGGATGCCTCAGCCGAGGGCGTTTTGGGGCCGATTTTGAACGTTTCAAATGGGATTTTTGTGGGATTTTGGGTGTTTTTAGTACCTGAGGGGTTGATCCTGAGGTTCCCGATCCCGAATTTTCCCGGAATTCCGCAGATCCGGACGCTGAGGCTGAAGCTGCTGTCGGAGGCGGCGGCCGAGGGCGTTCTGGGGCCGATTTTGGGTGTCTTTAATGCGATTTTTATGGGATTTTTTGGGGATTTTGGTACCTGAGGGGTCGATCCCGAGGTTCCCGATCCCGAATTTTCCCGGAATTCCGCAGATCCGGACCCTGAGGCTGAAGCTGCTGTCGGAGGCGGCGGCCGAGGGCGTTTTGGGGCTGATTTTGGCTCTTTTTAATGGAATTTTTGTGGGATTTTGGTTATTTTTTTGGGATTTTAGTACCTGAGGGGTGGATCCCGATGTTCCTGATCCCGAATTTTCCCGGAATTCCCGCAGATCCGCACGCTGAGGCTGAAGCTGCTGTCGGAGGCGGCGGCCGAGGGCGTTTTGGGGCCGATTTTGAGCGTTTCAAATGCGATTTTGATGGGATTTTGGGTGTTTTTAGTACCTGAGGGGTCGATCCCGATGTTCCCAATCCCGAATTTCCCTGGAATTTTCCCAGATCCGCACACTGAGGCTGAAGCTGCTGTCGGAGGCGGCGGCCGAGGGCGTTTTGGGGCCGATTTTGGGTGTCTTTGATGCGATTTTTATGCGATTTTGATGGGATTTTTTGGGGATTTGAGTACCTGAGGAGGTGGAAAACATTAATCCCAACATTCCTGATCCCAAATTTTCCTGTAATTTTCCCAAATCCGGACGCTGAGGCCGAAGCTGCTCTGGGATGCCTCAACCGAGGGTGTTTTGGGGCCGATTTTGGGTGTCTTTAATGCGATTTTTATGGGATTTTTGGGGGATTTTTTTGGGATTTGAGTACCTGAGGAGGTGGAAAACATTAATCCCGACGTTCCTGATCCCGAATTTCCCTGGAATTCCGCAGATCTGCACGCTGAGGCTGAAGCTGCTGTCGGAGGCGGCGGCCGAGGGCGTTTTGGGGCCGATTTTGGGGCCCATTTTGAGCGTTTCAAATGCGATTTTTATGGGAATTTTGGGATTTTTTTGGGATTTGAGTACCTGATGGGTCAATCCCAGTATTCCTGATCCCGAATTTCCCGGAATTCCCGCAGATCCGCACGCTGAGGCTGAAGCTGCTGTCGGAGGCGGCGGCCGAGGGCGTTTTGGGGCCGATTTTGACCGTTTTAAATGGGATTTTTTGGGGATTTTAGTACCTGAGGGGTCGATCCCGATGTTCCTGATCCCGAATTTCCCGGAATTCCGCAGATCCGGACGCTGAGGCTGAAGCTGCTGTCGGAGGCGGCGGCCGAGGGCGTTCTGGGGCCGATTTTGGGTGTATTTAAAGCGATTTTGATGGGATTTTGATGGGATTTTTTGGGGATTTTAGTACCTGAGGAGGTGGAAAACATTAATCCCGATGTTCCTGATCCCGAATTTCCCTGGAATTTTCCCAGATCCGGACGCTGAGGCTGAAGCTGCTGTCGGAGGCGGCGGCCGAGGGGGTCCCGGTGCGCGGCGCCCGGAACCAGCTGCGGATGTACCTGACCACGGCCATCGGCGCCGCGCAGCCGCTCCTCATGTACTGGCTCACCTCCCACCTGCTCCGCTGAGCCCTTCCCGGGAAAACACGGAATTCCCGGCAAAAATCCCGGAATTCCTGCGCTTTCCGTGGGAAAAATCACTGCGGGTTCGGGGGGTTCAATAAACGGAATTTTGAAGGAGTTTTGGTGAATTTTTTGGGGGTTTATCCCGAATTTTGGGGGTTTGGATGTGGGCAGATCATCCCGAGACTCAGAATTCCCAGAAAATCTTCGAATTCCTAGAAAATTCCTGGAATTCCCAGAAATAATCCTGGAATTCCTGGGAAAAATCCCAGAATTTTTAGGTTTTCTATATAAGAATCTCACAGTTTTTGGGGGTTTCGGTAAACGGAATTTTGAAGGAGTTTTGGCGATTTTTTTTGGGGTTTGGATGTTGGGAGATCCTCCTGAGAGTCAGAATTGCCAGGAAAATCCTGGAATTCCCAGGAAAATCTTGGAATTCCCAGGGAAAATTCCTGGAATTCCCAGGGAAAATCCAGGAGTTTCGGGGCTTTCCATGGAAAAAATCACTGTGGGTTCTGGGGTTTCAATAAACGGAATTTTGAAGGAGTTTTGGTGAATTTTATGGGGAGTTTGGATGTTGGGAGATCCTCCCCAGACTCAGAATTGCCAGGAAAATCCTGGAATTCCCAGGAAAATCTTGGAATTCCTAAAAAAAATCCTGGAATTTCAAAGTTGTCCCCAAAAAAATCTGTTATTTTTAGTGGTGTCGATAAACGGAATTTGAAGGAGGTTTGGTGATTTTTTTGGGGGGATTTGGATGTTGGGAGATCCCCCTGAGAGTCAGAATTCCCAGGAAAATCCTGGAATTCCTAGAAAAAATCCCGGAATTCCCAAGAAAATCCCGGAATTCCCAGGGAAAAACCCAGAATTTCAGGGTTTTCCACAAAAAAAAAATCCCTGTGGGTTTAGGGTTTTCAATAAACGGAATTTTGAAGGAGTTTTGGTGAATTTTTTGGGGGGTTTGGATGTTGGGAGATTCCCCCTGAGAGTCAGAATTGCCAGGAAAATCCTGGAATTCCCAGAAAAATCACGGAATTCCTGGGAAAAATCCCGGAATTTTTAGGTTTTCTATATAAAAATCCCACGGTTTTTGGGGGTTTCGTTAAACAGAATTTTGAAGGAGTTTTGGTGAATTTAGGGGGAGTTTGGAGCTCCCGAGATTCAGAATTCCCAGGAAAAATCCTGGAATTCCCAGGAAAAAATCCCAGAATTCCCAAGAAAATCTCGGAATTCCCAGGAAAAAATCCTGGCATTTCAAAGTTTTCCCCAAAAAAATTCCGTTATTTTTATTGGTGTCGATAAACAGAATGTGAAGGAGTTTTGGGGATTTTTTTGGGGGGATTTGGATGTTGGGAGATCCTCCTGAGTCAGAATTGCCAGGAAAATCCTGGAATTCCCAGGAAATTCCCAGGAAAGATCCTGGAATTTCTTGGTTTTCCATAAAAAAAATCCCTGTGGGTTTTAGGGTTTTCAATAAACGGAATTTGAAGGAGTTTTGGTGATTTTTTTTGGGGAGTTTATCCCGAATTTTGGGGGGTTTGGATGTTGGGAGATCCCCCCTGAGAGTCAGAATTCCCAGGAAAATCCTGGAATTCCCAGAAAAATCCCAGAATTCCCAGGGAAAATCCCGGAATTTCTGCGCTTTCCGTGGAAAAAATCACTGCGGGTTCGGGGGTTTCAGTAAACGGAATTTTGAAGGAGTTTTGGTGATTTTTAGGGGGAGTTTGGAGCTCCCGAGATTCAGAATTCCCGAGAAAAATCCTGGAGTTCCTAGGAAAAAATCCCAGAATTCCCAAGAAAAATCCTGGAATTTCGAAGTTGTCCCCAAAAAATCTGTTATTTTTATTGGTGTCGATAAACGGAATTTGAAGGAGTTTTGGTGATTTTTTTGGGGGGTTCATCCCGAATTTTGGGGGTTTGGATGTTGGGAGATTCCCCCTGAGAGTCAGAATTGCCAGGAAAATCCTGGAATTCCTAGAAAAAATCCTGGAATTCCCAAGAAAATCCTGGAATTCCTGGGAAAAATCCCAGAATTTTTAGGTTTTCTATATAAAAATCCCACGGTTTTTGGGGGTTTCGTTAAACGGAATTTTGAAGGAGTTTTGGTGAATTTTAGGGGGAGTTTGGATCTCCCGAGACTCAGAATTGCCGGGAAAATCCTGGAATTGCTAGAAAAAATTCCGGAATTACCAGAAACAATCCTGGAATTCCCAGGAAAAATCCTGGAATTTCAAAGTTTTCCATTAAAAAATCCCTGAGGATTTCAGGACTTTCAATAAACGGAATTTTGAAGGAGTTTTGGTGATTTTTTGGGGGGGTTTGGATGTTGGGAGATCCTCCCGAGAGTCAGAATTCCCGGGAAAAATCCTGGAATTCCTAGAAAAAAATCCCGGAATTCCCGGGAAAAATCCCAGAATTCCTGGGAAAAATCCCGGAATTTTTAGGTTTTCTATATAAAAATCCCACGGTTTTTTGTGTTTTCAATAAACGGAATTTTGAAGGAGTTTTGGTGAATTTTATGGGGAGTTTGGATCTCCCGAGATTCAGAATTCCCGAGAAAAATCCTGGAGTTCCTAGGAAAAAATCCCGGAATTCCCAAGAAAATCCCGGAATTCCCAGGGAAAATCCTGGAATTTCAAAGTTGTCCCCAAAAAAATCTGTTATTTTTAGTGGTGTCGATAACCGGAATTTGAAGGAGTTTTGGTGATTTTTTTGGGGGTTTGGATGTTGGGAGATCCTCCCGAGACTCAGAATTGCCAGGAAAATCCTGGAATTCCCAGGAAATTCCCAGGAAAGATCCTGGAATTTCTGGGCTTTCCATTAAAAAAAATCCCTGTGGATTTTAGGGTTTTCAATAAACGGAATTTGAAGGAGTTTTGGTGATTTTTTTTGGGGAGTTTATCCCGAATTTTGGGGGGTTTGGATGTTGGGAGATCCCCCCTGAGAGTCAGAATTCCCAGGAAAATCCTGGAATTCCTGGAAAAAATCCCAGAATTCCCAAGAAAATCCCGGAGCTCCGGGGCTTTCCATGGAAAAAATCACTGCGGGTTTGGGGGTTTCAATAAACGGAATTTTGAAGGAGTTTTGGTGAGTTTTAGGGGGAGTTTGGAGCTCCCAAGATTCAGAATTGCCAGGAAAATCCTGGAGTTCCTAGGAAAAAATCCCAGAATTCCCAAGAAAATCTTGGAATTCCCAGAAAAATCCCAGAATTCCCAGGAAAAATCCTGGAATTCCCAGAAAAATCCCAGAATTCCCAAGAAAAATCCTGGAATTCCCAGAAAAAAATCCTGGAATTTTAAAGTTTTCCCCCCCAAAATATCCATTATTTTTATTGGTGTCAATAACTGGAATTTGAAGGAGTTTTGGTGATTTTTTTGGGGGGGTTTGGATGTTGGGAGATCCTCCCCGGACTCAGAATTCCCAGGAAAATCCTGGAATTCCCAGGAAAATATTGGAATTCCTAAAAAAAAATCCTGGAATTTCAAAGTTTTCCCCCCAAAATACGCGTTATTTTTATTGGTGTCAATAAACAGAATTTTGAAGGAGTTTTGGTGATTTTTTTGGGGGGTTTGCATGTTGGGAGATCCTCCCGAGACTCAGAATTGCCAGGAAAAGCCTGGAATTCCCAGGGAAAATCCCGGAATTTCTGCGCTTTCCGTGGAGAAAATCACTGCGGGTTCGGGGGTTTCAATAAACGGAATTTTGAAGGAGTTTTGGCGATTTTTTGGGGGGGTTTGGATGTTGGGAGATCCCCCTGAGAATCAGAATTGCCAGGAAAATCCTGGAATTCCTAGAAAATTCCTGGAATTCCCAAGAAAATCCCGGAATTCCTAGAAAAAATCCCGGAATTTTTAGGTTTTTTATATAAAAATCCCATGGTTTTTTGGGTTTTCAATAAACGGAATTTTGAAGGAGTTTTGGTGAATTTTAGGGGGAGTTTGGATCTCCCGAGATTCAGAATTCCCAGGAAAAATCCTGGAATCCCAGAATTCCCAAGAAAATCCCGGAATTCCCAGGAAAAATCCTGGAATTTCAAAGTTTTCCCCAAAAAAATCTGTTATTTTTAGTGGTGTCGATAAACGGAATTTGAAGGAGTTTTGGTGATTTTTTGGGGGGTTTATCCCAAATTTTGGGGGTTTGGATGTTGGGAGATTCCCTCTGAGAGTCAGAATTCCCAGGAAAATCTTGGAATTCCCAGAAAAATCCTGGAATTTCTGGGTTTTCCATAAAAAAATCCCTGTGGATTTTGGGGTTTTCAATAAATGGAATTTGAAACAGTTTGGGGGAATTTTGGGAGGATTTTGAGGGTTTATTCCCATTTTTGGTCAATTTAAATTCATTTCTGGTAATTTTTTATTAACTTTTCCCATTTTTCATCATTTTGAACCCACTTTGCCCCAGTTTGGTAATTTTTCAGTCACTTTACCCCATTTCTGCTGTTTATAATTCACTTTATTCCATTTTAAATCGATTTTACGCCATTTTTGGTTATTTTAAATTCACTTTAACCCATTTTAAATCAATTTTAACCCATTTTTGGTCATTTTTCGCTCACTTTGTCCCGTTTTTGTTCGTTTTTCACTCACTTTACCCCATTTTTGCTCATTTTTACCCATTGAATCCCATTTTGGGCCATTTTTATTTCACTTTACCCCATTTTTGCTCATTTTTTATCCCTTTAACCCCATTTTTGCTCATTTTTCAGTCACTTCATCCCATTTTTGGTCTTTTTTTATTCACATTATCCCATTTTTAATGAATTTTGCCCCATTTTTGCTCATTTTTTACCCACTTTACCCCATTTTTGCTCATTTTTTACCCATTTCTGCTCATGTTTTACCCCTTTGATCCCATTTTTGCTCATTTTTTACCCATTTTTGCTCATTTTTATTCCACTTTACGCCATTTCTGCTCATGTTTTACCCCTTTGATCCCATTTTTGCTCATTTTTTACCCATTTTTGCTCATTTTTATTCCACTTTACCCCATTTCTGCTCATGTTTTACCCCTTTGATCCCATTTTTGCTCATTTTTTACCCATTTTTGCTCATTTTTATTTCACTTTACCCCATTTCTGCTCATGTTTTACCCCTTTGATCCCATTTTTGCTCATTTTTCACCCATTTTTGCTCATTTTTTACCCATTTAATCCCATTTTTGCTCATTTTTATTTCATTTTACCCCATTTCTGCTCATGTTTTACCCCTTTGATCCCATTTTTGCTCATTTTTTACCCATTTTTGCTCATTTTTATTTCACTTTACCCCATTTCTGCTCATTTTTTACCCATTTTTGGCCGTTTTTATTTCACTTTACCCCATTTCTGCTCATGTTTTACCCCTTTGATCCCATTTTTGCTCCTTTTTTACCCATTTTTGCTCATTTTTATTTCACTTTACCCCATTTCTGCTCATGTTTTACCCCTTTGATCCCATTTTTGCTCATTTTTCACTCATTTAACCCCATTTTTGGTCACTTTTTGGTCACTTTAATGGTCATAAATTCACATTTTTTACACACCACGATAACACTGATGGGGGGGGAGGGGCCCCCGTTTTGGGGAAGATTTGGGGGATTTTGGAGAGGATTTTGGAGAGGATTTTTGGGGGAAATTTGGGGGGTTTTGGGTCATTCCAGGGACTGCAGCATCAGCAGCTGCTTCAGCACCTTGGTCTGGCTCGTCTCCCGAATTTCCCCGGCCAGGAACATCTCGTCCACCACCGTGTACACCTAAAAATGACAAAAAAAACCCAAATTCAGACAAAAATAATAAAATATCGGCAAAAATCAACCCAAAATCAGCAAAAATACCCCAAAAATGTCTAAAAAATGACCCAAAAATGACCCAAAATCAGCCCAAAACCCAGAAAGGAACATCTCATCCACCACCGTGTACACCTAAAAAAGCCAAAAAAAACCAAAAATCAGAAATAAATAACAAAATATCAGCAAAAATCGACCCAAAATCAGCAAAAAATGGCCCAAAATACCCCAAAAATATCAAAAATGACCCAAAAAAGACCCAAAATCAGCCCAAAACCCAGAAAGGAACATCTCATCCACCACCGTGTACACCTAAAAATGACAAAAAACACCAAAATCAGACAAAAATAATAAAAAATCAGCAAAAATCAACCCAAAATCAGCAAAAAATGGTGAAAAATACCCCAAAAATATCTAAAAATGACCCAAAAATGACCCAAAATTAGCCCAAAACACAGAAAGGAACATCTCATCCACCACCGTGTACACCTAAAAATGACAAAAAAACCCAAAATCAGACAAAAATAACAAAAAATCAGCAAAAATCAACCCAAAATCAACAAAAAATGGCCAAAAATACCCCAAAAATATCTAAAAATGACCCAAAAATGTCTAAAAATGACCCAAAATCAGCCCAAAACCCAGAAAGGAACATCTCATCCACCACCGTGTACACCTAAAAAAGCCAAAAAAACCAAAAATCAGACAAGAATAATAAAATATCAGCAAAAATCAACCCAAAATCAGCAAAAATACCCCAAAAATGTCTAAAAAATGACCCAAAAATGACCCAAAATCAGCCCAAAACCCAGAAAGGAACATCTCATCCGCCACCGTGTACACCTAAAAAAGACAAAAAAAACCAAAATCAGACAAAAATAATAAAATATCAGCAAAAATCAACCCAAAATCAACAAAAATACCCCAAAAATGTCTAAAAAATGACCCAAAAATGACCCAAAATCAGCCCAAAACCCAGAAAGAAACATCTCATCCACCACCGTGTACACCTAAAAAAGCCAAAAAAACCCCAAAATCAGACAAAAATAATAAAATATCAGAAAACCCGACCCAAAATCAGCAAAAAATGGCCAAAGATACCTAAAAAATAACCCAAATATAGCTAAAAAAACCAAAAATTAGCCCAAAACCCAGAAAGGAACATCTCAGCCGCCACCGTGTACACCTAAAAAAGCCAAAAAAACCCAAATTCAGACAAAAATAATAAAAAATCTGAAAAAATCAACCCAAAATCAGCAAAATCCACTCCAAAATGGCCAAAATAATTAAAAATTGGCCTAAATCAGCCAAAATTACCCCAAAATTACCTCAAAATCAGCCACAATCATCCCCAAATCACCCCAAAAATTCAAAAATGGCCAAAAAAGGCCAAAATCACCCCAAAATCTACAAAATCCATCCCAAAAATGGCCCAAAATCACCCCAACTCTCCCCCAAATGAGCAAAGACCCCTCCCCAAATTAACGAACCCCGTTCCCAAATTAATTAATCCTTCCAGGACCCCTCCCCAAATTAATGAACCCCCTCCCCAAATTAATTAATCCTTCCAGGACCCCTCCCCAAATTAATTAGTCCTTCCAGGACCCTTCCCCAAATTAATGAACCCCCTCCCCAAATTAATTAATCCTTCCAGGACCCCTCACCAAATTAATTAATCCTTCCAGGACCTCTCCCCAAATTAATTAATTCTTCCAGGACCCCTCCCCAAATTAATGAACCCCCTCTTCAAATTAATTAATCCTTCCTGGACCCCTCCCCAAATTAATTAATCCTTCCAGGACCCCTCCCCAAATTAATGAACCCCCTCCCCAAATTAATTAATCCTTCCAGGACCCTTCCCCAAATTAATTAATCCTTCCGGGACCCCTCCCCAAATTAATTAATCCTTCCAGGACCCCTCCCAAAATTAATTAGTCCTTCCAGGACCTCTCCCCAAATTAATGAACCCCCTCCCCAAATTAATTAATCCTTCCAGGACCCTTCCCCAAATTAATGAACCCCCTCTTCAAATTAATTAATCCTTCTGGGACCCCTCCCCAAATTAATTAATCCTTCCAGGACCCTTCCCCAAATTAATGAACCCCCTCCCCAAATTAATTAATCCTTCCAGGACCCCTCCCCAAATTAATTAAATGCCTCCAAAATAAACAAAGCCCTGCCCCAAATGAACAAAGACACCTCCCCAAATTAATTAATCCTTCCAGGACCCCTCCCCAAATTAATTAATCCCCCAGGACCCTTCCCCAAATTAATTAAATGCCTCCAAAATAAACAAAGGCCCCCCCAAATGAACAAAGACACCTCCCCAAATTAATTAATGCCCCCAGGACCCCTCCCCAAATTAATTAATCCTTCCTGGACCCTTCCCCAAATTAATGAACCCCCTCCCCAAATTAATTAATCCTTCCGGGACCCCTCCCCAAATTAATTAAGCCCCTCCCCAAATTAATTAATCCTTCCAGGACCCCTCCCCAAATTAATTAATCCTTTCAGGACCCCTCCCCAAATTAATTAAATGCCTCCAAAATAAACAGAGCCCCCCCCAAATGAACAAAGACACCTCCCCAAATTAATTAATCCTTCCAGGACCCCTCCCCAAATTAATTAATCCTTCCAGGACCCCTCCCCAAATTAATTAAACGTCTCCAAAATAAACAAAGGCCCCCCCCAAATGAACAAAGACACCTCCCCAAATTAATTAATCCTTCCAGGACCCCTCCCCAAATTAATTAATCCTTTCAGGACCCCTCCCCAAATTAATTAAATGCCTCCAAAATAAACAGAGCCCCCCCCAAATGAACAAAGACACCTCCCCAAATTAATTAATCCTTCCAGGACCCCTCCCCAAATTAATTAATCCTTCCAGGACCCCTCCCCAAATTAATTAAACGTCTCCAAAATAAACAAAGGCCCCCCCCAAATGAACAAAGACACCTCCCCAAATTAATTAATGCCCCCAGGACCCCTCCCCAAATTAATTAGTCCTTCCAGGTCCCCTCCCCAAATTAATGAACCCCCTCCCCAGATTAATTAATCCTTCCAGGACCCTTCCCCAAATTAATGAACCTCCTCCCCAAATTAATTAATCCTTCCGGGACCCTTCCCCAAATTAATTAACCCCCTCCCTAAATTAATTAATCCTTCCAGGACCCTTCCCCAAATTAATGAACCTCCTCCCCAAATTAATTAATGCCCCCAGGACCCCTCCCCAAATTAATTAATCCCCCCCGGGACCCCTCCCCAAATTAATTAATCCCCCCAGGACCCCTCCCCACATTAATTAACCCCTCCCCAAATTAATTAATCCCCCCAAACCTTGTAGAAGTTGAAGACGAGGTCGAGCTCGCAGACGTTGTGGAAATACTCGTTCAGCACCTGAGGGGGGGGGGATCCCCGTTAATTAACACCGTAATTAATTAACCCCGGCACGGAGGGGGCTAATGGGGGGCTGGGGGGTTAATTAGGGAGTTAATTAAGGAGTTAACGAGGATCTCACCTCCACGAAGTTGTGGATGGCCTCCAGGTAGGCGAGGTTGTTGTCGGTGACGTCGACGCAGATGCAGAAGTAGAGGCCGGCGTAGCGGCGGTAAATGATCTTGAAATTGCGGAACTGGGCAAACTGGGAGTTACTGGGAGGGACTGGGAGGGACTGGGAGGGACTGGGATGAACTGGGATGGACTGGGAGGGACTGGGAGGGACTGGGAGGGAACTGGGAGGGACTGGGAGGGACTGGGATGGAGGAAAAGGGAACTGGGAGCACTGGGAGCACTGGAGGCCGGCGTAGCGGCGGTAAATGATCTTGAAATTGCGGAACTGGGCAAACTGGGAGTTACTGGGAGGGACTGGGAGGGACTGGGAGGGACTGGGAGGGACTGGGAGGGAACTGGGAGGGACTGGGATGGACTGGGAGGGACTGGGAGGGAACTGGGACTAACTGGGATGGAGGAAAAGGGAACTGGGAGCACTGGGAGCACTGGAGGCCGGCGTAGCGGCGGTAAATGATCTTGAAATTGCGGAACTGGGCAAACTGGGAGTTACTGGGAGGGACTGGGAGGGACTGGGAGGGACTGGGACAAACTGGGAGGGACTGGGATGGACTGGGAGGGAACTGGGATGGACTGGGAGGGACTGGGAGGGAACTGGGAGGGACTGGGAGGGACTGGGAGGGACTGGGATGGACTGGGATGGACTGGGAGGGACTGGGAGGGACTGGGATGGACTGGGAGGGACTGGGAGGGACTGGGAGGGAACTGGGAGGGACTGGGAGGGACTGGGATGGACTGGGAGGGACTGGGAGGGACTGGGAGGGACTGGGATGGACTGGGAGGGACTGGGAGTTACTGGGAGGGACTGGGAGGGACTGGGAGGGACTGGGAGGGAACTGGGATGGACTGGGATGGAGGAAAAGGGAACTGGGAGCACTGGGAGCACTGGAGGCCGGCGTAGCGGCGGTAAATGATCTTGAAATTGCGGAACTGGGCAAACTGGGAGTTACTGGGAGGGACTGGGAGGGACTGGGAGGGACTGGGAGGGACTGGGAGGGAACTGGGAGGGACTGGGATGGAGGAAAAGGGAACTGGGAGCACTGGGAGCACTGCAGGCCGGCGTAGCGGCGGTAAATGATCTTGAAATTGCGGAACTGGGCAAACTGGGAGTTACTGGGAGGGACTGGGATGGACTGGGATGGACTGGGAGGGAACTGGGAGGGACTGGGATGGACTGGGAGAGACTGGGAGGGACTGGGAGGGACTGGGAGGGAACTGGGAGGGACTGGGAGGGACTGGGAGGGACTGGGAGGGACTGGGATGGACTGGGAGGGACTGGGATGGACTGGGAGGGACTGGGAGGGACTGGGATGGAACTGGGATGGACTGGGAGGGACTGGGAGGGACTGGGAGGGACTGGGATGGAACTGGGAGGGACTGGGAGGGACTGGAAGGGAACTGGGAGGGACTGGGATGGACTGGGAGGGACTGGGAGGGACTGGGAGGGACTGGGAGGGACTGGGAGGGACTGGGTTAAACTGGGATGGAGGAAAAGGGAACTGGGAGCACTGGGAGCACTGGAGGCCGGCGTAGCGGCGGTAAATGATCTTGAAATTGCGGAACTGGGCAAACTGGGAGTTACTGGGAGGGACTGGGAGGGACTGGGAGGGACTGGGACAAACTGGGAGGAACTGGGAGGGACTGGGAGGGACTGGGAGGAACTGGGAGGGACTGGGAGGGACTGGGATGGACTGGGAGGGACTGGGATGGACTGGGAGGGACTGGGAGGGACTGGGATGGACTGGGAGGGACTGGGAGGGACTGGGAGGGACTGGGAGGGACTGGGAGGGAACTGGGAGGGACTGGGAGGGACTGGGATGGACTGGGAGGGACTGGGAGGGACTGGGATGGACTGGGAGGGAACTGGGAGGGACTGGGAGGGACTGGGAGGGACTGGGACGGACTGGGATGGACTGGGAGGGAACTGGGATGGACTGGGAGGGAACTGGGAGGGACTGGGAGGGAACTGGGAGGGACTGGGAGGGACTGGGAGGGACTGGGAGGGACTGGGAGGGAACTGGGATGGACTGGGATGGAGGAAAAGGGAACTGGGAGCACTGGGAGCACTGGAGGCCGGCGTAGCGGCGGTAAATGATCTTGAAATTGCGGAACTGGGCAAACTGGGAGTTACTGGGAGGGACTGGGAGGGACTGGGAGGGACTGGGAGGGACTGGGAGGGAACTGGGAGGGACTGGGATGGAGGAAAAGGGAACTGGGAGCACTGGGAGCACTGCAGGCCGGCGTAGCGGCGGTAAATGATCTTGAAATTGCGGAACTGGGCAAACTGGGAGTTACTGGGAGGGACTGGGATGGACTGGGATGGACTGGGAGGGAACTGGGAGGGACTGGGATGGACTGGGAGAGACTGGGAGGGACTGGGAGGGACTGGGAGGGAACTGGGAGGGACTGGGAGGGACTGGGAGGGACTGGGAGGGACTGGGATGGACTGGGAGGGACTGGGAGGGACTGGGAGGGACTGGGATGGAACTGGGAGGGACTGGGAGGGACTGGAAGGGAACTGGGAGGGACTGGGATGGACTGGGAGGGACTGGGAGGGACTGGGAGGGACTGGGAGGGACTGGGAGGGACTGGGTTAAACTGGGATGGAGGAAAAGGGAACTGGGAGCACTGGGAGCACTGGAGGCCGGCGTAGCGGCGGTAAATGATCTTGAAATTGCGGAACTGGGCAAACTGGGAGTTACTGGGAGGGACTGGGAGGGACTGGGAGGGACTGGGACAAACTGGGAGGAACTGGGAGGGACTGGGAGGGACTGGGAGGAACTGGGAGGGACTGGGAGGGACTGGGATGGACTGGGAGGGACTGGGATGGACTGGGAGGGACTGGGAGGGACTGGGATGGACTGGGAGGGACTGGGAGGGACTGGGAGGGACTGGGAGGGACTGGGAGGGAACTGGGAGGGACTGGGAGGGACTGGGATGGACTGGGAGGGACTGGGAGGGACTGGGATGGACTGGGAGGGAACTGGGAGGGACTGGGAGGGACTGGGAGGGACTGGGACGGACTGGGATGGACTGGGAGGGAACTGGGATGGACTGGGAGGGAACTGGGAGGGACTGGGAGGGAACTGGGAGGGACTGGGAGGGACTGGGAGGGACTGGGAGGGACTGGGAGGGACTGGGAGGGAACTGGGATGGAACTGGGATGGACTGGGAGGGACTGGGAGGGGACTGGGAGGGACTGGGATAGACTGGGATGGACTGGGAGGGAACTGGGAGGGAACTGGGAGGAACTGGGAGGGAACTGGGAGGGACTGGGAGGGAACTGGGAGGGAACTGGGAGGAACTGGGAGGGAACTGGGAGGGACTGGGAGGGAACTGGGATGGACTGGGAGGGGACTGGGAGGGGACTGGGAGGAACTGGGATGAACTGGGATGGACTGGGACAAACTGGGAGGAACTGGGAGGGAACTGGGACAAACTGGGAGGGACTGGGAGGGAACTGGGACAAACTGGGAGGGAACTGGGAGGGACTGGGAGGGACTGGGAGGGACTGGGAGGGACTGGGAGGAACTGGGAGGGACTGGGAGGGACTGGGAGGGACTGGGAGGAACTGGGATGGAACTGGGACAAACTGGGATGGAACTGGGACAAACTGGGATAAACTGGGAGGGACTGGGACAAACTGGGAGGAACTGGGAGGGACCCAGCTCCCCCCAAACCTCCATTAACCCAAATCCCCATATTTTCCCTCCAAAAAAACAGTGATTTTGGGGTAAAAATGGTTATTTTGGGGTGGATAAAAGAGATTTTGGAGTACAAAATGGCAATTTTGGGGTAAAAATGGAGATTTTGGGGTAAAAATGGAGATTTTGGAGTAAAAATGGCCATTTTGGGGAGAATAGAGGAGATTTTGGGGGAAAAAAAGGCAATTTTGGGGCAAAACTTGTAATCATGAGGGGAAAATTGGCAATTTTGGGTAAAAATGGCAATTTTGGGGTGGATAAGGGTGATTTTGGAGGAAAAACTTGTGATCATGAGGGGGAAAAACACAATTTTGGGATAAAAATGGTGATTTTGGGGCAAAAACTCATGATCATGTAGGAAAACTTGGCAATTTTGGGGTGGATAAATGTGATTTTGCAGTAACAATGGTGAACATGAGAGAAAAAGGGTGATTTTGAGGTAAAAAAAGGTGATTTTGGGTAAAAATTGTGATTTTGGGGTGGATAAATGTGATTTTGGAGTAAAAATGGTGATTTGGGGGCAAAAAAGGTGATTTTGGGGTGGATAAAAGCAATTCTGAGGGAAAGACTTCTGATCATGAGGGAAAAAATGGCAATTTTGGGGTAAAAAATGGCAACTGTGGAGTAAAAATGGTGAACATGAGGTAAAAAAAGGTGATTTTGAGGTAAAAATGGTGATTTTGGAGTAAAAATTGCCATTTTTGGGTAAAAAATAGCAATTTTGGGGCAAAAACTTGTGATCATGAGGAGGAAATTGTGATTTGGGGTGAAAATTTTGATATTGGGGTGGATAAATATTTTGGAGTAAAAATGGTGATTTTGAGGTAAAAAATGGTGACTTTGGGCCAAAAATTTGTGATCATGTGGGGAAAAATGGTGATTTGGGGTAAAAATCGTGATTTTGGGGTGGATAAATGTGATTTTGGAGTAAAAATGGTGATTTGGGGGCAAAAAAGGTGATTTTGGGGTGGATAAAAGCAATTTTGAGGGAAAAACTTTTGATCGTGAGGGAAAAAAATGGCAATTTTGGGGTAAAAAATGGCAACTGTGGAGTAAAAATGGTGAACATGAGGTAAAAAAAGGTGATTTTGAGGTAAAAATGGTGATTTTGGAGTAAAAATTGCCATTTTTGGGTAAAAAATAGCAATTTTGGGGCAAAAACTTGTCATCATGAGGAGGAAATTGTGATTTTGGGTGAAAATTTTGATATTGGGGTGGATAAATATGATTTTGGAGTAAAAATGGTGATTTTGAGGTAAAAAATGGTGACTTTGGGCCAAAAATTTGTGATCATGTGGGAAAAAATGGTGATTTTGAGTAAAAATCGTCATTTTTGGGTGGATAAATGTGATTTTGGAGTAAAATTGTGATTTGGGGGTAAAAAAGGTGATTTTGGGGTGGAAAGAAGCAATTTTGAGGGAAAAACTTCTGATCATGAGGGGAAAAAATGGCAATTTGGGGTAAAAAATGGCAACTGTGGAGTAAAAATGGTGAACATGAGGTAAAAAAAGGTGACTTTGAGGTAAAAATGGTGATTTTGGAGTAAAAATTGCCATTTTTGGGTAAAAAATAGCAATTTTGGGGCAAAAACTTGTCATCATGAGGAGGAAATTGTGATTTTGGGTGAAAATTTTGATATTGGGGTGGATAAATATGATTTTGGAATAAAAATGGTGATTTTGAGGTAAAAAATGGTGACTTTGGGCCAAAAATTTGTGATCATGTGGGAGAAAATGGTGATTTTGAGTAAAAATCGTGATTTTGGGGTGGATAAATGTGATTTTGGAGTAAAAATGGTGATTTGGGGGCAAAAAAGGTGATTTTGGGGTGGATAAAAGCAATTTTGAGGGAAAAACTTCTGATCATGAGGGGAAAAAATGGCAATTTGGGGTAAAAAATGGCAACTGTGAAGTAAAAATGGTGAACATGAGGTAAAAAAAGGTGATTTTGAGGTAAAAACGGTGATTTTGGAGTAAAAATTGCCATTTTTGGGTAAAAAATAGCAATTTTGGGGCAAAAACTTGTGATCATGAGGAGGAAATTGTGGTTTTGGGTGAAAATTTTGATATTGGGGTGGATAAATATGATTTTGGAGTAAAAATGGTGATTTTGAGGTAAAAAAATGGTGACTTTGGGCCAAAAATTTGTGATCATGTGGGAGAAAATGGTGATTTTGAGTAAAAATCGTGATTTTGGGGTGGATAAATGTGATTTTGGAGTAAAAATGGTGATTTGGGGGCAAAAAAGGTGATTTTGGGGTGGATAAAAGCAATTTTGAGGGAAAAACTTCTGATCATGAGGGAAAAAAATCACAATTTGGGGTAAAAAATGGCAAATGTGGAGTAAAAATGGTGAACATGAGGTAAAAAAAGGTGATTTTGAGGTAAAAATGGTGATTTTGGAGTAAAAATTGCCATTTTTGGGTAAAAAATAGCAATTTTGGGGCAAAAACTTGTGATCATGAGGAGGAAATTGTGATTTTGGGTGAAAATTTTGATATTGGGGTGGATAAATATGATTTTGGAGTAAAAATGGTGATTTTGAGGTAAAAAATGGTGACTTTGGGCCAAAAATTTGTGATCATGTGGGGGAAAATGGTGATTTTGAGTAAAAATCGTGATTTTGGGGTGGATAAATGTGATTTTGGAGTAAAAATGGTGATTTGGGGGCAAAAAAGGTGATTTTGGGGTGGATAAAAGCAATTTTGAGGGAAAAACTTCTGATCGTGAGGGAAAAAAATGGCAATTTTGGGGTAAAAAAATGGCAATTTTGGAGTAAAAATTGTGAACATGAGGTAAAAAAAGGTGATTTTGAGGTAAAAATGGTGATTTTGGAGTAAAAATTGCCATTTTTGGGTAAAAAATAGCAATTTTGGGGCAAAAACTTGTGATCATGAGGAGGAAATTGTGATTTTGGGTGAAAATTTTGATATTGGGGTGGATAAATTTGATTTTGGAGTAAAAATGGTGATTTTGAGGTAAAAAATGGTGACTTTGGGCCAAACATTTGTGATCATGTGGGAGAAAATGGTGATTTTGAGTAAAAATCGTGATTTTGGGGTGGATAAATGTGATTTTGGAGTAAAAATGGTGATTTGGTGTAAAAAAGGTGATTTTGGGGTGGATAAAAGCAATTTTGAGGGAAAAACTTCTGATCGTGAGGGAAAAAAATTGCAATTTGGGGTAAAAAATGGCAACTGTGGAGTAAAAATGGTGAACATGAGGTAAAAAAAGGTGATTTTGAGGTAAAAATGGTGATTTTGGAGTAAAAATTGCCATTTTTGGGTAAAAAATAGCAATTTTGGGGAAAAAAACTTGTGATCATGAGGGGGAAATAGTGATTTTGGGTAAAAATTGTGATATTGGGGTGGATAAATGTGATTTTGGAGTAAAAATGGTGATTTTGAGGTAAAAAATGGTGACTTTGGGCCAAAAATTTGTGATCATGTGGGAGAAAATGGTGATTTTGAGTAAAAATCGTGATTTTTGGGGTGGATAAATGTGATTTTGGATTAAAAATGGTGATTTGGGGGTAAAAAAGGTGATTTTGGGGTGGATAAAAGCAATTTTGAGGGAAAAACTTCTGATCATGAGGGAAAAAATCGCAATTTGGGGTAAAAAATGGCAATTTTGGAGTAAAAATGGTGATTTTGGTGTAAAAAAATGTGATTTTGGTGTGGAAAAAGGCGATTTTGGGGTAAAAAAAGGAGATTTTGGGGTTTTTACCTCGACAAAATTGGTGTGTTTGGCGTCCCTGACGGTGACCACGGCGTGAACCTCCTCGATGAGTTTCTGCTTCTCGTCATCGTCAAACTGCATGTACCACTTGGCCAGGCGGGTCTTGCCGGCCCGGTTCTGGATCAGGATGAAGCGGATCTGCCCCGGAATTCCCAAAAAAAAATCGAGATTTTGGGATGTTAAAATTTGGGGGAAATCGGGAAAATGGTGTCCCTGAAATTCCCATTTTATCAGCATCAAACTTCAAATTTTATTGTGATTTAAGGGAAGGTTCCCAGCCCGGTTCTGGGTCAGGATGAAGCGGATCTGCCCCGGAATTCCCCCAAAAAAATTGGGATTTTGGGATGTTAAAATTTGGGGGAAATCGGGAAAATTGTGTCCCTGAAATTCCCATTTTATCAGCATCAAATTTCAAATTTTATCGTGATTTAAGGGAAGGTTCCCAGCCCGGTTCTGGGTCAGGATGAAGCGGATCTGCCCCGGAATTCCCCAAAAAAAATCGGGATTTTGGGATGTTAAAATTTGGGGGAAATTGGGAAAATTATGTTCCTGAAATTCCCATTTTATCAGCATCAAACTTCAAATTTTATCGTGATTTAAGGGAAGGTTCCCAGCCCGGTTCTGGGTCGGGATGAAGCGGATCTGCCCCGGAATTCCCAAAAAAAATTTGGGGTTTTGGGAGGGTTAAAATTTGGGGGAAATCGGAAAAATTCCATCCCCAAAATTGTGGAAAACTCCAAAATCCCTTCATAAAAACACTAAAATAGTAAAATCCCCTTCAAAAAGACCCTAAATTGAAAAAAATCCAGAACACCCCAAGATCTCCTCATAAAATCCAAAAATAATTAAACTCCCCTCAGATCCCCTCAAAAAGGACCCTAAATTGGGAAAAAACCCAAAACACCCTAAAATCTCCTCATAAGAAATCTAAAATCATTAAAACCCCCCTCAGAACCACTCAAAATTCCCTTCAAAAAGACATTAAATTGGAAAAAGCCCAAAACACCCCAAAATCTCATAAAAAATCTGAAATAATTAAATCCCCCCTCAGAACCCCCAAAAACCCCTTAAAAAAGACCCTAAATTGGGAAAAATCCCAGAATCTCCTCACAAAAACCCGAAAAATAGAGAAACCCTCCTCAGAACCCCTCAAAATCCCCCTCAATAAGGACCCTAAATTGGGAAAAATCCCAAAACACCCCAAAATCTCCTCATAAAAACTCAAAAATAGCAAACTTCCCTCAGAACCACTCAAAATGAGCCTCAAAAAGACCCTAAATTAGGAAAAATCCCAAAATCTCCTCATAAAACTCAAAAATAATTATTCCCACCTCAGAACCCCTCAAAGCCCCCCTTGAAAAGGACCCTAAATTGGGAAAAATCCCAAATCTCCTCATAAAATCTCAAAAATAGCAAACCTCCCCTCAGAACCAGTCAAAAAGACCCTTAATTGGGAAAAAAAATCCCAAAACACCCCAAAATCTCATAAAAACTCAAAAGTTGTGGTCCCCCTTCAGAACCTCTCAAAAACCTCCTCAAAAAGGACCCTAAATTGGGAAAAACCACAAAATCTCCTCATAAAACCACCAAAAATAGAGAAACCCTCCTCAGAACCGCTCAAAATCCTCCTCAAAAAGGACCCTAAATTGAGAAAAATCCCAAAACACCCCAAAATCTCCTCATAAAACCTCAAAAATAGCAAACTTCCCTCAGAACCCCTCAAAATCCCCCTTAAAAAGGACCCTAAATTGGGAAAAACCCCAAAATCTCCTCATAATAACGCCAAAAATAGAAAAACCCCCCTCAGAACCTCTCAATATCCTCCTCAAAAAGGACCGTAAATTGTCAAACACCCAAAAATTCCCCTGATAAACCCCAAAACAGTGAATCCCCCCTCAGAACCCCTCAAAATTCCCCTCAAAAAGACCCTATATTGGGAAAAACCCCAAAATATCCTCACAAAAACCTAAAAATAATTAAACTCCTCCTCAGGAACTCTCAAAATCCCCCCTTAAAAAGGACCCTAAATTGGGAAAAATCCCAAAACACCCCAAAATCTCCTCATAAAAACTCAAAAATAGCAAACTTCCCTCAGAACCCCTCAAAATCCTCCTTAAAAAGGACCCTAAATTGGGAAAAATCCCAAAACACCCCAAAATCTCCTCATAAAAACTCAAAAATAGCAAACTTCCCTCAGAACCCCTCAAAATCCCCCTTAAAAAGGACCCTAAATTGGGAAAAACCCCAAAATCCCCTCATAAAACTCCAAAAATAGAGAACCTCCTCCTCAAAAAAAAAAAAACCAAACCTGCACCTCAAAAAGACCCTAAATTGTCAAAACCCCAAATATCTCCTCATAAAGCCCCAAAACAGCAACCCCCACCTCAGAATCCCCTTCAAAAAAACCCCTACGCTATAAAAAAACCCAAAACCCCCCAAAATCTTCTCATGAAAAATCTAAAAATAATTAAACCCCCTCAGACCCCCTGTCCCCCCCCCTCACTTCCCCTCACGGCTCTTCAGGCCCGATCCCCCCTCAGATCCTTCCCCCCCTTCCCATTCCTGCTGTCCCCCTCGGATGTCCGCTGCCCTGAGGGGTTCTCACCATGGCGGTGCCGGTTCCGATCCCGTTTCCCGGTTCCGATCCCGGTTCTCGGTTCCGATCCCGTTCCCGGTTCCGATCCCGTTCCCGGTTCCGCCCCCCCCTCACAGCCAGGCCCAGGCGCTTCCCGCCTCCGCTAGAGGGCGCCCCGCGCCGCCCGCACTGCGCCTGCGCGGAACCTCCCGTTCCCGCCCTTTCCCCCCTCACCTTTCCCGCCCCTCCCTCAAATTCCCGCCTCCCCCCTCCCCAAAATTCTCAACGCCCCCTCCCCAAAATTCCTGCCGCGGCAATGAAGGATGGCGATCAGAAGGAAATTTGTAGCCCACTCCCCAAATTCCACCTCCCCCACCCCATCTTCCGCGGACACGCCCCGCCCACACCGCTGTTAGCCACGCCCCCTTTCCTCATTCCCCCTACCCAAATTCTCTCCCGGTTTTCGCCCCCTCCCCAAATTTTCTCTCTCCCCCCTCCACCCATCCCGGTTTTCGCCCCCTCCCCAAATTCCGCCGCACCCCCCTCCGAAATCCCGCTGGTTCCGCCCCCCACCCTATTAAAACCACGCCCTAAACCACGCCCACTCCCCTAATTCTGCCCCCTCCCATTCCTTGCCCCCAGCCCCAAAATTCCCGCCTCTCTTTGCTTCCTTCCCTCCCCACAACTCCGCCTCAAAATTCTCGTTTTTCCCATAAAATTCCCTGTTTTCCCCCTCCAAAAAAATTAAAAATTCCCAGTTTCCCTCCCCTCCCAAAACAAAAAATTCCCGGTGTTCTCCTCACAAGCCCCGCCCATGACCACGCCCCCTTCGTTTAGCCCCGCCCCTCCCGCCGCTCCCGCCGCTCCCCTCACGGTGCCGCCCCTCCCCTCCCTCCGCGCACGCGCTCCCGCCATTCCCCCCCCCCACCCCGTCCGTGATCGTGAAGGCGGAGGGAGGAGGAGGAGGAGGAGGTGGCGGCTGAGGGTGGGTGAGGGGGGGTTTAGAGAGGAGGAGGAAGGCGCCGCCGCCATTACAGGCCGAGCCCGCCCCGGCGGCCCCCACCGCCTTCGCCCCGCCCGCCGCCACCGCCCCGAGCGCGGACATGGCGCTGCCGCCGCCTCCCGCCGCCCCCGGCCCGGCTCGATGCTGCCGCCGCCGTTTCTCCGGTAAGAAAAAAAAAACCTTTTCCCTCCTCATCTTCTTCACCCTCAGCGCCACCATCGCCGCCTTTTCTCTTTGGGAAACCCCCCCCCTTCGAAACCCCCCCCCAGAAGAACAATGGGCCGCCCCACCCCCGCCCGCCGCGCGCCCGCCGGGCCGGCCCATGATCCCCGGGGGGGGGGGGGGGGGGGCGAGCGGCCCGTGAGGGGGGCCCGGGAGAGACCAACCCCCCGTAATGGGGGGGGGGAGGGAGGGGGGGATGAGACCGACCCCCCCCATCCGTCCGTTCTCAATGGTTGCGCCGCCCGTTGGTGGGGGGGGCTGTGGGGGGGAGACCCCCGAGAGGGGACCCCCAAATTTAGGGGGGGATCACCCCAAAATTGGGGAGACTGGAAGAGAGACCACCCCTAAATTGGGGGGCTTATGGGGGAGACCATTCCCCCAAATTGGGGGGGATTAGGAGGGGAGGCTGCTCTAGTTTGGGGGGCTTAGGGGGGAGACCACCCCAAAAATCCCAAAAATTGGGGGGATTTGGAGGGGTGACCACCCCAAAATTGGGGGGCTTAGGGGGGAGACCACCCCAAATTGGGGGGGATTTAGAGGGGAGACCACCCCAAAATTGGGGGTACATAAAGGGGAGACCCCCTCCCAATTTTGGGGGGATTTAGAGGGGAGACCACCCCAAAATTGGGGGGATTTAGAGGGGACACCACCCCAAAATTGGGGGGATTTGGAGGGGAGACCACCCCAAAATTGGGGGGCTTAATGGGGAGACCACCCCAAAATTGGGGGGGATTTAGAGGGGAGAGCACCCCCAAATTGGGGGGATTTGGAGGGGAGACCACCCCAAAATTGGGGGCCTTAGCGGGGAGACCACCCCAAAATTGGGGGAGGCTGGAGGGGAGACCACCCCAAAATTGGGGGGCTTAATGGGGAGACCACCCCCAAATTGGGGGGAATTTAGAGGGGAGACCACCCCCAAATTAGGGGGCAGACCACCCTCACTTTGAGGGTACATAGAGAGGAGGACACCCCAAAATTGGGGGGCTTAGTTGGGGAGAGCACCCCCAAATTGGGGGGGATTTGGAGGGGAGACCACCCCAAAATTGGGGGGCTTTGGAGGGGAGACCACCCCAAAACTGGGGGTACATAAAGGGGAGACCCCCTCCCAATTTTGGGGGGATTTAGAGGGGAGACCACCCTAAAATTGGGGGGCTTAGTGGGGAGATCACCCCAAAATTGGGGGAGGCTGGAGGGGAGACCACCCCAAAACTGGGGGGCTTAATGGGGAGACCACCCCAAAATTGGGGGGAAGTTCGGAGGAGAGACCACCCCAAAATAGGGGGGGATTTAGAGGGGAGACCACCCCCAAATTAGGGGGGAGACCACCCTCACTTTGAGGGTACATAGAGAGGAGGACACCCCAAAATTGGGGGGCTTAGTTGGGGAGAGCACCCCAAAATTAGGGGGGAGACCACCCCCAAATTGGGGGGATTTAGAGGGGAGACCACCCCAGAACTTGGGGTACATAAAGGGGAGACCCCCTCCCAATTTTGGGGGTACATAGAGGGGAGACCACCCCAAAATTGGGGGGACTGGAAGGGAGATCATCCCAAATTTTGGGGGAGACCCCCCTCCCCAAAATTGGGGTCTCCTCTCAAATCCCTCTCCCCAAATTTGGGGTTCCTCTCCCAAAATTGGGGTCATCCCCCTCCCCAAATTGGGGATCCCCCCTCAAATCCCATCCCCAAATTCCTTAAATCCCCCTCCCCAAAATTGGGGTCTCCCCTCAAATCCCCCTCCCCAAAATTTGGGTTCCCCCCTCCCCAAATTGGGGTACCCCCTCCCCAAAATTGGGGTCTTCCCTCAAATCCCTCTCCCCAAATTTGGGGTTCCTCTCCCAAAATTTGGGTCATCCCCCTCCTCAAATTGGGTCTCCCCTCAAATCCCCCTCCCCAAAATTGGGGTCTCCCCCTCCCCAAATTGGGGATCCCCCCTCAAATCCCATTCCCAAATTCCTCAAATCCCCCTCCCCAAATTGGGGTTCCCCCCTCCCCAAAATTGGGCTCTCCCCTCAAATCCCCTTCCCCAAATTTGGGCTCTCCCCTCAAATCCCCCTCCCCAAATTTGGGGTTCCCCCCTCCCCAAAATTGGGGTCTCCCCTCAAATCCCCCTCCCCAAATTCCCCTTTTTTAGTGGTCAGGAGCTCCCAAAAATCCCAATTTTCCCCCCAAACCTCCTTTGATTTTCCCGTTTTTCCTCAATTTTTCCTTTTTTTTTTTGGGATATTTTGGGGTTTTTTGGATGCCCCCAAATTCCCTTTTTTTTTTTTATTTTTCCCGGAGTTCTCGATGTTCTCAGGCACTAAAAAAGCTCCTTTTTATTCCCAAAAAAAATTCCCAGCGGGAGACAAAGATCTTTTATCCCGGTTTTTTTGGGGGGGTTTCCGTGGAAAAAAGGGGTTTCCTGAGTCCTGGGAAATTCGGGGAGTTTTGGGAAGTTTTTAGGGAATTTTTTGGGATTTATTTGGGTTTTTTTGGGGATTTTTTAGTGAATATTTTGGGATTTATTTGGGAATTTTTTGGGGACTTCTGGGTTTTTTTGGGGGGGATTTTTTGGGGGGAATTTTGGTTTTTTGGGGGTTTTTTAGGGAATTTTTTGGGATTTTTAGGGAATATTTTGGGTTCTTTTGGGGTTTTTTATAGGAAATTTTTTGGGAATTCAGGATTATTTTTGGATTTTTTTGGGAATTATTTGGGGATTTTTATGGGGTTTTTTTGGGGAAATTTTAGGGATTTTTGAGTTCTTTTGGGGATTTTTTTTTGGATTTTTGGGGTTTTTTTGAGGTTTTTTTGAGGTTTTTGGTGGGGGTTGGGGAATTTTTTGAGGTTTTTTGGGATTTTTGTTTTGGTTTTTTGGGAGAATTTTGGGGATTTACTTGATTTTATTTTTAGGGATTCTTGGAGATTTTTTGGGGTTTTTTTGGGGAGTTTTGGGCGATTTTTTTGAGGTTTCCTTGAGGATTTTTTTAGTTTTTTTGGGAGAATTTTGGGGAAAATTTTAGGATTCCTGGGGAATTTTTTGGGGAAAATTTTAGGATTTTTTGGGATTTTTTTTTGGTGGGGGGGGATTTAGGGAATTTTTTGTGATTTCCTGGGATTTATTTTGGAGGGATTTTCTTGGGAATTTTTTATTATTTCTTGGGATTTTTTGGGGTCAGATTTTCATTTTTCCCACCTGGATTTGTCGCTTCCATCCGAAATGTTGGGATTTCTCCTCCAGGAAAGTGGGAAAATTATCCCAGAAAATCCCAAATATTGGGAAAATTATCCCAGAAAATCCCAAATATGGGGAAAATTATCCAAGAAAATCCCAAAAATTGGGAAAAACATCCCAGAAAAATCTCAAAAAATAAGAAAAACATCCCTGAAAATCCCCAAAATAGGGGAAAATATCCCAGAAATCCCAAAATTTGGGAAAAATATCTCAGAAAATCCCAAAAATTGGAGAAATTATGCCAGAAATCCCAAAATTTAGGAAAAATACCCCCAAAAATCCAAATATTTGGGAAAAATATCCCAGAAAATCCCAAAAATTGGGGAAAAATATCCCAGAAAATTCCAAAATTTGGGAAAAATATCCCAGAAAATTCCAAAATTTGGGAAAAACATCCCAGAAAAATGCAAATATTTGGGAAAAATATCCCAGAAAATCCCAAAATTTGGGATCAACATTTCCAAAAATCCCAAAATTTGGGAAAAATATCCCAGAAAACCCCAAATTTCCCCCGGGAATTCCCGGATCCGGAAGAAAATTCCAGGAAATCCCGGGCAGAACTTTGACCCCAAGGTCATTCCCAAAATTTTGGGATCGGGAGGTGGAAAAATCCTTTTTTTTTGGGAATTGTTGGAATTTTGGGATTTTTTGGGGGGGATTTGAGGTTTCCAACAGGAAATTTTGGGAAAAAAAGGACAAAAATTCCAACCCCTCCCCCCAGCTCCGGCGGCTCCGGCGTTCCCGGACTTTGGAATCCACCAGGAAACGCTGAGTCAGGGAAAAAAAACGGGAATTCCAGGGGGAAAATCGGGAATTCCGGGGAAAATCGGGAATTTTCGGGGGTTTAAAGCCGGAATTTGCAGCTCTGGGTGAGGATTCATCCCCGGAATTTTGGGATTTTTTTGGATTTTTTGGGAAATTTGGGGTCAATCAGGAACTGCTGACTCAGGGAATTCCAGAAAAATCGGCAATTCCAGGGGGAAAAATCGGGAATTCTGGGGAAAATTGGGAATTTTCAGGAGTTTAAAACCGGAATTTGCAGCTCTGGGTGAGGATTCATCCCCGGAATTTTGGGATTTTTTGGGATTTTTTGGGAAATTTGGGGTCAATCGGGAACTGCTGACTCAGGGAATTCCAGAAAAATCGGCAATTCCAGGGGAAAATTGAGTATTCCAGGGGAAAATTGGGAATTTTTGGGGGTTTAAAGCCGGAATTTGCAGCTCTGGGTGAGGATTCATCCCCAGAATTTTTGGGAATTTTGGGATTTTTGGGATTTTTTGGGATTTTTGGGATTTTTTGGGATTTTTGGGATTTTTTGGGAAATTTGGGGTCAATCAGCAACTGCTGACTCAGGGAATTCCAGAAAAATTGGGAATTCCAGGGGAAAAACTGGGAATTTTGGGGGATTTAAAGCCGGAATTTGCAGCTCTGGGTGAGGATTCATCCCCGGGAATTTTGGGATTTTTGGGATTTTGGGGATTTTTAGGATTTTTTGGGAAATTTGGGGTCAATCAGGAACTGCTGACTCAGGGAATTCCAGAAAAATCGGCAATTCCAGGGGGAAAAATTGGGAATTCTGGGGAAAATCGGGAATTTTCAGGAGTTTAAAACCGGAATTTGCAGCTCTGGGTGAGGATTCATCCCCGGAATTTTTGGGATTTTGGGGATTTTTGGGGATTTTTGGGGATTTTTGGGATTTTTTTTGAAATTTGGGGTCAATCAGGAACTGCTGAGTCAGGGAATTCCAGAAAAATCGGGAATTCCAGGGGGAGAAATCGGGAATTCTGGGGAAAATCGGGAATTTTCAGGAGTTTAAAACCGGAATTTGCAGCTCTGGGTGAGGATTCATCCCCGGAATTTTGGGAATTTTTGGGAATTTGGGGTCAATCAGGAACTGCTGACTCAGGGAATTCCAGAAAAATCGGGAATTCCAGGGGAAAATCGGGAATTTTCGGGGATTTAAAGCCGGAATTTGCAGCTCTGGGTGAGGATTCATCACCGGAATTTTTGGGAATTTTGGGATTTTTGGGATTTTTTGGGAAATTTGGGGTCAATCAGGAACTGCTGACTCAGGGAATTCCAGAAAAATCGGCAATTCCAGGGGAAAATTGGGAATTCCAGGGGAAAAATCGGGAATTTTCGGGGCTTTAAAGCCGGAATTTGCAGCTCTGGGTGAGGATTCACACCCGGAATTTTTGGGAATTTTGGGATTTTGGGGATTTTTGGGGATTTTTGGGATTTTTTTTGAAATTTGGGGTCAATCAGGAACTGCTGACTCAGGGAATTCCAGAAAAATTGGCAATTCCAGGGGAAAATTGAGTATTCCAGGGGAAAAATTGGGAATTTTCGGGGGTTTAAAGCCGGAATTTGCAGCTCTGGGTGAGGATTCATCCCCGGAATTTTTGGGATTTTTTGGGATTTTTGGATTTTTTGGGAAATTTGGAGTCAATCAGGAACTGCTGACTCAGGGAATTCCAGAAAAATCGGCAATTCCAGGGGGGAAAATTGGGAATTTTGGGGAAAATTGGGAATTTTCGGGGGTTTAAAGCCGGGATTTGCAGCTCTGGGTGAGGATTCATCCCCAGAATTTTGGGATTTTTTGGGATTTTGGGGATTTTTTTGGGAAATTTGGGGTCAATCAGGAACTGCTGAGTCAGGGAATTCCAGGGAAAATAGTCAGGAATTTTTGGGTGTCCACCATGGAGAGTCTTTGGTTGGGTGGAGAGGTTGTGTCCATCATGGTGAAGAAGTTGTGTCCATCATGGTGGAGAAGTTGTGACCATCATGGTGGAAGAGTTGTGTCCATCATGGTGGAAGAGTTGTGTCCACCATGGAAGGTCTTTGGTTGGGTGGATAAGTTGTGTCCACCATGGTGGGAAGTTGTGTCCACCATGGTGGAAGAGTTGTGTCCACCATGGAACATCTTCAGTTGGGTGGAGGAGTTGTGTCCACCATGGAAGGCCTTTGGTTGGGTGGAGGAGTCGTGTCCATCGTGGTGACCTTTGGTTGGGTGGAAGAGTTGTGTCCACCATGGAAGGTCTTTGGTTGGGTGGAGAAGTTGTGTCCATCATGGTGGAGAAGTTGTGTCCATCATGGTGGAGAAGTTGTGTCCATCATGGCGGAGAAGTTGTGTCCATCATGGTGGAAGAGTTGTGTCCACCATGGAAGGTCTTTGGTTGGGTGGAAGAGTTGTGTCCATCATGGAGAGTCCTTGGTTGGGTGGAAGAGTTGTGTCCACCATGGTGAAGAAGTTGTGTCCATCATGGTGGGGAAGTTGTGTCCATCATGGTGGAGAAGTTGTGTCCATCATGGAGGGGATGTTGTGTCCACCATGGTGGAAGAGTTGTGTCCATCATGGTGGAAGAGTTGTGTCCACCATGGTGAAGAAGTTGTGTCCACCATGGAAGATCTTTGGTTGGCTGTAAGAGTTCTGTCCACCATGGAAGGTCTTTGGTTGGGTGGAGAAGTTGTGTCCACCATGGTGGAGAAGTTGTGTCCATCATGGTGAAGAAGTTGTGTCCACCATGGTGGGTCTTTGGTTGGGTGAAGAAGTTGTGTTCGTCATGGTGGAGAAGTTGTGTCCACCATGGTGAAGGAGTTGTGTCCATCATGGTGAAGAAGTTGTGTCCACCATGGAAGGTCTTCGGTTGGGTGGAAGAGTTGTGTCCATCATGGAGAGTCTTTGGTTAGGTGGAGAAGTTGTGTCCACCATGGTGAAGAAGTTGTGTCCATCATGGTGGAAGAGTTGTGTTCGTCATGGTGGAGAAGTTGTGTCCACCATGGTGAAGGATTTGTGTCCACCATGGTGGAGAAGTTGTGTCCATCATGGTGGAAGAGTTGTGTCCATCATGGAAGGTCTTCCGTTGGGTGGAAGAGTTGTGTCCATCATGGTGGAAGAGTTGTGTCCACCATGGTGGAAGAGTTGTGTCCACCATGGAGAACCTTCGTTTGGGTGGAAGAGTTGTGTCCATCATGGTGGAAGAGTTATGTCCACCATGGTGAAGGAGTTGTGTCCATCATGGAGAACCTTCAGTTGGGTGGAAGAATTGTGTCCATCATGGTGGAAGAGTTGTGTCCACCATCGAAGGTCTTCCGTTGGGTGGAAGAGTTGTGTCCATCATGGAGAGTCTTTGGTTGGGTGGAAGAGTTGTGTCCATCATGGAGAGTCTTTGGTTGGGTGGAGAAGTTGTGTCCACCATGGCGGAGAAGTTGTGTCCATCATGGTGGAAGTGTTGTTTCCACCATGGAAGGTCTTTGGTTGGGTGGAAGAGTTGTGTCCATCATGGAGAGTCCTTGGTTGGGTGGAAGAGTTGTGTCCACCATGGTGAAGAAGTTGTGTCCATCATGGTGGGGAAGTTGTGTCCATCATGGTGGAAGAGTTGTGTCCATCATGGTGGAAGAGTTGTGTCCACCATGGTGAAGAAGTTGTGTCCACCATGGAAGATCTTTGGTTGGCTGTAAGAGTTCTGTCCACCATGGAAGGTCTTTGGTTGGGTGGAGAAGTTGTGTCCACCATGGTGGAGAAGTTGTGTCCATCATGGTGGAGAAGTTGTGTCCATCATGGAGGGGATGTTGTGTCCACCATGGTGGAAGAGTTGTGTCCACCATGGAAGGCCTTTGGTTGGGTGGAGGAGTCGTGTCCATCGTGGTGACCTTTGGTGGGGTGGAAGAGTTGTGTCCATCATGGAAGGCCTTTGGTTGGGTGGAAGAGTTGTGTCCACCATGGAGAACATCCAGTTGGGTGGAAAACTCCTCGCTCACCTTCTCCTCTCTCTCTCCCCGCAGGGCGACGCCTGGGCCGCCCGTCGGCGGCGCCCACCGCGGCCTTCTGAAGCCGCGCCGGCGCTCCCGGCATGGCCACGCCGCGCCTGCCCTGAGACCCGTCCCCCGCCCCCGCCAACGCCGCGCCCGCGCCGGGGCCGCCATGCTGCGACCATGATGATGGCCCGCAAGCAAGATGGCCGCACGCCCACCTACAACGTCAGCGTGGTGGGGCTGTCCGGCACCGAGAAGGAGAAAGGCCAGTGCGGCGTCGGCAAATCTTGCCTTTGCAACCGATTCGTGCGGCCCGGCGCCGACGACTTCCACTTGGAGCACACCTCGGTGCTCAGCACCAGTGACTTCGGGGGCAGGGTGGTCAACAATGACCACTTCCTCTACTGGGGCGAGGTGGCGCGGCCGCTGGAGGAGTGCGCCGAGTGCCGCGTCCACGTGGTGGAGCAGACGGAGTTCATCGACGACCAGACCTTCCAGCCGCACCGCAGCACCGCGCTGCAGCCCTACATCAAGAGGGCGGCGGCCACCAAGTTGGCGTCGGCGGAGAAGTTGATGTACTTCTGCACCGACCAGCTGGGCTTGGAGCAGGACTTCGAGCAGAAGCAGATGCCCGACGGCAAGCTGCCGGTGGACGGGTTCCTGCTCTGCGTGGACGTCAGCCGCGGCATGAACCGCAACTTCGACGAGCAGCTCAAGTTCGTCTCCAACCTCTACAACCAGCTGGCCAAAACCAAGAAACCCGTGGTGGTGGTGCTGACCAAGTGCGACGAGGGCGTGGAGCGCTACATCCGCGACGCCCACGCCTTCGCCCTGGGCAAGAAGAACCTGCAGGTGGTGGAGACCTCGGCGCGTTCCAACGTCAACGTGGAGCTGGCGTTCGGCACCTTGGTGCAGCTGTTGGACAAGAGCCGCGGCAAAGCCAAGATCATCCCCTACTTCGAGGCGCTCAAGCAGCAGAGCCAGCAGATCGCCGCCGCCAAGGACCGCTACGAGTGGCTGGTCAGCCGCGTGGTCAAGAGCCACCACGAGGTGTGGCCGGACGTCAGCCGGCGCATGCGGTCGGCGCCGGAGTACCAAGATTACGTCTACTTGGAGGGCACCCAGAAGGCCAAGAAGCTCTTCCTGCAGCACGCGCAGCGCCTCAAGCAGGAGCACGTCGAGCGGCGCCGCCGCGCGTACCTGGCGCTGCTGCCGCAGGCGCTGGACGCCCTCGTGCCGGATCTGGACGAGATCGACCGCCTGAGCCGCGCCAAGGCCGAGAAGCTGCTGGAGGCCAAACCCGACTTCCTCAAGTGGTTCGTGGTGCTGGAGGAGACGCCGTGGGACGCCACCGACCACGTGGACGACGCCGACAACGAGCGCATCCCCTTCGACCTGCTGGAGACGCCGGCGGCCGAGCAGCTCTACGAGGCCCACCTGGAGAAGCTGCGCGCCGAGCGGAAGCGCGCCGAGATGCGGAGGGCGTTCCTGGAGAACCTGGAGAGCTCGCCCTTCGTCACGCCCGGCAAACCCTGGGAGGAGGCGCGCAGCTTCATCATGAACGAGGACTTCTACCTCTGGCTGGACGAGTCGGTCTACGTGGACATCTACGGCAAGCACCAGAAGCGCCTGATCGACAAAGCCAAGGAGGACTTCCAAGAGCTGCTCCTGGAGTACTCGGAGCTCTTCTACGAGCTGGAGCTGGACGCCAAACCCAGCAAGGAGAAGATGGGCGTCATCCAGGAGGTGTTGGGCGAGGAGCAGCGCTTCAAGGCGCTGCAGAAGCTGCAGGCCGAGCGCGACGCGCTGGTCCTCAAGCACATCCACTTCGTCTACCACCCCACCAAGGAGACGTGTCCCGGCTGCGGCGCCTGCGTGGACGCCCGCGTGGAGCAGCTGCTGGCCTCGCGCTTCGCCCGGCCGGCCCAGCGGCGCGGCGACGCCGACGCCGACCGCATCAACCTGGTCATCCTGGGCAAGGACGGCTTGGCGCGCGAGCTGGCCAACGAGATCCGCGCCCTCTGCGCCGACGACGACAAGTACGTCATCGAGGGCAAGGTCTACGAGTTGGCCTTGAGGCCCATCGAGGGCAACGTGCGGCTGCCGGTCAACGCCTTCCAAACGCCGACCTTCCAACCGCACGGCTGCCTGTGCCTCTACAACTCCAAGGAGTCGCTGTCCTACGTGGTGGAGAGCGTGGAGAAGAGCCGCGAGTCGGCCGCCGGCCGCCGCGACGGCCACGCCGCGCCGCAGCTGCCCCTGGCGCTGGTGTTGGTCAACAAGCGCGGCGGCGGCGAGGGCGGCGGCGAGACGCTGCAGAGCCTCATCCAGCAGGGCCAGCGCATCGCCGGCAAGCTGCAGTGCGTCTTCCTGGACCCGGCGTCGGCCGGCATCGGCTACGGCCGCACCATCAACGAGAAGCAGATCGGCCAAGTCCTCAAGGGGCTGCTGGACGCCAAACGCGGCCTCGGCGCCGCGCCGGCGCCGGGCCCCCGGGACGCGGCCGACGGCGCCGAGCTGCGCCTGGCGGCGTGCCTGATGTGCGGCGACCCGGTGAGCGCCGAGGAGGCGCTGCTGCCCATCCTGCAGGCGCAGCCGTGCCGGGCGGCGCCGGGCGGCGGCGCGGCGGTGCTGCTGGAGGCGGCGGTGGGGCCGCAGCGGCGGCGGGTGGAGCTGGCGCTGCTGTCGTACCACGCGGCCTTCGGGCTGCGCAAGAGCCGCCTGGTGCACGGCTACATCGCCTTCTACGCCGCGCGGCGCCGCGCCTCGCTGGCCACGCTGCGCGCCTTCCTCGCCGACGTGCCGGACATCGTGCCGGTGCAGCTGGTGGCGCTGGCCGACGGCGCCGAGGCGGAGGACGAGGTGAGCCGCGAGCAGCTGGCGGAGGGCGAGGAGATGGCGCAGGAGATGGAGGCGCGGTTCGCCGCCCTGCCGCGCGGCCACGCCAAGCTGGACGTCTTCCAGCCCTTCCTCAAGGACGCGCTGGACAAGAAGAACGTGGTGGAGGCGGCGCACATGTACGACAACGCCGCCGAGGCCTGCGGCGCCGCCGAGGACGTCTTCAACTCGCCGCGCGCCGGATCGCCGCTCTGCAACTCCCACGCTGCCGACTCCGAGGAGGACGCCGAGGCGCCGCCGGGCTCCAGCCCCTTCCGCGAGGAGATCGCCAAACTCTGCGCCGAGCCGGACGGCGGTGACGCCGCCGGGTTCGTCGCGGCGTCCTCCAAGATGCCGCCCAAACCCAAAGCGCCGTCGCATTTCGAGGCGGCCGATGGCCACCGCGACATCCGGCGGCGCTCGGCGTCGTCGTCGGCGTGGCTGGCGGCGGATTGCTTCGACCCTTCGGACTACGCCGAGCCCATGGACGCGGTGGCCAAGCCGCGCAGCGAGGAGGAGAACATCTACTCAGTTCCTCAGGACAGCACCCAAGGCAAGATCATCACCGTGCGCAACATCAACAAGGCGCCGTCCAACGGCGGCAGCGGCAACGGCTCCGACAGCGAGATGGACAGCGGCTCCCTGGAGCGCCGCGGCCGCCACGGCGTCACCGTCACCGCCAAACCGCGGCTCTACCGCGCCCGCTGCGCGCGGCTCGGCCGCTTCGCCGGCTACCGGCCCGGCCTCGGCGTCGGCAGCGACGATGAGTTGGGCTCGGGCAGGAAGAAGGACGAAGAACCCGGCGGCCATGGCGGGTACAAGGGGGACAGCGCCGGAATGGCCTTCGAGGCGGCCGACGGGGAGGATCCGCGCCGCAGGAACATCCTCAGGAGCCTCAGGAGGACCACCAAGGTGGGCTTGGAGGGGGCGTTGCGGGGTGGTGGTCAAGGTCAAGGAGGGGTGGGATGGCCCAGTGGTCAGTGGTCATCCCTGTGGTCATCCTGTGGTCAGTGGAGGATCTCAGGAGCTTCAGGAGGACACCAAGGTGGGGTTTGGAGGGGTCATTTTGGGGTGATGGGCAAGGTCAAGGAGGGGTGGGAATGGTGGAATGTCCCTGTGGTCATCCCAGTGGTCAGTGGAGGATCCCCCAGGGGGAACATCCTCAGGAGCCTACAGAGGACACCGAGGTGGGGCTTGGAGGGGTCATCTTGGGGTGAGGGTCAAGGTCAAGGAGAGCTGGGATGGTCCAGTGGTCAGTGGTCATCCCAGTGGTCAGTGGTGATCCCTGTGGTCATCCTGTGGTCATTGGAGGATCTCAGGAGCTTCAGGAGGACACCACGGTGGGGCTTGGGGTGAAGGTGCGGCTTGGAGGGGTCATTTTGGGGTGAGGGTCAAGGTCAAGGAGGGCTGGGAATGGTGGAATGTCCCTGTGGTCATCTCAGTGGTCAGTGGTCATCCCTGTGGTCATCTCAGTGGTCATCCTGTGGTCATTGGAGGATCTCAGGAGCTTCAAGAGGACTCCAAGGTGGGGCTTGGGGTGAAGGTGGGGCTTGGAGGGGTCATCTTGGGGTGGTGGTCAACCTTGAGAAGGGGTGGGATGGCTCAGTGGTCATCTCAGTGGTCAGTGGTCATTCCTGTGGTCATCCCTGTGGTCAGTGGAGGATCTCAGGAGCTTCAGGAGGACACCGAGGTGGGGCTTGGAGGGGTCACTTTGGGTGGTGGGCAAGGTCAAGGAGGGGTGGGATGGTGGAATGTCCCTGTGGTCATTGCAGTGGTCATCCCAGTGGTCAATGGAGGATCTCAGGAGCTTCAGGAGGACTCCAAGGTGGGGCTTGGGGTGAAGGTGGGGCTTGGAGGGGGCGTTTCGGGGTGGTGGTCAAGGTCAAGGAGGGGTGGGATGGTCCAGTGGTCAGTGGTCATCTCAGTGGTCATCCTATGGTCAGTGGAGGAGCTCAGGAACTTCAGGAGGACACCGAGGTGGGGCTTGGAGGGGCGTTTCGGGCTGGTGGTCAAGGTCAAGGAGGGATAGAATGGCCCTGTGGTCAGTGGTCATCCCAGTGGTCATCTCAGTGGTCATCCCAGTGGTCAGTGGAGGATCTCAGGAGCTTCAGGAGGACACCAAGGTGGGGCTTGGAGGGGTCATCTTGGGGTGAGGGTCAAGGTCAAGGAGGGATAGAATGGCCCAGTGGTCAGTGGTCATCCTGTGGTCATCTCAGTGGTCATCCTGTGGTCTCTGGAGGATCTCAGGAACTTCAGGAGGACACCAAGGTGGGGCTTGGAGGGGTCACTTTGGGGTGGTGGTCAAGGTCAAGGAGGGGTGGGAATGGTCCAGTTGTCAGTGGTCATCCCAGTGGTCAGTGGTCATCTCAGTGGTCAGTGGTCATCCCTGTGGTCATCTCAGTGGTCAGTGGAGGATCTCAGGAGCTTCAGGAGGACACCACGGTGGGGCTTGGGGTAAAGGTGGGGCTTGGAGGGGGCGTTTCGGGGTGGTGGTCAAGGTCAAGGAGGGGTGGGAATGGTGGAATGTCCCTGTGGTCATCCCTGTGGTCAGTGGTCATCTCAGTGGTCATCTCAGTGGTCAGTGGTCATCTCAGTGGTCATCTCAGTGGTCAGTGGAGGATCTCAGGAACTTCAGGAGGACACCGAGGTGGGGCTTGGGGTGAAGGTGCGGCTTGGAGGGGTCACTTTGGGCTGGTGGTCAAGGTCAAGGAGGGGTGGGAATGGTGGAATGTCCCTGTGGTCATCCCAGTGGTCATCCTGTGGTCAGTGGAGGATCTCAGGAACTTCAGGAGGACACCAAGGTGGGGCTTGGAGGGGTCATCTTGGGGTGGTGGGCAAGGTCAAGGAGGGGTGGAATGGCCCAGTGGTCAGTGGTCATCCCAGTGGTCAGTAGAGGATCACCCATGAGGAACATCCTCAGGAGCCTCAGGAGGACACCGAGGTGGGGTTTGGAGGGGGCGTCTTGGGGTGGTGGTCAACCTTGAGAAGGGGTGGGATGGCCCAGTGGTCAGTGGTCATCCCAGTGGTCATCCCAGTGGTCAGTGGTCATCCCAGTGGTCATCCTGTGGTCATTGGAGGATCTCAGGAGCTTCAGGAGGACACTGAGGTGGGGCTTGGAGGGGTCACTTTGGGCTGGTGGTCAAGGCCAAGGAGGGGTGGGATGGTCCAGTGGTCAGTGGTCATCTCAGTGGTCATCCCAGTGGTCAGTGGAGGATCCCCCAGGAGGAACATCCTGAGGAACCTCCGGAGGACACTGAGGTGGGACTTGGAGGGGTCATCTTGGGGTGGTGGGCAAGCTTGAGAAGGGGTGGAATGGTCCAGTGGTCAGTGGTCATCTCAGTGGTCCGTGGAGGATCTCAGGAACTTCAGGAGGACACCGAGGTGGGGCTTGGAGGGGTCACTTTGGGCTGGTGGTCAAGGTCAAGGAGGGATAGAATGGTCCAGTGCTCTGTGGTCATCCCTGTGGTCATCTCAGTGGCCAGTGGAGGATCTCAGGAACTTCAGGAGGACACCGAGGTGGGGCTTGGAGGGGTCACTTTGGGGTGAGGGTCAAGGTCAAGGAGGGATGGGATGGCCCAGTGGTCAGTGGTCATCTCAGTGGTCATCCTGTGATCATCCCAGTGGTCAGTGGTCATCCCTGTGGTCATCCCAGTGGTCATCCTGTGGTCATTGGAGGATCTCAGGAGCTTCAGGAGGACACTGAGGTGGGGCTTGGAGGGGTCATCTTGGGGTGATGGTCAAGGTCAAGGAGGGGTGGGAATGGTGGAATGTCCCTGTGGTCATCCCAGTGGTCAGTGGAGGATCTCAGGAGCTTCAGGAGGACACCGAGGTGGGGCTTGGGGGGTCACTTTGGGGTGGTGGTCAAGGTCAAGGAGGGATAGGATGGTCCCATGGTCAGTGGTCATCCCAGTGGTCATCCTGTGGTCAGTGGAGGATCTCAGGAACTTCAGGAGGACACCAAGGTGGGGCTTGGAGGGGTCACCTTGGGCTGGTGGGCAAGGTCAAGGAGGGGTGGGAATGGTGGAATGTCCCTGTGGTCATCCCAGTGGTCAGTGGTCATCCCAGTGGTCATCTCAGTGGTCAGTGGAGGATCCCCCAGGAGGAACATCCTCAGGAGCCTCAGGAGGACACCAAGGTGGGGCTTGGAGGGGTCATCTTATGGTGAGGGTCAAGGTCAAGGAGGGGTGGGAATGGTGGAACGTCCCAGAGGTCATCTCAGTGGTCAGTGGTCATCCTGTGGTCAGTGGAGGATCCCCCAGGAGGAACATCCTGAGGAGCCTCAGGAGGACACCGAGGTGGGGCTTGGAGGGGTCATCTTGGGGTGATGGTCAAGGTCAAGGAGAGATAGAATGGTCCAGTGGTCAGTGGTCATCCCTGTGGTCATCCCTGTGGTCAGTGGAGGATCTCAGGAGCTTCAGGAGGACACCGAGGTGGGGCTTGGAGGGGGCGTTGTGGGCTGGTGGTCAAGGTTGAGAAGGGGTGGGATGGTCCAGTGGTCAGTGGTCATCACTGTGGTCATCCCAGTGGTCATCCCAGTGGTCAGTGGAGGATCTCAGGAGCTTCAGGAGGACACCGAGGTGGGGCTTGGAGGGGGCGTCTTGGGGTGGTGGTGAAGGTCAAGGAGGGGTGGGAATGGTGGAACATCCCAGTGGTCATCCCAGTGGTCAGTGGAGGATCCCCCAGGAGGAACATCCTGAGGAACCTCCGGAGGACCACCAAGGTGGGGCTTGGAGGGGTCACTTTGGGGTGGTGGTCAAGGTCAAGGAGGGGTGGGAATGGTGGAACATCCCTGTGGTCATCCCAGTGGTCAGTGGTCATCCCAGTGGTCAGTGGTCATCCCAGTGGTCATCCTGTGGTCAGTGGAGGATCTCAGGAGCTTCAGGAGGACACCGAGGTGGGGTTTGAACGGATTTTCCCTGGAATTCCGTGGATTTCCCCCTGATTTTTCCATGGATTTTTTCCGGATTTTTCCCCTGATTTTTCCTGAAATTCCTGGGATTTTTTTCCTGGATTTTTCCCTGGAGTTTCAGGGATTTTTCCCGGATTTTTCCCAGATTTTCCCAGATTTTTCCATGATTTTTTCCTGATTTCCCCTCTGTTTTCTCTCTGTTTCCCCTGAAACTCCCGGGATTTTTCCGGGATTTTTCCTGGATTTTCCCATGGATTTTTCCAGGGATTTTTCCCAGATTTTTCCATGGATTTTCCCTGAAATTTCTGCGATTTTTCCATGGATTTTCCTGGATTTTCGTATGACTTTTCCCCTGATTTTCCCTCTGATTTTTCCCGGGATTTTTCCCGGGATTTCCCCCTCTGTTTCCCCTGGAATTCCAGGAATTTTTCCATGGATTTTTCCAGGATTTTTCCCATGGAATTTTCATGGATTTTCCCTGAAATTCCTGGGATTTTTCCCTGATTTTCCCCTGAAATTCCCGGGATTTTTCCAGGATTTTCCCATGGATTTTACCTGATTTTTTTCCCAGATTTCCCCTCTGTTTTCTCTCTCATTTCCCTGAAACTCCTGGAATTTTTCCCTGATTTTTCCCTGGATTTTTCCATGGAATTTCAGGGATTTTTTCCCATGGATTTTCCCTGGAATTCTGGGAATTTTTCCATGGATTTTTCCCTGCACTTTCCCCCTGATTTTTCCATGGATTTTTCCAGGAATTTTTCCTGGGAGTTTTTTTCCTGGGATTTTTCCTGGATTTTTCCCTGAAATTCTGGGGATTTTTCCATGGATTTTTCCCGGATTTTTCTAGGAATGGTTCATGGATTTCATGGATTTTCCCAGGAATTTCAGGAATTTTTTCCATGGATTTTCCCAGGGATTTTTCCCTGATTTCCCCTCTGTTTCCCCTGAAACTCCAGGGATTTTTCCAGGGATTTTTCCAGGGATTTTCCCATGGATTTTCCCATGGAATTTCAGGGATTTATTCCATGGCTTTTCCCTGAAATTCTGGTGAATTTTCCATGGATTCTTCCAGGGATTTTCCCATGGATTTCCCCTGAAACTCTCAGGATTTTTCTTGGATTTTCCCATTGATTTTCCCAGGATTTTTCCTGGAATTTTCCCATAGATTTCCCCATGGATTTCAGAGATTTTTTCCCTGGATTTTCCCCGAAATTCCTGAGATTTTTCCCTGATTTCCCCGTTCTTTCCCCTCTATTTCCCCCAATTTTCCCCTTTAACTCCCGGGATTTTTCCCTGATTTTCCCCCGATTTTCCTGGAATTTTCCCCTGGATTTTCCTGGAATTTTCCCATGGATTTCAGAGATTTTTTCCATGGATTTTCCCCGAAATTCCTGTGATTTTTCCCTAATTTCCCCATTCTTTTCCCTCTATTTGCCCCGATTTTCCCCTTTAACTCCTGGGATTTTTCCCTGATTTTCCCCCGATTTTCCCCGGAATTTTCCTGGAATTTTCCCATAGATTTTTTCTGGAATTTTCCCATGGATTTCAGAGATTTTTCCATGTATTTTCCCTGAAATTCCTGAGATTTTCCCATTATTTTTCCCCAATTTCCCCTCTATTTTCCCCGATTTTCCCCTTTAACTCCCGGGATTTTTCCCTGATTTCCCCCCGATTTTCCCAGGAATTTTCCTGGAATTTTCCCATGAATTTTCCTGGAATTTTCCCCTGGAATTTTCCATGGATTTTCCCATAGATTTCCCCATGGATTTCAGAGATTTTTTCCCATGGATTTTCCCCAAATTCCTGTGAATTTTCCCTGATTTCCTCTCTATTTCCCCCAATTTTCCCCTTTAACTCCCGGGATTTTTCCCCGATTTCCCCCCGATTTTCCCAGGAATTTTCCCCGTAATTTCCCGCTGGAATTCCATGATTTTTCCCGTTTTTCCGGCAGAAGCCGAAGGCGAAGGCGCGTCCGTCGCTGTCCAAGGCGCCGTGGGAGAGCAGCTACTTCGGGGTGCCCCTGGCCAGCGTGGTCAGCCCCGAGCGGCCCATCCCCGTCTTCATCGAGCGCTGCATCCAGTACATCGAGGCCACCGGTCAGAATTCCGGGATTTTGAGAAAATTTGGGAAATCTGGGAATTTTAGGAATTTTTTTTTTAATTTTTGGAGGGGTTTTTGAGGGGTTTTGGGGTTTTTTGTGATTTTTTGGGGGTTTTGGGAGTTTTTCTTTGGGTTTATTGAGTACTTTGGTTAGAAATTCTGGGAAATCTAGAAATTTTGGGAAAATTTGGGAATTTTTGGGAATTTTTTTGGGAATCTTCGGGATACCCCAAAAATCAGAATTCTTTCCCTTTTTCCCCAAACATCCTCCCAGAAATCAGAATTTTTTTCTCCAAAAATCAGATTTATTTCCCTTTTGTCTCAAAAATTGTCCCAAAACTCCGAATTTTTCCCCAAAAATGCTCCTAAAAATTGGAATTTTTTCCATTTTTTCCCCACAAATTGTTCTAAAAATCCAAATTTTCCCCTTTTTTCCCCAAAAATTCCCCCAAAAATCTGATTTTTTTTCCCCAAAAATCCGATTTTTTTTCTCTTTTTCCCCCCAAAATCCCCGCTGAGCTTGGGAGGAGCCCCAGGAAAAGGCAGAAATGGGTGGAAAAAAGCCAAATTTGGGATTTTTCACCTTTTTTTTGTGTTTCAGGGCTGAGCACGGAGGGGATTTATCGCGTCAGCGGCAACAAGTCGGAGATGGAGAGTCTGCAGCGCCAGTTCGACCAGGGTGAGCCCCAAAAATTCACAGAAAATGGCCAAAAATAACCAAAAAATACAAAAAAAATTCAAAAATTAAAAAAAACTTAAAATCCAAAAAAATCCCCAAAAAAATCCCCAAAAAATCACAAAAAATCCCCCAAAAATCACAAAAAATCTCATTTAAAAGTCATTAAAAATTGCAAAAAATTCACAAAAAAGGTACAAAATAAATCAAAAAATTCCACAAAAATCAGCAAAAAAAACCCACAAAAAAAGCCACAAAAATCACAAAAAGTCATTTAAAAATGACAAAAAATCCTCACCAAAAAAAAAGCCAAAAATCCCTGTAGCGCCAGTTCGACCAGGTGAGCCCCAAAAAGAAACAGAAAATGACCAAAAATAACAAAAAAATACAAAAAAAAATTTAAAATTAAAAAAAAATTAAAATAAAAAAAAATCCCAAAAAAATCCCCCAAAAATCACAAAAAATCCCCCAAAAATCACAAAAAAACTCATTTAAAAGTCATTAAAAATTGCAAAAAACTCACAAAAAAGGCACCAAAAAAATCAAAAAATTCCACAAAAATCAGCAAAAAGAAGCCACCAAAAAAAAGCCACAAAAATCACAAAAAGTCATTTAAAAATGACAAAAAATCCTCACCAAAAAAAAAAGCAAAAAAATCTCCAAAATCCCTGCAGCGCCAGTTCGACCAGGGTGAGCCCCAAAATTTCACAGAAAATGGCCAAAAATAACCAAAAAATACAAAAAAAATTTAAAACTTAAAAAAAAAAAAAAAATCCAAAAAAAATCCCCAAAAATCCCTGAAAAATTTTGGTGCAAAAAATCAGAATTTTTGTGTAAAAAATCCATTTTTTTTACCAAAACTCCCATTTTTTCACCCCAATTTTTTCTGGGAATGTCGGGATGCGATTCCCACTTTTCCCAACCCCCAAAAATCCCGGAAATTTTCCTGGATTTTCCGCAGACCACGGCCTGGACCTGGCTGAGAAGGATTTCACCGTCAACGCCGTGGCCGGAGCCATGAAAAGTTTCTTCTCGGAGCTGCCGGAGCCGCTGGTGCCCTACGCCATGCAGCTGGAGCTGGTGGAGGCCCACAGTGAGTCCCGAATTCCCAAAATTCCCAAAAATTCCCAAAAAAATTCCCAAAATTCCCAAATTCTCAAAATCCCAGAGCCAATTCCCGCTTTATTTCCCGTTAATTGCGGCTTAGTTGGTGCCGCCATTCCCAGACCAGCCACTGGAGGGCGACAGTCAGTCCAGAATTCCCAAATTCCCAGAATCCCAAAATCCCCAAATTCCCAAAAATTCCCCCCAAAAAATTCCCAAAATTCCAGAGCCAATTCCCACTTTATTTCCTGTTAATTGGGGCTTAATTGGCGCCGCCATTCCCAGACCGGCCACAGGAGGGCGACAGTGAGTCCAGAATTCCCAAATTCCCAAAATCCCCAAATTCCCAAAAATTCCCCCTAAAAATTCCCAAATTTCCCAAAATTCCACAGCCAATTCCCACTTTATTTCCCGTTAATTAATTGGGGCGTAATTGGTGGCGCCATTCCCAGAGCGGCCACAGGAGGGCGACAGTGAGTCCAGAATTCCCAAATTCCCAAAATTCCCGAAATTCCCAAAAAAATCCCGAAATTCCCAAAATTCCAGAGCCAATTCCCGCTTTATTTCCCGTTAATTAATTGGGAGTTAATTGGTTGGGTCGTTCCCGGGCCGTTCCCAGCCCTGCAGCTGGAGCTGGTGGAGGCCCACAGTGAGTCCCGAATTCCCAAAATTCCCAAAAATTCCCAAAAAATTCCTGAAATTCCCAAAATTCCAGCACCAATTCCCGCTTTATTCCCCGTTAATTGGGGCTTAATTGGCGCCGCCATTCCCAAAATTCCCGAAATTCCCAAAAATTCCCCTCAAATTCCCATTTTTCCCCTTAGATTTCCCAATTTCCCATTTTTCCCCCAAAAATTCCCATTTCCCTCCATTTCCCCCCCAAAATCCCCAATTCTCCACCCAAAATTCCCCATATTTTTCCCAAAATTGCCATTTTTCCCCCAAAAAATTCCCATTTCTCCACATTTTTCCCCATTTTCCCCCAAAATTCCCATTTCCCCCCAAAATTCCCATTTTCTCCCCATTTTTCCTCCCAAAAATTCCCATTTCCCCCCCATTTCCCCCCCCGAAATTCCCATTTTCCCCCCATTTCCCCCCCCAAAATTCCCATATTTTTCCCCCCAAAATTCCCATTTTCCCCCCAAAATGCCCATTTTCCCCCAAAAATTCCCATTTTCCTCCATTTTTCCCCTAAAATTCCTATTTTTCCCAAAATTCCCATTTTTCCTCCCAAAATTCCCATTTTTCCTCCCAAAATTCCCATTTTGCCCCCATTTTCCCCCCCAAAATTCCCATTTTTGCCCCAAAATTCCCAATATTTTTCCCTAAATTCCCATTTTCCCCCCCAAAATTCCCATTTTGCCCAAAATTCCCGTTTTTCTCCCCAGAAATCGGGGACCGGGAGCAGAAGCTGCTGGCGCTGCTAAAAACCAAAATTCCCATTTTTCCCCTTAAATTTCCCATTTTCCCCCCATTTTTTCCCTGAAAATCCCCATTTCTCCACCCAAAATTCCCAATATTTTTCCCTAAATTCCCATTTTTCCCAAAATTGCCGTTTTTTCCCCCAGAAATCGGGGACCGGGAGCAGAAGCTGCTGGCGCTGCGGGACGTCCTGCGGCGCTTCCCCCGCGAGAACTACGAGGTCTTCAAATACGTCATCGCCCACCTCAACAGGTGCCAGCCAAAATTCGGGAAAATCCGGGAATTTCGGGAGTTTTTGGGAATTTTGGTGGAAAATTCCGGGAGTTTTTGGGTGGATTATTGGGGGTTTTTGAGGGATTTTTGATGATTTTTTGCAGTTTATTTGTAATTTTTTGTGATTTTTTGGTGATATTTGGGGATTTTTTTCCATGATTTTTGAAGTGGAATTTTGTGGGAAAATTTTGGGGAATTTTTGGGGAAAATTTTGGGATTTTTAGGGAGGTTTTGGGTTGATTATTTGGGTTTTTGGATTATTTTTGGGGTTTTTTTCCGTATTTTTTTGCGATTTTTTGGTGATATTTGGGGATTTTTTCCATTATTTTTTAAGTGGAATTTTTTTGGGGATATTTTGGGAATTTCGGGAATTTTGGGGAAAATTTCAGGAGTTTTCGGGAGGTTTTGGGTGAATTCTTGGGGTTTTTTGATGATTTTTTGCGGGTTTTTTGTATTTTTTTGCGATTTTTTTAATCATTTTTGGGATTTTTTCCGTAGTTTTTTGAGTGGAATTTTTTGGGGAATTTTGGGAATTTTTGGGGAAAATTTCGGGAGTTTTTGGGAGGTTTTGGGTGGATTATTGGGGGTTTGGGGGTTTTTTGATGATTTTTTGTGGGTTTTTTGTAATTTTTTTTCAATTTTTTTGGTGATATTTGGGATTTTTTCCATAGTTTTTTGAGTGGAAGTTTTTTGGGATTTGTTGGAAAAATTTTTGGGGAAAATTTCAGGATTTTTCGGGAGGTTCGGGGTGAATTATTGGGGTTTTTGGATGATTTTTTGCAGGTTTTTTGGATTTTTTTGCGATTTTTTGGGGATTTTTTCCATGATTTTTAAGTGGAATTTTTTGGGATTTGTTGGGAAAATTTTGGAGAATTTTGGGAATTTTTGGGAAAATTTTCGGGATTTTTTGGGATGTTTTGGGTGAATTATTGGCGTATTTTTATGATTTTTAAAGGGTTGTTTTGTTATTTTTGGGATTTTTTCCATCGTTTTTTAAAGTAGAATTTCTTTGGGATTTGTTGGGAAAATTTTGGGGAATTTTGGGAATTTTGGGGGAAAATTTCGGGAGTTTTCGGGAGGTTTGGGGTGAATTATTGGGGGTTTTTGGGGGTTTTTTGATGATTTTTTGAGGTTTATTTGTAATTTTTTGCAATTTTTTGGTATTTTTTTTCTCTACGCCGGGGGAATTTTTAGGGAATTTTGGGCCATTTTTTGGGCAATTTTGGTGGGAATTTTTATAATTTTGGGATTTTTTGGTGTCTACTGACCACCGAGTGGTCACTTTGGTGTTGTCCACCGCCGAGTGGTCACTTTGGTGTTGTCCACCCCATGGTCACCCTGATGGTCAGCAGGAACATCTCCAGAAGGTTTTTGGGGTCATTTTTTGGGCGATTTTGGTGGGAATTTTGGGTTTTTTGGGATCTGCTGACCACCAAGTGGTCACTTTGTCCACCACCGAGTGGTCACTCTGCCATTGTCCACCACCGAGTGGTCACTTTGGTGTTGTCCACTCCATGGTCACCCTGATGGTCATCAGGAACCTCTCGAGAAGAATTTTGGGTCATTTTTTGGGCGATTTTGGTGGGAATTTGGGTTTTTTTGGGATCTGCTGACCACCGAGTGGTCACTTTGTCCACCACCGAGTGGTCACTCTGGTATCATCACCTCCATGGTCATCAGGAACATCTCCAGAAGGGTTTTGGGGTCATTTTTTGGGCAATTTTGGTGGGAATTTTTGGTATTTTGGGGTTTTTCTGGGATCTGCTGACCACCGAGTGGTCACTTTGTCCACCACCGAGTGGTCACTCTGCCATTGTCCACTCCATGGTCATCAGGAACCGCTCCAGAAGGGTTTCCTTGGGTCATTTTTGGTGGGAATTTTTGCAATTTTGGGGTTTTTTGGGATCTGCTGACCACCGAGTGGTCACTCCGCCATTGTCCACCACCAGTGGTCACTCTGCCATTGTCCACCCCTAGGGTCAGCCAACAGCACCGCGTCAACCTGATGACCAGCGAGAACCTGTCCATCTGCTTCTGGCCGACGCTGATGCGGCCGGACTTCAGCACCATGGACGCGCTGACCGCCACCAGGACCTACCAGACAATCATCGAACTCTTCATCCACCAGTGCCCCTTCTTCTTCTCGCTCCGGCCGCCTCCGGACACGCCCGGCTCGCCCGGCCCGGCTCCGGCCACCGCGCCGTCCCCGCCGTCCCCTGCTCGGACGCCGTCGCCGCCGCCGGAGACGCTCGAGCCGTGACGGCGGCGCGGGAGCGACGGCCGGACGGGACTTTGGCCTTTTTGGAGTGACCAACGGGGTGTCCGGCCGGGTTTGGTCATTCGGAGTGACCGCCGGGATTTCCGGCCGGAAATTGGCCGGAATTTGGAGTGACCGGCGGTGTGTCCGGCCGGGTTTGGTCATTCAGAGTGACCGCCGGGATTTCCGGCCAGGCTTTGGTCATTCGGAGTGACCGCCGGCGTGTCCGGCCGGGCTTTGGTCATTCGGAGTGACCGCCGGCGCGTCCGGCCGGAATTCGGAGTGACCGCCAGAATTTTCGGCCTTTTCCGGAGTTTGGCCTTTTCGGAGTGACCAATGGGATGTCCGGCCGGGAATTGGCCGGAATTCGGAGTGACCGCCGGGATGTCCGGCCGGAATTCAGAGTGACCGCCAGATTTCAGCCCTTTCCGGTGTGTCCTGGTGGAATTCGGCCTTTTCGGAGTGACCGCCGGGATGTCCGGCCGGAAATTGGCCGGAATTCAGAGTGACCGCCGGGATTTGGCCCTTTCCAGAGTGACCGCCGGGATGTCTGGCCGGAATTCAGAGTGACCACCAGGATGTCCAGCAGGGATGTCCAGTCGGAATTTGGCCTTTTCAGAGTGACCACTGGAATTTGGCCATTCTGGAGTGACCGCTGGGATGTCCATCCGGAATTTGGCCCTTCCAGAGTGACCCGGTGGAATTCGACCCTTCTGGAGTGACCACTGGGATGTCCAGCTGGGATTTGGAGTGACCACTGGGATGTGCGGCCGGAATTCAGAGTGACCGCTGGGATGTCCGGCAGGAATGTCCAGTTGGAATTTGGCCCCTTCTGGAGTGACCAGTAGGATGCGTGGCCGGAATTCGGAGTGACCGCCGGGATTTGGAGTGACCGCCGGGATGCGCGGCCGGAATTCGGAGTGACCGCCGGGATTCGGAGTGACCGCCGGGATTTGGGATGTGCGGCCGGAATTCGGAGTGACCACTGCGATGTGCGGCCGGAATTCGGAGTGACCACCGGGATTTGGGATGTGCGGCCGGAATTCGGAGTGACCGCCGGGATTCGGGATGTCCGGCCGGAATTCGGCTGCAGGAGGGGCTCGGCCGTTGCCGGGGACGTTTGCCCAGACTTTGGCCAGGCCGGCCGGACGCCCCCGGGATGGGCCTGGGAGGGGCTGGAAGGGGGTGGGGGTGGCCGAGGTGGCCGGAGGGTCACTCCTGGTGGTCCAAGGGTCACTCCTGGTGGTCCAAGGGTCATTCCTGGTGGTCCAGAGTGGCCTGAGGGTCATTCCAAGTGGTCCAAGGGTCATCCCAGGTGGTCCAAGGGTCATTCCATGTGGTCCAGAGTGGCTGGAGGGTCATCCCAGGTGGTCCAAGGGTCATTCCTGGTGGTCCAAATGTTGTCCATCATGGTCCAGGGTGGCCTGAGAGTCATTCCTGGTGGTCCAAGGGTCACTCCAGGTGGTCTGAGGTGGTCCAAGGGTCATTCCTGGTGGTCCAGAGTGGCTTGAGGGTCATTCCAAGTGGTCCAAGGGTCATGCCAGGTGGTCCAAGGGTCATTCCAGGTGGTCTGAGGTGGCCTGAGGGTCATCCCAGGTGGTCCAAGGGTCATTCCAGGTGGTCCAAATGTTGTCCATCATGGTCCAGGGTGGCCTGAGGGTCATTCCAGGTGGTCCAAGGGTCACTCCAGGTGGTCCAAGGGTCATTCCGGGTGGTCCAAGGGTCACTCCAGGTGGTCCAAGGGTCATTCCGGGTGGTCCAAGGGTCACTCCAGGTGGTCCAAGGGTCATTCCGGGTGGTCCAAGGGTCACTCCAGGTGGTCCAGGGTGGCCTGAGGGTCATTCCAGGTGGTCCAAGGGTCATTCCAGGTGGTCCAAGGGTCATTCCAGGTGGTCCAGGGTGGCCCAAGGAGATCCAAGGTGGCCCAACATCCATCCAAGGCTCATCCAACATTGCCCAGGGTCCATCCGAGGGGGTCCAAAGTGGCCCAAATTCCACCCCAGGTTGCCCAAATCCCACCCCAGGTTGCCCAAATCCCATCCCAGGTGGCCCAAATTCCATCCCAGGTGTCCCAAATCCCACCCCAGGTTGCCCAAATTCCATCCGAGGTGGCCCAGGGTCATCCGAGGTGGTCCAAAGTGGCCCAAATTCCACCCAAAGTTGCCCAAATTCCATCCCAGGTTGCCCAAATTCCACCCAAAGTTGCCCAAATTCCATCCCAGGTGGCCCAAATTCCATCCGAGGTGGTCCAAAGTGGCCCAAATCCCACCCGAGGTGCCCAAATTCCACCCAAAGTTGCCCAAATTCCATCTGAGGTTGCCCAAATTCCACCCGAGGTTGCCCAAATTCCACCTAAAGTTGCCCAAATTCCACCCCAGGTTGCCCAAGGTCCACCCGAGGCCACCGCGGCTCCTCAGACCCCCCAAGACCCCAAATCCCAAAATTCCCAAAAATCCCCAAAATTCCCAAAATCCCCAAAATTCCCAAAATCCCTCAAAATTCCCCCCAAAATCCCCAAAATCCCCAAATCCGCCCCAAAGCACTTCCGGGGTGGGGGAGGGGCCTTGGACCTCCCCTCCCGCCCCCCCAAATTTGGGCTTTTCCCACCAAAAAAAAATCGGGAATTTTGGGAATTTTAAGGAAATTTGGGAATTTTTGGGGATTTTTTGGGATTTTCATGGTACCACCGGGACCTCCCGGGTCTCTTCGCACTTTAAGACGTCCCCGAGACCCCACCCCGGGCACAAAAATCCCCCAAAAAATTCAAAATTAAAGAAAAAGGCTCCAAATCCCAAATTTCCCATTTTTGGGAATTTTGGGGGTTAAAAAAAAAAAAAGAAAAAAAAAAAAAAAGTGGGAAAATCACGGAAAAATGGGGGGGAATGCAAAAAAAATCGGGGAAAAATGCAAAAAAATTCAATTTTTTTTCCCCCCCAAAAAATCTGATTTATCAGCTGAATTTTGGGGGATTTGTACCAAAAATAAAGTGGAAAAATTGGGGAAAAATGCAGGAAAAATTGGGGAAAAAATTCAATTTTTTCCCTAAAAATTGGGGTATTTTCATGGAAAAATCTGATTTTTCAGCTGGAGGTTTTGGGGGAAATTTTGGGATTTATAGACAAAAAAAAAGGTGGAAAATTTGGGAAAAAATGCAAAAAAAAAAAAGAAATTTTTCCCCCAAAAGTTGAGGTTTCTTCCATGGAAAATTATGATTTTTCAGTTGGAGCATTTGGGGGAATTTTGGGGTATTTTTACACCAGAAAAAGGTTGGGAAATGCAAAAAAATTTAATTTTTTTCCCAAAAAATTGATTTTTTTTCCCTGGAAAAATCCAATTTAACCACTGGAGCTTTTGGGGGATTTCTAGAACAAAAAAATGTGGAAAATTGGGGAAAAAAACACAAAAAAAATTCAATTTTTTTTTTCCCCAAAAATCTGTGATTTTTCCATGGAAAAATCTGATTTTTCAGCTGGAGCATTTGGGGGAATTTTGGGGGATTTATAGACAAAAAAAAGATGGAAAAAATTGGGAAAAAATGCAAAAAATTTCAATTTTTTTCACAAAAATTTGAGATTTTTCCATGGAAAAATCCGTGGAGCTTTTAGGGAATTTCGACACAAAAAAAGAGTGAAAAAATAGAGAAAAAAAAACGTAAAAAATTCAATTTTTTTGCCAAAAATTGGAGGTTTTCCCCTGAAAAAATCAGATTTTTCAGCTGCAGGAGCCTTTTGATGGAATTTTGTTGCCGGGAGGGGAAAATCGAAGGAAAATCCAACAAAACCTGGGAATTTGGAGCCGTTTTTTCCCAAAAAAAAACAGGAAAAAAAGGAAAAATTTCAGGGCCATTTTCCCTCCTTTTCCTGCCACGGTTTTGGGGCCAGAATTCTGAATTTTGGGGTTTTTTGGGGGATTTTTTGGGGGTTTTCCATTATTTTTTCCTGTGGATTTTAGTTTTTTTTTAATTTAGATTTTTTTCCCTTTTTATTTGATTTTTTTTTGGGATAACCCCAAGGAAACGGATGGAAAATGGAGGAATTTCGGAGCCGCCGTAAATTATTGTTGAAAGAATAAATAAAAATTAATTCCAAAAAAATAAAAACCCCAAAAAAACTTCGGAATTTCCACCCAACCTGTCGGAAAAATCCCGGGAATTTTTTCCGGAATTTTGGGGCCTCGGAGGGGGAATTTTTGAGATTTTTAGGGATGAAAATCCCCCAAAAAATCTGAATTTTACAGGAATTTCTGCTCGGTTCAAGGACGTTTTGAAGGGGATTTTTTGGGAATTTTTTGGGCTTTTCCCGGGATTTTTTTCCGGGATTTCGTGCATGAGGAAAGCCCCAGGAACTGCCGGGAAAATAAAGTCGGAAGGAAGAGGAAAAAGAGGAAAAAAAAAGGATAAAAAAAATGACAAAAAAAAAAAGATAATTAAAAATAAAACGAGGCGGCTGCGGAGGTTTTTTTTTCCTTGGAAAACGGGAACTGGGATTGGACTGGGAGTTAATTGGGATTAAACTGGGATTGGACTGGGAGTTAATTGGGATTAAACTGGGATTTAATTGGGACTAAACTGGGATTTAATTGGGACTGAACTGGGATTTAATTGGAACTGAACTGGGATTTAATTTGGATTAAACTGGGATTTAAATGGAATTAAACTGGGATTTAATTGGGACTAAACTGGGATTTAATTGGGACTAAACTGGGATTTAATTGGGATTAAACTGGGATTTAATTGGGACTGAACTGGGATTTAATTTGGACTAAACTGGGATTTAATTGGGATTAAACTGGGTTTAACTGGGATTTAATTGGGATTGAACTGGGATTGGACTGGGATTTAATTGGTATTTAATTGGGATTTTATTGGGATTGAACTGGGATTTGGGAATTGAGATTGAACTGGGATTTAATTGGGATTGAACTGGAGTTAAACTGGGATTTAATCAAGAACTGGGACTGGACTGGGATTTAATTGGGATTTTATTGGGATTGAACTGGGTTAAACTGGGATTTAATTGGGATTGGACTGGGTTTAACTGGGATTTAATTTGGAACTGGGATTGGACTGGGATCTAATTGGGTTTTAATTGGGATTGGACTGGGATTGAACTGGGTTTAACTGGGATTTAAAAGGGATTGGACTGGGATTGGACCGGGATTTAATCAAGAATTGGGACTGGACTGGGAAAAAACTGGGATTTAATTGGGAATTGGGATTGGACTGGGTTTAACTGGGATTTAATTGGGATTGGAGTGGGGTTAAACTGGGATTGGACTGGGTTTAACTGAGATTTAATTCAGATTAAACTGGGATTGGGCTGGGATATAACTGGGATTTAATTGGAGTTGGACTGGGATAAAACTGGGACTAAACTGGGATTTTATTTGGATTGAGCTGGGATTGGACTGGGATTTTATTGGGATTTAATTGGGATTGGGCTGGGTTTAACTGGGATTAAACTGGGATTGGACTGGGATTTAATCGGGATTTAATTGGGATTTTATTGGGATCGAACTGGGATTTTATTCTGATTTAATTGGGATTGAACTGGGACCCCTCCCCCACCCCGGCCACGCCCCTTTCCTCCTGGCCACGCCCTCTTCACACCCTCATTAATATTCATAACCCCTCATGATGACCACGCCCCATCCCACCCAAAGCCCCGCCCCTTGCCCCCACGCCGCAACCCCATTGGCCGAGCTGCCCGTAGCCCCGCCCCTCCCCCTCCATCCCTGCGCTCTGATTGGTCGGCGCCGTTTCCCCCAAAAACGACCAAAACTCGAATTTTTCACCTTTTGGCGCCTTTTTTGGGCGGGGGGCGGGGCCAAAGGGGGCGGGGCCGGACCGCGCATTGGCCACGCCCCTTTATGGGCCCTCAGGAGCGCTCTGATTGGTCGATGGTGGAGCCACGCCCCCACAAAGCCACGCCCACGTTGGGCGCCCAACGTGGGGCAGGGCCGGAGATTCCGGGGGGATTTTGGGAATCCTGAGGCAATTTTGGGATAATTTTGGGAATCCCAGGAGGAATTTTGGGATCATTTGGGGAATTTTGGGTCTATTTTTGGAACCTGGAGGGAATTTTGGGAATCCTGGGGGGAATTCTGGGATTCAGGGGGGAATTTTGGGAAAATTTTGGGGATTCCTGAGGGAATTTTGGGCTTTTGGGTGGAATTTTGGGAACATTTTGGGAATTTTGGGCCTATTTTGGAATCCCTGCAGGAATTTTGGGAATCCTGAGAGGAATTTGGGGATAATTTGGGATCCTGGAGGGAATTCTGGGATCATTTCGGGAATCCTGGGAGGAATTTTGGGATCCTGGAGGGAATTTTGGGAGTCCTGGGAAGAATTTTGGGACTCCTGGGAGGAATTTTTGGAATTTCGTGAATCCCTGCAGGAATTTTGGGAATCCTGGGAGGAATTTTGGGAATCCCTGCAGGAATTTTGGGAATCCCTGCAGGACTTTTGGGAATTTTGGGATCATTTTGGGAATCCTGGAGGGAATTTTGGGAATTTCGTGAATCCCTGCAGGAATTTTGGGAATTTTGGGAATATTTTGGGAATCCTGGAGTGAATTCCGGTCCCTCCCCCTGCCCAAAACGAGGCGGGAGCGGCGAATTTTGGCGCTTTTTTTCCCCGGAAAAAGCGGGAAAAGCTGCGGGAAGCCCCGTTGGATCCCGGGATTTCGGGAATTCCGGGATAATTCCGAAAATTTCTGGGATCCTGGAGGAATTTTGGGATAATTTTGGGTCTATTTTGGGAATTTTGGGTCTATTTTGGGATCCCAGGAGGAATTTTGTGAATTTTGGGAATCCCTGCAGGAATTTTGGGATCCTGGGAGGAATTTCGGGAATCCCGGGAGGAATTTTGGGAATCCCTGCAGGAATTTTGGGAATTTCGTGAATCCCTGCAGGAATTTTGGGAATCCCGGGAGGAATTTTGGGATCATTTTGGGAATCCTGGAGGGAATTTTGGGAAACCCTGCAGGAATTTTGGGATAATTCGGGATCCTGGAGGGAATTCTGGGATCATTTCGGGAATCCCGGGAGGAATTTTGGGAATACTGGGAGGAATTTTGGGAATTTCGTGAATCCCAGCAGGAATTTTGGGAATCCCGGGAGGAATTTTGGGAATTTTGAGAATTCCTGCAGAAATTTTGGGAATTTCAGGAATCCCTGCAGGAAGTTTGGGAATCCCTCAGGAATTTTGGGAATTCTGGGAATCCTGGGAGGAATTTTGGGAATTTCGTGAATCCCTGCAGGAATTTCGGGAATCCTGGGAGGAATTTTGGGAATTTCGGGAATCCCTGCAGGAATTTTGGGAATTCTGGGAGGAATTTCAGGAATCCCTGCAGGAATTTTGGGAATTTTGGGAATTTTGTGAATCCTGGAGTGAATTCCGGGTCCCTCCCCCTGCCCAAAACGAGGCGAGAGCGGCGAATTTTGGCGCTTTTTTTCCCCAGAAAAACCGGGAAAATCCCGGGAATTTTGGGATCATTTTGGGAATCCTGGGAGGAATTTTGGGGTCCTGAAGAAATGTTGGGATCCTGGGAGGAATTTTGGGAACATTTTCGGGAATCCTGGGAGGAATTCTGGGAAACCTGGGAGGCATTTTGGGAATCCCTGCAAGAATTTTGGGAATTTTGGGAATCCTGGGAGGAATTTTGGGAATCCCGGGAGGAATTTTGGGAATTTCGTGAATCCTGGAGTGAATTCCGGTCCCTCCCCCTGCCCAAAACGAGGCGAATTTTGGCGCTTTTTTCCCCCGGAAAAGCGGGAAAAGCTGCGGGAAGCCCCGTTGGATCCCGGGAATTTGGGAATTCCGGGATAATTCCGGGAATATTCCGGGATAATAAATTCGGGAATGTCTCACAGCTCCTGCTCCAGGCCGTCGCTCTCCGGCGGAAAGTCGCCCACACAGACGTTCCCCGGCCTCACAAACCCCCCAAAGTTCGGGGCACACTCGAAGTAACGGCGGCCACCGACGCTGCCGGAGAGAGAGATAAAAAACAGAGATAAGGGATAAAGATAAGAGATAAAAAACAGAAATAAGGGGGAGATAAGGGATAAGGGGAGACATGAGAGATAAGAGATAAGAGACAGAGATAAGATATAAGAGATGAGAGATAAGAGATGAGAGATAAGGGAGAGGTAAGAGATAAGAGAGAGATAAGGGATAAAGATAAGAGAGAGAGATAAGAGATGAGCGATAAGAGATAAGGAACAGAGATAAGAAGGGAGAGATAAGTAAGAGGTAAGAGATAAGAGGAGAGATAAGAGATAGGAGATAGGAGATAGGAGATAAGAGATAAGAGATAAGAGATAAGGGGGAGAGATAAGGGAGAGAGAAAAGAGATAAGGGAGAGAGATAAGAGATAAGAGAGAGACAAGAGAGAAGAGATAAGTGATAAGGGATAAGAGATAAGGGATAAGAGAGAAGGGATAAGAGATAAGAGATAAGAGATAAGAGATAAGAGATAAGAGATAAGAGATAAGAGATAAGAGATAAGAGATAAGAGATAAGAGATAAGAGATAAGAGATAAGAGATAAGAGATAAGAGATAAGAGATAAGGGATAAGAGATAAGGGATAAGAGATAAGGGATAAGAGATAAGAGATAAGAAAAAGGTAAGAGATAAGGGAAAGATAACAGATAAGAGATAAGAAATAAGACAGAGATAAGAGATAAGGAATAAGGGAGAGATAAGAGATAAAAAACAAGAGATAAGGGAAACATAAGGGAGGAGAGATAAGAGAGAGATAAGAGATAAAGGATAGGAGATAAAGGAGAGATAATGGGGAGATAAGAGACAAGCGATAAGAGATAATGGATAAGAGATAAGGGAGAGAGATAAGAGATTTGCGGGAGATAAGGGATGAGAGATAAGAGAAAGAGATAAGAGAGAGATAAGAGATAAAGGATAGAAGATAAAGGAGAGATAATGGGGAGATAAGAGATAAGAAATAAGAGATAAGGGACAGAGATAAGAGATGAGAGATAAGGGATAAGGGAGAGAGATAAGAGATAAAGGATAATGGAGAGAGAAGAGATGAGAGATAAGAGATAAGGAACAGAGATAAGGGAAGGATAAGGGATAAGGGGAGAGATGACAGATAAGAGATAAGGGGGTGATAAGAGATAAGGGAGAGATGAGAGAAGAGAGATAAGAGAGAGATAAGAGATAAGGGATAGGAGATAAAGGAGAGATAATGGGGAGATAAGGGATAAGAGAGAGAGATAAGAGATGAGAGATAAGAGAGAGGTAAGAGATAAGAGAGAGATAAGAGATAAAGGATAAAGGAGAGATAAGAGATAAGATATGAGGGATAAGAGATAAGGAACAGAGATAAGGGAGGGATAAGGTATAAGGGGAGAGATGACAGATAAGAGATAAAGGTGAGAGATAAGAGATTTGGTGGTGATAAGGGTGAGAGATAAGGGGTAGATAAGGGAGAGGTTCCAGGACCCCCCAAAACGCCTCCAGGACCCCCAAAATCCCCTCCAGGACCCCCCAAACTCTTCCAAGACCCCCCAAAACACTCCTCAGGACCCCCTAATCACCTTCAGGACCCCCCAAAATCCCCTCCAGGACCCCCCAGACCCCTCCAGGACCCCCCAAACCCCTCCAGGACCCCCCAAAATCCCCTCCAGGACCCCCCAAAATCCCCTCCAGGACCCCCCAAAATCCCCTCCAGGACACCCCAAACCCCTCCAGGACCCTCCAAACCCCTCCAGGACCCTCCAAACCCCTCCAGGACCCCCCAAACCCCTCCAGGACCCCCCAAACTCTTCCAAGACCCCCCAAAACCCCCCAAAATCCCCCCTAACCCTTCCAGGACCCCCCAGGACCCCCTAAACCACCCCCCAGACCCCTCCAGGACCCCCCAGACCCCTCCAGGACTCCCCGAAATCCCCTCCAGGACCCCCCAGACCCTTCCAGAACGCCCCAAAATCCCCTCCAGGACCCCCCAAACCCCTCCAGGACCCCCAAAATCCCCTCCAGGACCCCCCAAAATCCCCTCCAGGACTCCCCAAAATCCCCTCCAGGACCCCCCAAACCTCCTCCAGGACCCCCCAGACCCCTCCAGAAGACCCCAAAATCCCCTCCAGGACCCCCAAACCCCCCAGGACCCCCCAAAACCCCTCCACAACTCCCCAGACCCCTCCAGGACCCCCCAAAATCCCCTCCAGACCCCTCCAGGACCCCCCAAAATCCCCTCCAGACCCCTCCAGGACCCCCCAAATCCCCCCCAGACCCCTCCAGGACCCCCCAAATCCCCCCCAGACCCTCCAGGACCCCCCAAACCCCCCCCTCACCTGCCGTCGTGCTTGCCCAGTGGTTCGTCGTAGCGCACCCCCACCCAAAATCCCGGCTTGAAATCCGTCTCACCTTGGGGGGCAAAAAAAGCACCGGGGGGGGTTTTGGGGGGTCCTGGAGGGGTTTGGGGGGATTTTGGGGGGTCCTGGAGGGGTTTAGGGGGATTTTGGGGGGTCCTGGAGGGGTTTGGGGGGATTTTGGGGGGTCCTGGAGGGGTTTGGGGGTGTCTTGGAAGGGGTTTGGGGGGTCCTGGAGGGGTTTGGGAGGATTTTGAGGGGTCCTGGGGGGGTTTGGGCGGATTTTGGGGGGTCCTGGAGGGGTTTGGGAGGATTTTGGGGTGTTTTGACGGGTCCTGGAGGGGTTTGGGGGGATTTTGGGGGGATTTTGAGGGAATTTTGGGGGGGTTCTGGTGGGGTTTTGGGGGGATTTTGGGGTGTTTTGGGGGGTCCTGGAGAGGACAATGAGGGGACAAAGAGGGGGGACAGGGAGGGGACAAAGAGGGGACAGGAGGTGACAAAGAGGTGACAAAGACGTGACAGGAGGTGACAGGAGGTGACAGGAGGTGACAAGAGGTGACAAGAGGTGACAAGAGGTGACAAGAGGTGACAAAGAAATAACAAATAGGTGACAAAGAAATAACAAATAGATGACAAAGAGGTGACAAAAGAGGTGACAAAGAGGTGAAAGAGAGGTGACAAGACGTGACAAAGAGGTGACACGACCAGACAGGAGGTGACAAGAGGTGACAGGAGGTGACAAAGAAATAACAAAGAGGTGACAGGAGGTGACAGGAGGTGACAAGGAGGGAACAGGAGGTGACAGGAGGTGACAAAGAGGTGACAAAGAGATGACAAGAGGTGACAGGAGGTGACAGGAGGTGACAGAGGTGACAAGGAGGGAACAGGAGGTGACAGGACCGGACAGGAGGTGACAGAAGGTGACAGAGGTGGCACTGACCCACGAAGGCCACGGTGCCCCTGCGGCAGGGCTGCCCGGGCACGCGCACCTCGCAGCGCGCCCCGAGGGGCAGCGCCGCCGCCGCCGCCGCCTCCTGCGCCCGCCGCTGCTCCCGCTGCCCCTGCCGCTGCCGCTCCCGCTCCCGGTCCCAGCGGCCCCACGAGCGCTGCCGCAGGAACGAGCGCACCGACTCTGCGGGGACAGCAGGGACATCGGGGACATCAGGGGTGGCACTTGGGGACAGGGACACGTTGGTCCCATTCCCAGTCCTGTTCCCGTTTCTGTTCCCATTCCTGATTCTATTCCCGTTCCTGTTCCCATTCCCAGTCCCATTCCCATTCCATTCCCGGTCCCGTTCCCTGTCCCAGTGTTCCCAGTAGCGCAGGGACTCTGTGGGGACATCCAGGGGACATGGCAGGGTGGCACTTGGGGACAGCGATACGCCGGTGGTGCTCCTGTTCCCAGTCCTGTTCCCATTCCTGTTTCTATTCCCATTCCCGTTCCCATTCCCGGTCCTATTCCTGGTCCCATTCCCGTTCCCAGTGTTCCCAGTACTGCACCGACTCCGCGGGGACACCGGGGACACCAGGGGACATGGCAGGGTGGCACTTGGGGACAGGGACACGCTGGTCATGTTCCCAGTCCTGTTCCCATTCCCTTTCCTATTCCTATTCCCATTCCTATTCCCGTTCCTGTTCCCATTCCCGTTCCTGTTTCCATTCCTGATCCCGTTCTGGGTCCCATTCCCGGTCCCAGTGTTCCCAGTAGCACAGGGACATCCAGGGGACATCCACAGGACATCCAGGGGACATCGGGGGTGGCACTTGGGGACAGCAACGCACTGGTCCCACTCCTGATCCCATTCACGTCCCCATTCCCGTTTCTATTCCCGTTCCCGTTCCTGTTCCCATTCCCATTCCCGGTCCCGGTCCCAGTGTTCCCAGTAGCACAGGGACTCTGTGGGGACACCCAAGGGACACCAGGGGACATCAGGGGTGGCACTTTGGGGACAGGGACACGTTGGTCCCACTCCTGATCCTGTTCCTGTTCCTATTTCCATTCCTGTTCCCATTCCTGATCCCATTCCCGTTCCCATTCCCGGTCCCAGTGCTCCCAGTAGCTCAGGGACTCACTGGGGACATCCAGGGGACATCAGGGGACATCAGGGGTGGCACTTTGGGGACAGGGACACGCTGGTCCCGTTCCCAGTCCTGTTCCCATTCCCGTTCCTGTTCCCAGTCCCAGTGTTCCCAGGAGCGCAGGGACTCTGTGGGGACATCCAGGGGACTTCCAGGGAACAGCGCAGGTGACACTTTGGGGACAGGGATGGGCCAGTGGCGCTCCTGTTCCCATTCCCGTTCCTATTCCTGTTCCAATTCCCGTTCCTGTTCCCATTCCCGGTCCTATTCCTGGTCCCATTCCCGTTCCCAGTGTTCCCAGTACTGCACCGACTCTGTGGGGACATCGGCGGACATGGCAGGGTGGCACTTTGGGGACAGGGACACGTTGGTCCCGTTCCCAGTCCTGTTCCCATTCCCTTTCCTATTCCTATTCCTATTCCTGTTCCCGTTCCTATTCCCGTTCCTGTTCCCATTCCCGCTCCCATTCCCAGTCCCAGTGTTCCCAGTAGCTCAGGGACTCCGTGGGGACATCGGGGGACATCGGGGGTGGCACTTTGGGGACAGGGACACACTGTCCCCTGTCGTAACTGCTCTCAGCCATCTCACACTCGGCCACTTGGAACGTGTCCCCAACACCCCCAATGTCCCCAAACCGTCAGTGTCCCCAACCCCCTCAATGTCCCCAGTGTCCCCAAACCCCTCAGTGTCCCCAAACCCCCAATGTCCCCAAACCCCTCAATGTCCCCAATGTCCCCAACCCGTCAGTGTCCCCAAACCCTCCAATGTCCCCAAACCCCTCAATGTCCCCAATGTCCCCAAACCCCCAATGTCTCCAATGTCCCCAACCCCTCAATGTCCCCAACCCCCCAATGTCCCCAACCCTTTCATATCCCCTGATGTCCCCAATGTCCCCAACCCCTCAATGTCCCCAAACCCCCAATGTCCCTTGATGTCCCCAAACCCCTCAGTGTCCCCAATGTCCCCAAACCCCCAATGTCCCCAACCCCTCAGTGTCCCCAAACCCCCAATGTCCCCAAACCCCCAATCCCCTCGATGTCCCCGATGTCCTCAAACCCCCCATGTCCCCAAACCCCCCCAATGTCCCCAACCCCTCAATGTCCCCAACCCCCCAATGTCCCCAACCCCTCAATGTCCCCTCAATGTCCCCAACCCCTCAATGTCCCCAACCCCCTCAATGTCCCCAAACCCCCAAATGTCCCCAACCCCCTCAATGTCCCCTCAATGTCCCAAACCCCTCAATGTCCCCTCAATGTCCCCAAACCCCTCAGTGTCCCCAATCCCCTCAACCCCTCCCAATGTCCCCAAACCCCCCCAATGTCCCCAAACCCCTTCATGTCTCCAATGTCCCCAACCCCTCCATGTCCCCTGACATTCCCCATGTCCCCAACCCCTCAATGTCCCCAAACCCCCAATGTCCCTTGATGTCCCCAATGTCCCAAACCCCCTCAATGTCCCCTCAATGTCCCCAATCCCCTCAATGTCCCCAATGTCCCCAACCCCTCCAATGTCCCCAACCTCCTCAATGTCCCCAAACCCCCAATGTCCTTTGATGTCACCAATCCCCTCAGTGTCCCCTCAATGTCCCCAACCCCTCAATGTCCCCAAACCCCCTCAATGTCCCCAAACCCCCAAGTGTCCCCAACCCCTCTAATGTCCCCAATCCCCCCAATGTCCCCAATCCCCTCAATGTCCCCAATGTCCTCAAACCCCCCAATGTCCCCAACCCCCCCAACGTCCCCAACCCCCTCAATGTCCCCTCAATGTCCCCAAACCCCTCAGTGTCCCCAAGGCCACCTGTCCTCTTGTCGTAGTCGCTCTCGGCCATCTCGTACTTGGCCACCTGCGTCACGTCCTCGAACTGCCCGGCCCGGGCCCCGCTGCGGTCTGTCACCTGCGGCCAGGGGGTGGCACGTCCCTCAGCGGGGCCGCTGCCACCCTGGGGACACGGGAGGGGACACTGGGGACACCCACGTGCAGGCGGCAGCCGTCGGTGACGGGGTAGGAGCCCAGCAGGGCCTCGTCACAGTCCAGGGTCCCCAAGGGCTCGTCCTCGGCGCCAAACAGCTCCAGATCCATGCAGGACGCCGGGGAGCCCACCACCAGCTCCAGTTTGCACTGGGAGGGGACACAGGGGACACTGGGGACACTGGGAGTGGCACTGGGGACACTGGGGACACCGGGAGTGGCACTGGGACATTCCCAGTCCAGTGTCCCCAGGGGCTCGTCCTCGGCGCCAAACAGCTCCAGCTCCATGCAGGAGGCCGGGGAGCCACCACCAGCTCCAGTTTGCACTGGGGACACGGAATGGGGACACTGGGGACACCAGGAGTGGCACTGGGGACACTGGGGACACTGGGAGTGGCATTTGGGACACTGGGGACACCAGGAGTGGCACTGGGGACATTCCCAGGGCAGTGTCCCCAGGGGCTCGTCCTCGGCGCCAAACAGCTCCAGCTCCATGCAGGACATGGGGGAGCCACCAGCAGCTCCAGTTTGCACTGGGAGGGGACACAGGGGACACTGGGGACACTGGGAGTGGCATTTGGGGACATTGGGGACACCGGGAGTGGCACTGGGACATTCCCAGGGCAGTGTCCCCAAGGGCTCGTCCTCGGCGCCAAACAGCTCCAGCTCCATGCAGGACGCCGGGGAGCCACCACCAGCTCCAGTTTGCACTGGGGACACGGAATGGGGACACTGGGGACACTGGGAGTGACACTGGGGACACTGGGGACACCAGGAGTGGCATTGGGGGCACTGGGGACACTGGGAGTGGCACTGGGACATTCCCAGGGCAGTGTCCCCAGGGGCTCGTCCTTGGTGCTGAACGGTTCCAGCTCCACCAGCAGCTCCAGTTTGCACTGGGGACACGGAATGGGGACACTGGGGACACTGGGAGTGGCACTGGGGACACTGGGGACACTGGGAGTGGCACTGGGGACACTGGGGACACTGGGAGTGGCACAGGGAGTGGCACAGTCCAGTGTCCCCAAGGGCTCGTCCTTGGTGCCGAATGGTTCCAGCTCCATGCAGGAGCCACCACCAGCTCCAGTTTGCACTGGGGACACGGAATGGGGACACTGGGGACACTGGGAGTGGCACTGGGGACACTGGCAGTGGCACTGGGGACACTGGGGACACTGGGAGTGGCACTGGGGACATTGGGGACACTGGCAGTGGCATTGGGGACACTGGGAGTGACATTGGTGACACTGAGAGTGGCACTGGGGACACTGGGAGTGACCCTGGGAGTGGCACTGGGGACATTGGGGACACTGGGGACACTGTGGGATGGCACAGGGGACATTGGGAGTGGCTTTGGGAGTGGCACTGGGTACATTGGGAATGGCACTGGGGACACTGGAGATGGCACTGGAGACATTGGTGACACTGAGAGTGGCACTGGGGACACTGGGGACACCGGGAGTGGCATTTGGGGACATTGGGGACACCAGGAGTGGCACTGGGAGTGGCACAGGGCAGTGTCCCCAGGGGCTCGTCCTCGGCGCCAAACAGCTCCAGCTCCATGCAGGAGCCACCAGCAGCTCCAGTTTGCACTGGGGACACGGAATGGGGACACTGGGGACACTGGGAGTGGCACTGGGGACACTGGGGACACTGGGGACATTGGGAGTGACACTGGGAGTGGCACTGGGGACACTGGGGACACTGGGAGTGACATTGGTGACCCTGGGAGTGGCACAGGGGACACTGGGGACACTGGGGACACTGCGGGATGGCACAGGGGACATTGGGAGTGGCTTTGGGAGTGGCACTGAGGACATTGGGAATGGCACTGGGGACGCTGGAGATGGCACTGGGGACACTGGGGACAGCGGGAGTGGCATTTGGGACATTGGGGACACTGGGAGTGGCACAGGGAGTGGCACAGGGCAGTGTCCCCAAGGGCTCGTCCTCGGCGCTGAACGGTTCCAGCTCCATGCAGGAGCCACCAGCAGCTCCAGTTTGCACTGGGGACACGGAATGGGGACACTGGGGACACTGGGGACACTGGGAGTGGCATTTGGGACATTGGGGACATCAGGGATGGCACTGGGAGTGGCACAGGGGACACTGGGGGTGGCTCTGGGGACACTGGCAGTGGCACTGGGGACACTGGGGACACTGGGGACACTGGGAGTGGCACTGGGGACACTGGGGGTGGCACTGGGGACACTGGGAGTGACATTTGGGACACTAGGCGTGGCACTGGGGACACTGGGGACACTGGGAGTGGCACTGGGGACACTGGGAGTGGCATTTGGGACACTGGGGACACCGGGAGTGGCATTGGGGACACTGGGAGTGACACTGGGAGTGACCTGGGGACACCGGGAGTGGCACTGGGGACACTGGGGACACTGGGAGTGGCACTGGGGACACTGGGAGTGACATTTGGGACACTGGGAGTGACATTTGGGACACTAGGAGTGGCACTGGGGACACCGGGGACACTGGGAGTGACCCTGGGAGTGGCACTGGGGACATTGGGGACACTGGGAGTGGCACTGGGGACACTGGGGACACCAGGAGTGGCACTGGGACATTCCCAGGGCAGTGTCCCCAGGGGCTCGTCCTCGGCGCTGAACGGTTCCAGCTCCACCAGCAGCTCCAGTTTGCACTGGGAGGGGACACAGGGGACACTGGGGACACTGGGAGTGGCATTTGGGGACACTGGGGACACCGGGAGTGGCACTGGGGACACTGGGAGTGGCACTGGGACATTCCCAGGGCAGTGTCACCAAGGGCTCGTTCTCGGTGCTGAACGGTTCCAGCTCCACCAGCAGCTCCAGTTTGCACTGGGGACACGGAATGGGGACACTGGGGACAGCAGGAGTGGCACTGGGGACATTGGGGACACCGGGAGTGGCACTGGGGACACTGGGGACGCTGAGAGTGGCACTGGGGACACTGGGAGTGACATTTGGGACACTGGGAGTGGCACTGGGGACATTGGGGACACTGGGAGTGACCCTGGGAGTGGCACAGGGGACATTGGGGACACTGGGAGTGGCACTGGGGACACTGGGAGTGGCACTGGGGACACTGGGGACACTGGGAGTGGCATTTGGGACATTGGGGACACTGGGAGTGACCCTGGGAGTGGCACTGGGGACATTGGGGACATTGGGGACACTGGGGACACTGCGGGATGGCACAGGGGACATTGGGAGTGACCCTGGGAGTGGCACTGAGGACATTGGGAATGGCACTGGGGATGCTGGAGATGGCACTGGGGACACTGGGGATGGCATTTGGGACACTGAGGACACTGGGAGTGACATTGGGGACACTGGGAGTGGCATTGGGGACACTGGGGGTGGCACTGGGGACACCGGGGAAATCAGGGATGGCACTTGAGGTGGCACTGGGGACACTGGGAGTGGCACTGGGGACACTGGGGACACTGGGAGTGACACTGGGGGTGGCACTGGGGGTTTTTGGGGTTTGGTCCCAGTTTGGGGTTCCCAGTCCCAGTTTGGGGTTCCCGGTCCCAGTTTGGAGTTCCCAGTCCCAGTTTGGAGTTCCCAGTCCCGGTTTGGGGTTCCCAGTCCCGGTTTGGGGTTCCCGGTCCCAGTTTTGGGACTCCTGGTCCCGGTTTGGGGTTCCCAGTCCCGGTTTGGGGTTCCCAGTCCCGGTTTGGGGTTCCCAGTCCCGGTTTGGGGTTCCCAGTCCCGGTTTGGGGTTCCCAGTCCCAGTTTGGGGTTCCCAGTCCCGGTTTGGGGTTCCCCGTCCCAGTTTGGGGTTCCCAGTCCCAGTTTGGGGATTCCCAGTCCCAGTTTGGGGTTCCCGGTCCCAGTTTGGGGTTCCCGATCCCGTTTTGGGGTTCCCAGTCCCGGTTTGGGGTTCCCAGTCCCAGTTTGGGGTTCCCGGTCCCAGTTTGGGGTTCCCGGTCCCGGTTTGGGGTTCCCAGTCCCAGTTTGGGGTTCCCAGTCCTGTTCCCATTATCCCGTTCCCATTCCCATTATCCCGGTCCTGATCCTGTTCCCATTCCCATTCCCATTCCCGTTATCCCGGTTCCATTCCCATTCTCCCGTTCCCGTTATCCCGGTTCCATTCCCGTTCCCGTTATCCCGGTTCCATTCCCGTTCCCGTTATCCCGGTTCCATTCCCATTTCCATTCCCGTTATCCCGGTTCCATTCCCGTTATCCCATTCCCGTTATCCCGGTTCCCGTTATCCCGGTTCCATTCCCAGTCTCCCATTCCCGTTATCCCGGTTCCATTCCCGTTATCCCGGTTCCATTCCCATTCTCCCATTCCCGTTATCCCGGTTCCATTCCCATTCCCATTCCCGTTATCCCGGTTCCATTCCCATTCTCCCATTCCCGTTATCCCGGTTCCATTCCCATTCCCATTCCCGTTATCCCGGTTCCATTCCCGTTCTCCCATTCCCGTTATCCCGGTTCCATTCCCATTCCCATTCCCGTTATCCCGGTTCCATTCCCATTATCCCGTTCCCGTTATCCCGGTTCCATTCCCATTCCCATTCCCGTTATCCCGGTTCCATTCCCAGTCTCCCATTCTCCCATTCCCGTTATCCCGGTTCCATTCCCGTTCTCCCGTTCCCGTTATCCCGGTTCCATTCCCATTCTCCCGTTCCCGTTATCCCGGTTCCATTCCCATTCTCCCATTCCCGTTATCCCGGTTCCATTCCCATTCTCCCATTCCCGTTATCCCGGTTCCATTCCCATTCTCCCATTCCCGTTATCCCGGTTCCATTCCCATTATCCCGTTCCCGTTATCCCGGTTCCATTCCCATTCCCGTTCCCGTTATCCCGGTCCCATTCCCGTTATCCCGGTTCCATTCCCATTATCCCGTTCCCGTTATCCCGGTTCCATTCCCATTCCCGTTCCCGTTATCCCGGTCCCATTCCCGTTATCCCGGTTCCATTCCCATTATCCCGTTCCCGTTATCCCGGTTCCATTCCCATTCCCATTCCCGTTATCCCGGTTCCATTCCCATTCTCCCATTCCCGTTATCCCGGTTCCATTCCCGTTATCCCGGTCTGGTTCCCGTTATCCCGTTCCCATTCCCATTATCCCAATCCCATTCCCATTCTCCCCGTCCCGTTCCCGTTATCCCGTTCCCGTTATCCCATTCCCGTTATCCCGGTTCCATTCCCATTCTCCCGTTCCCGTTATCCCGGTTCCATTCCCGTTATCCCGTTCCCGTTATCCCGGTTCCATTCCCGTTATCCCATTCCCGTTATCCCGGTTCCATTCCCATTCCCATTCCCGTTATCCCGGTTCCATTCCCATTCTCCCATTCCCGTTATCCCGGTTCCATTCCCATTCTCCCGTTCCCGTTATCCCGGTTCCATTCCCATTCTCCCATTCCCGTTATCCCGGTTCCATTCCCGTTATCCCATTCCCGTTATCCCGGTTCCATTCCCATTCCCGTTATCCCGGTTCCATTCCCATTCCCGTTATCCCGGTTCCATTCCCATTCTCCCATTCCCGTTATCCCGGTTCCATTCCCGTTATCCCATTCCCGTTATCCCAGTTCCATTCCCATTCTCCCGTTCCCGTTATCCCGGTTCCATTCCCGTTATCCCATTCCCGTTATCCCGGTTCCATTCCCGTTATCCCATTCCCGTTATCCCGGTTCCATTCCCGTTATCCCATTCCCGTTATCCCGGTTCCATTCCCATTCCCCCATTCCCGTTATCCCGGTTCCATTCCCGTTATCCCATTCCCGTTATCCCGGTTCCATTCCCGTTCTCCCATTCCCGTTATCCCGGTCCCATTCCCACTCTCCCATTCCCGTTCCCGTTATCCCGGTTCCATTCCCATTCTCCCGTTCCCGTTATCCCGGTTCCATTCCCATTCCCATTCCCGTTATCCCGGTCCCATTCCCACTCTCCCATTCCCGTTATCCCGGTTCCATTCCCATTCTCCCATTCCCGTTATCCCGGTTCCATTCCCATTCTCCCGTTCCCGTTATCCCGGTTCCATTCCCATTCCCATTCCCGTTATCCCGGTCCCATTCCCACTCTCCCATTCCCGTTATCCCGGTTCCATTCCCATTCTCCCGTTCCCGTTATCCCGGTTCCATTCCCATTCTCCCGTTCCCGTTATCCCGGTTCCATTCCCATTCCCGTTCCCGTTATCCCGGTTCCATTCCCATTCTCCCATTCCCGTTATCCCGGTTCCATTCCCATTCCCATTCCCGTTATCCCGGTTCCATTCCCATTCTCCCATTCCCGTTATCCCGGTTCCATTCCCGTTCTCCCGTTCCCGTTATCCCGGTTCCATTCCCATTCTCCCATTCCCGTTATCCCGGTTCCATTCCCATTCCCGTTATCCCGGTTCCATTCCCATTCTCCCATTCCCGTTATCCCGGTTCCATTCCCATTCTCCCATTCCCGTTATCCCGGTTCCATTCCCATTCCCGTTCCCGTTATCCCGGTTCCATTCCCATTCTCCCGTTCCCGTTATCCCGGTTCCATTCCCGTTATCCCGGTTCCATTCCCATTCTCCCGTTCCCGTTATCCCGGTTCCATTCCCGTTATCCCGGTTCCATTCCCGTTATCCCGGTTCCATTCCCGTTATCCCGTTCCCGTTATCCCGGTTCCATTCCCATTCTCCCCGTCCCGTTCCCATTATCCCGTTCCCGTTATCCCGGTTCCATTCCCGTTATCCCATTCCCGTTATCCCGGTTCCATTCCCGTTATCCCGGTTCCATTCCCATTCCCATTCCCGTTATCCCGGTTCCATTCCCATTCCCATTCCCGTTATCCCGGTTCCATTCCCATTCCCGTTATCCCGGTTCCATTCCCGTTCTCCCATTCCCGTTATCCCGGTTCCATTCCCATTCCCATTCCCGTTATCCCGGTTCCATTCCCATTCCCGTTATCCCGGTTCCATTCCCATTCTCCCGTTCCCGTTCTCCCGGTTCCATTCCCATTCTCCCATTCCCGTTATCCCGGTTCCATTCCCATTCTCCCATTCCCGTTATCCCGGTTCCATTCCCATTCTCCCGTTCCCGTTATCCCGGTTCCATTCCCACTCTCCCATTCCCGTTATCCCGGTTCCATTCCCATTCCCATTCCCGTTATCCCGGTTCCATTCCCATTCCCATTCCCGTTATCCCGGTTCCATTCCCATTCCCATTCCCGTTATCCCGGTTCCATTCCCATTCCCATTCCCGTTATCCCGGTTCCATTCCCATTCTCCCGTTCCCGTTATCCCGGTTCCATTCCCATTCTCCCATTCCCGTTATCCCGGTTCCATTCCCATTCCCATTCCCGTTATCCCGGTTCCATTCCCACTCTCCCATTCCCGTTATCCCGGTTCCATTCCCATTCTCCCATTCCCGTTATCCCGGTTCCATTCCCATTCCTGTTCCCGTTATCCCGGTTCCATTCCCATTCTCCCGTTCCCGTTATCCCGGTTCCATTCCCATTATCCCGTTCCCGTTATCCCGGTTCCATTCCCATTCTCCCATTCCCGTTATCCCGGTTCCATTCCCATTCTCCCGTTCCCGTTATCCCGGTTCCATTCCCATTCCCGTTCCCGTTATCCCGGTTCCATTCCCATTCTCCCGTTCCCGTTATCCCAGTCCCATTCCCATTCCCACTGTCCCGGTTCCCTTATCCCGGTTCCATTCCCATTCCCATTCCCGTTATCCCGGTCCAGCTCCCGTTATTCCGGTGCCGTTATCCCATCCCTTACCCCATTCCCGGTTCCCGTTATCCCGTTCCCGTTATCCCGTTCCCGTTATCCCGGTCCCATTCCCACTGTCCCCATTCCCTTATCCCGCTCCAATTCCCATTACCCCACTCCATTCCCATTCCCGTTATCCCGGTGCCGTTATCCCATCCCTTATCCCATTCCCGTTATTCCCGTTATCCCATCCCTTACCCCATTCCCGTTATCCCGTTCCCGTTATCCCGTTCCCGGTTCCCGCCCCTCTACCTTCAGCTCGGCGATGGTGAGCGCGGGCGAGAAGCGTTTGCAGGCCCGGAAGGCGTTCAGGGAGCTGCTCACCGCCAGCCACACCGGGCCCGGCCCGGCCCCGCCGCCGTTCATGGCTCCGGTACCGCCCGGGCCCCGCCGGTACCGCCGCACCGGAACCCCACCGGAACCGCACCGGCAGCACCGGGCACGGCCCGGCTCCTCCCGGCAGCTCCCCGGGACCCTCGGGAGCCCCTCCGGGAGCCTCCGGGAGCCTCCGGGAGGCCGAACCGGGAGCCCCGAACGGCTCCGCGCCCGAACCGGAGCCGCTTCTGGAACCTTCACGGGCCGCCACCGCTGAGGGAGCGGCCAATCAGAGCCGCCGGATGGCGTCACGTGATAAAAGCCGACCAATAGATATCGAGAAAAGGAGGGACGGAGAGAAAACTACCCAATAGGCGCGTAAAAGGCGGGGAAATTTGGGGTTGACCAATAGGAAGGGAGAAAGGGAGGGGTAAAGTGGGGATTAGCCAATAATAAGACGAGTAGGGCGTGTCTAACAGCGAATGGACCAATAGAATAAAGAATGGGCGCGGTAGAGAGGATTGACCAATAGAAATAAAGCGTTGGAGGGTCTAGGGAGAGTTGACCAATGAGAGTGTGGAATGCAATGATTGATGGGTGGATGCACCAATGGGATGAGGGGGGATGGGGAAGGGGCGTGGCCGCGCAGCCATGGAAGGGGACGGCGCGTACGAGCCGGGGTTCGTGGGGATCCGCTTCTGCCAGGAATGGTGAGGGGGAAAGGCGGGAATGTACCGGGAATGTACCGGGAATGTACCGGGGATGTACCGGGAATGTACCGGGAATGTACCGGGAATGCACCGGGAATGTACCGGGAATGTACCGGGAAGGCACCGGGAATGCACCGGGAATGGGAGGGGGGACAGCGGGAACGAGCCCGGGCGGCGGGAGAGGCAGGCGGGGAAAGGCGGGAATGGCGAAGGGGAATACGGGGAATTGTGAGGGGGAAAATTGGAGATTTTGAGGGGGAAAATCGGGAATTGTGAGGGGAAAATACAGGGAATTGTGAGGGGGAAAAAAGGGAATTTTGAGAGGGAAATACAGGGAATTGTGAGGGAATAAAAGGGGATTATGAGGGGGAAATACGGGGAATTGTGAGGGAGAAATACGGGGAATTGTGAGGGGGAAATACGGGGAATTGTGAGGGGGAAATACAGGGAATTGTGAGGGGGAAATACAGGGAATTGTGAGGGGGGAAAATCGGGAATTGTGAGGGGGAAGATTGGGAATTTTGAGGGGAAAATATAGGGGATTGTGAGGGGGAAATACGGGGAATTGTGAGGGGGAAATACAGGGAATTGTGAGGGGGAAAATACAGGGAATTGTGAGGGGGAAATACAGGGGATTGTGAGGGGAAAACATAGGGGATTGTGAGGGGAAAATATAGGGGATTGTGAGGGGGGAAATTGGGAATTGTGAGGGGGAAATACGGGGAATTGTGAGGGGAAATACAGGGAATTGTGAGATGGAAATACAGGGAATTGTGAGGGGGAAATACGGGGAATTGTGAGGGAATAAAAGGGGATTGTGAGGGGGAAATACAGGGAATTGTGAGGGAATAAAAGGGGATTGTGAGGGGGAAAATTGGAGATTTTGAGGGGGAAAATCGGGAATTGTGAAGGGGAAACATTGGAAATTGTGAGGGGAAAAATACAGGGAATTGTGAGGGGAAAATCTGGAGTTGCGAGGGGGAAATAAAGGGAATTGTGAGGGGAAAAAACTTGGACTGGTGAGGGAAAAAATATAGCGAATTGTGAGGGAATAAAGAGGAATTGTGAGGGGAAAAAACTAGGAATTGTGAGGGGGAAAATAGGGGATTTTGAGGGAAAATAGGGGATTTTGAGGGAAAATAGGGGATTTTGAGGGGGAAAATCGGGAATTGTGAGGGGGAAAATCGGGAAATTGTGAGGGGGAAATACGGGAAATTGTGAGGGGAAAATACAGGGAATTGTGAGGGGAAAATTGGGAATTCTGAGGGGGAAATACGGGGAATTGTGAGGGGGAAAATATAGGGGATTGTGAGGGGGAAAATATAGGGGATTGTGAGGGGGAAATACAGGGAATTGTGAGGGGGAAATACAGGGGATTGTGAGGGGGGAAAATCGGGAATTGTGAGGGGAAAGATTGGGAATTTTGAGGATGAAAAACTGGGAATTTTGAGGGGAAAAAATTGAGAATTTTTGGGGAAAAATTGTGAATTTTGGAGGTGAAAAATTGAGAATTTTAGGGGGGAAAAATTGAGAATTTTTTGGGTGAAAATTTGGGAATTTTGTGAGGAAAAATTGGGAATTGTGAGGGTGAAAATGGGGCTTTTTGGGGGAATAAGTGTGAATTTTGAGGGGAAAATTGGAAGTTTTGAGGTGAAAAATTGGAAATTTTGATGGGAAAAATTGGGAATTTTTAGGGGAAAAATTGTGAATTTTGGGGTGGAAACTTGGGAATTTTGAGGTGAAAAGTTGGAAATTTTTAGGGGAAAAATTGTGAATTTTGAGGGGGGAAAATTCAGAATTTTGAAGGGTAAATTTGGGAATTTTGAGGGGAAAACTTGGGAATTTTGAGGTGAAAAATGGGGGATTTTTGGGGTGACAAAATTGGGGATTTTGGGGGTGAGGAGGGCGGGGATTCCCCGCCGGAGCCTCCCAGTAACCCCAGTTTGCCCAGTAACAACATGCTGTACCCCAAGGAGGACAAGGAGAACCGGATCCTGCTCTACGCCGTGAGTGCCCTCCCAGTCCCTCCCAGTTCATCCCAGTTTGTCCCAGTTCCATCCCAGTTTGTCCCAGTTCCCTCCCAGTTCATCCCAGTCCCTCCCAGTTCCCTCCCAGTCCCTCCCAGTCCCTCCCAGTTCATCCCAGTCCCTCCCAGTTCCTCCCAGTTCATCCCAGTTTGTCCCAGTTCCCTCCCAGTCCCTCCCAGTTCCCTCCCAGTTCAGTCCAAGTCCCTCCCAGTTTGTCCCAGTTCCTCCCAGTTTGTCCCAGTTTGTCCCAGTTCCCTCCCAGTCCCTCCCAGTCCCTCCCAGTTCCCTCCCAGTTCAGTCCAAGTCCCTCCCAGTTTGTCCCAGTTCCTCCCAGTTTGTCCCAGTTTGTCCCAGTTCCCTCCCAGTTCCCTCCCAGTCCCTCCCAGTTCCCTCCCAGTTCAGTCCAAGTCCCTCCCAGTTTGTCCCAGTTCCTCCCAGTTTGTCCCAGTTTGTCCCAGTTCCCTCCCAGTTCCCTCCCAGTCCCTCCCAGTTCCTCCCAGTTCCTCCCAGTTCCTCCCAGTAACTCCCAGTTCATCCCAGTTCATCCCAGTTCCTCCCAGTTTGTCCCAGTTCCTCCCAGTTCATCCCAGTAACTCCCAGTTCATCCCAGTTCATCCCAGTTCATCCCAGTTCCTCCCAGTTTGTCCCAGTTTGTCCCAGTCCATCCCAGTCCATTCCAGTTTGTCTCAGTCCCTCCCAGTCCCTCCCAGTCCCTCCCAGTCCCTCCCAGTCCCTCCCAGTTCCCCCAGTTCATCCCAGTTCCCTCCCAGTCCCTCCCAGTCCATCCCAGTTCCCTCCCAGTCCCTCCCAGTTCCCTCCCAGTCCTTCCCAGTCCGTCCCAGTTCATCCCAGTCCCTTCCAGTCCCTCACATTTTGTCCCAGTCCATCCTGTTTCCCTCCCAGTCCCTCCCACTTCCCTCCCAGTCCCTCCCAGTCCCTCCCAGTAACTCCCAGTCCCTCCCAGTTCCCCCAGTTCATCCCAGTTTCTCTCCCAGTGCAGGAACTGTGATTATCAGCAGGAGGCCGACAACAGCTGCATCTACGTCAACAAAATCACGCACGAAGTCGAGTGAGAGCGGCCCCAAAAATCCCCAAAATGGCCCCAAAATGTTCCCAAAAATTATCCCAAAACATCCCCCAAATATCCCCAAAAATCCCCAAAATGGCCCCAAAAATTATCCCAAAATATCCCCAAAATATCCGCACTATATCCCAAAACAATCCCCAAAATATCCGCAAAAAATTATCCCTTGATGTTCCCAAAATGCCCCCAAAAATCCCCAAAATCTTCCCGAAAATTATCACAAAATATCCCCAAAATACCCCCAAAATATCCCCAAAAATTACCCCAAAAATCCCCAAAATTGGCCCCAAAAATTATCCCTTGATGTTCCCAAAATGCCCCCAAAAATCCCCAAAATCTTCCCAAAAATTATCACAAAATATTCCCAAATTATCCTCAAAATATCCCCGAATTATCTCCACAATATCCCAAAAATATCCCCAAAAATTACCCCAAAAATCCCCAAAATGTCCCTAAAAATTATCCCAAAATATGTCCAAAATATGACCAAAATATCCCAAAAGATTCCCAAAATGTTCCCAAAATATCGCAAGATATCCCCAAATTTTCCCTAAAATATTCCCAAAATATCTCCAAAATATTCCCAAAAATTATCCCAAAATATCCCCAAAATATCCACAAAATATTCCCAAAATATCCGCAAAATGTTCCCAAAATATCCCCAGAATATTCCCAAAAAATCCCCAAAATATCCCCAAAAATTATCCCATAATGTTCCAAAAATATCCCCAAAAATCCCCAAAATGGCCCCAAAAATTATCCCAAAATTTTCCCAAATTATCCCCAATTTATCCCCAAAATATCCCGCAATTATCTCTAAAATCTTTGCAATGTTTCCCTAAAATATTCTCGAAATACGCCCAAATATCCCCAAAATTTCCCTAAAATGTTCCCAAAATGTTCCCAAAATACCCCCAAAATATTCGCAAAATATCCCAAATTTTTCCAAAATATCTGCAAAAATTATCCCAAAATATTACCAAATTATTCCCAAAATAACCAAAAATATCCACAAAATGTCTCCAAAATATTCCCAAACTTTCCCTAAAATATCCCCTAAATATCCCCTAAATATGGCCAAATATTCCTAAAAATTATCAAAAATTATTCCCAAAATGTCCCCCAAATATTCCCAAAATATCCCCAAATTATTCCCAAAATATTCCCATAATATCCCCAAAATTTCCCCAAAATATCCCCAAAATATTCCCAAAATATCCACAAAATATCCCCCAATTGTTCCCAAATTATTCCCAAGATATCCCCAAAAAATGACCCCAAAATATCCCCAAAAATTATCCCAAAATGTTCCCAAAATTTTGGGAATCCTGGCTGTGATTTTTGGGAATCCTGGCTGGAATTTTGGATAAATTTTGGGAATTCTGGCTGGAATGTTGGGTTAATTTTGAGAATTTTCGCTGGATTTTGGGGTAATTTGGGAATTCTGGCTGGATTTTGGGTGTATTTTTTGGGAGTTTTTGGGATTTTGGGAGTTCTGGCTGGAATTTTGGGAATTCTGGCTGGAATTTTGGGAATTCTGGCTAGGATTTTTGGGAATTTTGGGCTAATTTGGGAATTTTGGGTGTCCCCAGCGAGCTGACTCAGATCATTGCCTGGTGTAAATTTTGGGTTCATTTTGGGTTATTTTTTGGGAATTTTGGCTGGATTTTGGGGTAAATCTGGGTGTGTTTTTTGGGAGTTTTGGGGATTTTTGGTTTTTTTGGGAATTCTGGCTGGGAATTTTGGGGTAAATTTGGGAATTTTCGGGTGTCCCCAGCGAGCTGACTCAGATCACCGCCTGGTGTAAATTTTGGATTTTGGGTTCATTTTTTGGGAATTTTGGCTGGATTTTGGGGTAAATCTGGGTGTGTTTTTTGGGAGTTTTGGGGATTTTTGGTTTTTTCGGGAATTTTGGCTGGAATTTTGGGCTAATTTGGGAATTTTGGGTGTCCCCAGCGAGCTGACTCAGATGGTGTAAATTCTGGATTTTGGGTTCATTTTGGGTTGTTTTTTGGGAATTTTGGGGTAAATCTGGGTGTGTTTTTTTGGGAGTTTTGGGGATTTTTGGTTTTTTCGGGAATTCTGGCTGGGAATTTTGGGCTAATTTTGGGAATTTTCGGTGTCCTCAGTGAGCTGACTCAGATCATCGCCTGGTGTAAATTTTGGATTTTGGGTTCATTTTGGGTTATTTTTTGGGAATTTTGGCTGGATTTTGGGGTAAATCCGGGTGTATTTTTTGGGAGTTTTGGGGATTTTTGGGTTTTTTCGGGAATTTTGGCTGGAATTTCGGGCTAATTTGGGAATTTTTGGTGTCCCCAGCGAGCTGACTCAGATCATCTCCTGGTGTAAATTTTGGATTTTGGGTTCATTTTGGGTTATTTTTTGGGAATTTTGGCTGGATTGTGGGGTAAATCCGGGTGTGTTTTTTGGGAGTTTTGGGGATTTTTGTTTTTTTCGGGAATTTTGGCTGGAATTTTGGGCTAATTTGGGAATTTTCTGTGTCCCCAGTGAGCTGACTCAGATAATCGCCTGGTGTAAATTTTGGATTTTGGGTTCATTTTGGGTTATTTTTTGGGAATTTTGGCTGGATTTTGGGGTAAATCCGGGTGTGTTTTTGGGGAGTTTTGGGGATTTTTGATTTTTTCGGGAATTCTGGCTGGAATTTTGGGCTAATTTGGGAATTTTGGGTGTCCCCAGCGAGCTGACTCAGATCATCTTCTGGTGTAAATTTTGGATTTTGGGTTCATTTTTTGGGAATTTTGGCTGGATTTTGGGGTAAATCTGGGTGTGTTTTTTTGGGAGTTTTGGGGATTTTTGGTTTTTTTGGGAATTTTGGGTGGAATTTTGGGCTAATTTTGGGAATTTTGGGTGTCCCCAGCGAGCTGACTCAGATCATCGCCGACGTCTCGCAGGACCCGACGCTGCCCCGCACCGAGGACCACCCCTGCCAGAAGTCAGTCGGGACACTTTGGGGACATTTGGGGACATTTGGGGACATTCAGGGGATATTTGGGGACATTTAGGGGATATTTGGGGACATTTAGGGGATATTTGGGGGACATTTAAGGGATATTTGGGGACATTTTGGGGACATTTGGGGAAATTTTGGGGACACCTGGGGACACTTTGGGGACATTTGGGGACACTTGGGGACATCTGGGGGACACCTGGGGACACTTTGGGGACACCTGGGGACATTTGGGGACACTTGGGGACAATTCTGGATACCCTGAGGACATTTTGGGGACATTAGGAGGACATTTAAGGACATTTAGGGACACCTGGGGACACTTGGGGACATTTGGGGACATTTTGGGGACACCTAGGGACATTTAGGGGACATTTGGGGACACTTGGGGACAATTCTGGACACCCCGAGGACATTTGGGGACATTTTAGGGACACCTGGGGACATTTAGGGGATTTTTGGGGACATTTAGGGACACTTGGGGACATTTAGGGGATATTTGAGGACATTTTGAGGACATTTGGGGGACATTTGGGGACATTTAGGGGATATTTGTGGACATTTGGGGACACTTTGGGGACATTTTGGACACTTTGAGGACATTTTGGGACACTTGGGGACATTTTGGGGACACTTGGGGACATTTGGGGACATTTGGGGACATTTTAGGGATATTTTGGGGACATTTAGGGGACATTTAGGGGATATATGGGGACATTTTGGGGACATTTAGGGGATATTTAGGGACATTTTGGGGACATTTTGGGGCACTTGGGGACATTTTAGGGACATTTTGGGGACATTTGGGGACATTTAGGGGACATTTGGGGACATTTTGGGGACATTTGAGGACATTTGGGGACATTTGAGGACACTTTAGGGACATTTAGGGGATTTTTGGGGACACTTAGGGACACTTTGGGGATATTTGGGGACATTTGGGGACATTTTGGGGACATTCAGGGGATATTTGGGGACATTTGAGGACATTTGAGGTCATTTTGGGGACATTTGGGGACATTTGGTGACATTTTGTGTCCGCAGGTGCGGGCACAAGGAGGCCGTGTTCTTCCAGTCGCACAGCGCCCGCGCCGAGGTCAGAGCAAAACCCAAAATTGACCAAAAATCCCAAAATTCTCCCCAGAAAATCCCAAAAAACCAAATTTCCATGAAAATCCAAAAATCCTGCCCAAAATATCCCAAAAAAAAACCCTAAAAAAATCCAAAAAAAATCCCAAAATTCTCCTAAAAATCCCAAAATTCTCCTCAAAAAAATCCCAAAAATCCTTCCTAAAAAATCCCAAAATTCTCCTCAAAAAAATCCCAAAATTCTTCCCAAAAAATTCCAAAAAAACCAAATTTCCCTGAAAACCCAAAAATCCTTCCCAAAATATCCCCAAAAAACCCCCCAAAAAACCCCCAAAAAACCCCAAAATTCTCCTAAAAAAAGTCCAAAATCCTCCCCAAAACCCACAAAATTCTCCTCAAAAAAAATCCGAAAAATCCTTCCCAAAAAATCCCAAAATTCTCAAAAAACCCCAAAATTCTTCCCAAAAAGTCCAAAATCCTTCCCAAAAAATCCCAAAATCCTTCCCAAAAAATCCCAAAATTCTCAGAAAAAACTCAAAATTCTTCCCAAAAAATCCCAAAATTCTCGAAAAAACCCCAAAATTCTTCCCAAAAAATCCAAGTCTCACTGAAAAACCCAAAAAAAATCCCAAAAAACCTCAAAATTCTCCTAAAAAATCCCTAAATTGTCCCTGAAAATCCCAAAAAGACCTACAATTCTTTTCAAAAAATCCCAAAATTCCCTGAAGACCCAAAAATCCTTCCCAAAAAATCCCAAATTCTTCTCAAAATCCTTCCCAAAAAACCCCAAAGTTCTCCCCCAAAAAACCCCAAATCCTCCCAAAAAACCCCAAAATTCTCCCCCAAAAACCCCAAAATCCTCCCCCAAAAAAAACCCAAAATTCTCCCCCAAAAAACCCCAAAATCCCGAATATTCTCCCCAAAAAAACCCCCAAATCTCTTTGGTTCCTTGGGGGGTTTTGGGTTTTTTTGGGGGGATTTTGGGAGGAATCTTTGGGAATTTTGGGGGGAATTTTGGGGAGTTTTTGGGGTTTTTTTGGGGGAGAGAATCCTGGGGGGGTTTCGGGGTTTTTTTTGGGGAGGGGTTTTGGGATTTTTTGGAGGATTTTTTTGGGGAGGAATCTTTGGGAATTTTGGGGAGAATTTTGGGGAGGTTTTGGGGAATTTTTGGGTTTTTTTGGGGAGAGGATACTGGAGGGTTTTGGGTTTTTTTTGGGGGGGGGATTTTGGGTTTTTTTGGGGGGATTTTGGGAGGAATCTTTGGGAATTTTGGAGGGAATTTCGGAGAGGTTTTGGCATTTTTGGGGGGTTTTTTTGGGATTTTTTTGGGACTTTTGGGGAGGAGTTTTGGGAGATTTGAGAGTTTTTGGGGTGGATCCTGGAGAGTTTTGGGAGGAGGAATTTTTTAGACTGGAAATTTTGCAGGAATTTTCCCAAAATCCCTGAAATTTGCCCCAAAATCCCGCAGGACGCGATGAGGCTTTACTACGTCTGCACCGCCCCCCACTGCGGCCACCGCTGGACCGAGTGACCCCAAAAGTGACCCCAAGAGTGACCCCAAGAGTGACCCCGGACCCCAAAAGTGACCCCAAGGAGTGACCCCAAAAGTGACCCCAAAAGTGACCCCAAGTGTGACCCTGCGACCCCAAAAGTGACCCCAAATGGGACTTCAGGAGTGACCCCAAAAGTGACCCCAAGAGTGACCCCGGGACCCCAAAAATGACCCCCGGAGTGACCCCAAAAATGACCCTAAAAGTGACCCCAGGATTGGCCTCAAATGTGACCCCAAGACCTCAAAAGTGACCCCAAAAATGACCCAAAAGTGACTCCAAGACACCAAAAGTGACCCCAGGAGTGACCCAAGAAGTGACCCCAAAAGTGACCCCAAAAGTGACCCAAAGACCCCAAAAATTAAACCAAATTAGACCCCAGGATTGGCCTCAAATGTGACCCCAAAGTGACCCCAAGAACTCAAAAGTGACCCCAAAAGTGATTTCAAGAGCGACCCCAAAACTGACCCCAAAAGTGACCCCGGGACCCCAAAAGTGACCCCAAAAGTGACCCCAGGACCCCAAAAATGACCCCAGGAGTGACCCAAGAAGTGACCTCAAGTGTGACCCCAAAAATGACCCTAAAAGTGACCCCAGGATTGGCCTCAAATGTGACCCCAAGACCTCAAAAGTGACCCCAAAAGTGACCCAAAAGTGACCCCAAGACACCAAAGTGACCCCAGGAGTGACCCCGGGATCCTAAAAGTGACCCCAAAAGTGACCCCAGAGGTGACCCCAAGAGTGACCTCAAGACTCCAAAGATTACCCCAAAAATGACCCCAAAAGTGACCCCAAGACACCAAAAATTAAACCAAAAATGACCCCAGGATTGGCCTCAAATGTAACCCCGAAGTTACCCCAAAACTGACCCCAAAAATGACCCAAAAGTGACCCTAAAAGTGACCCCAGGATCCTAAAAGGGACCCCAGGAGTGACCCCAAGAATGACCCCAAAAGTGACCCCAATACACCAAAAGTGACCCCAAAAGTGACCCCAGGACCCCAAAAGTGACCCCAAATGGGACTTCAAGAGTGACCCCAGGAGTGACCCCAAATGCGAACCCAGGACCCCAAAAATTACCCCAAAAGTGACCCTGGGACCCCAAAAATTAAACCAAAATTGACCCCAGGATTGGCCTCTCAAATGTGACCCTAAAGTGACCCCAAAAGTGACCTCAGGAGTGACCCCGGGATCCTAAAAGTGACCCCAGAGGTGACCCCAAGAGTGACCTCAAGACTCCAAAAATTACCCCAAAAATGACCCCAAAAGTGACCCCAAATGTGACCCCAGGACCCCAAAAATGACCCCAAAAGTGACCCCAAGACACCAAAAGTGACCCCAAAAGTGACCCCAGGACCCCAAAAGTGACCCCAAAAGTGACCCCAGGACCCCAAAAGTGACCCCAAGAGTGACCCCGGACCCCAAAAGTGACCCCAAATGGGACTTCAGGAGTGACCGACGGAGTGACCCCAAACGTGACCCCAAAAATGACCCCAGGAGTGACCCCGGGATCCTAAAAGTGACCCCAAAAGTGACCCCAGAGGTGACCCCAAGAGTGACCTCAAGACTCAAAAAATTACCCCAAAAATGACCCCAAAAGTGACCCCAAGACACCAAAAGTGACCCCCAAAAGTGACCCCTGGACCCCAAAAGTGACCCCAAATGGAACTTCAGGAGTGACCCCAGGAGTGACCAACGGAGTGACCCCAAAAGTGACCCCAGGACCCCAAAAGTGACCCCAAAAGTGACCCCAAGACACCAAAGTAACCCCAGGAGTGACCCCAGGATCCTAAAAGTGACCCCAAGAGTGACCTCAAGACTCCAAAAATTAAACCAAAAATGACCCCAGGATTGGCCTCAAATGTGACCCCAAAGTGACCCCAAAATCCTAAAAGTGACCCCAAAAGTGACCCCAGGATTGGCCTCAAATGTGACCCCAAAGTGACCCCAAGAACTCAAAAGTGACCCCAAAAGTGATTCCAAGAGTGACCCCAAAAATGACCCCAAAAGTGACCACCAGAGTGACCCCGGGAGTGACCCCAAAAATGACCCCAGGACCCCAAAAGTGACCCCAAAACGACCCTAAAAATGATCCAGAACCCCCTAAAATGACCCCAAAAAGGACCCCGAAAATGGCCCCAGAAATGGCCCCAGAAGGGACCCCAAAAATGACCCCAAAAATGACCCCAAAAAGTGACTTCAGGATCCCAAAAGTGACCCCAAAATGACCCCGAATCCCTGAGACCCCAAAATTCCCATTTTCCCCCCAAAATTCCCATTTCCCCCCCCAGAATTCCCATTTTTCCCCCCAAAATTCTCTTTTTTTCCCCCAAAATTCCCATTTTCCCCAAAAAAATTCCAAATTCCCCTTTTCCCTCCCAAAATTCTCTTTTTCCCCCCAAAATTCCCATTTTCCCCCAAAAAATTCCAAATTCCCCTTTTCCCTCCCAAACTTCTCTTTTTTTCCCCCAAAAATTCCCATTTTCCCTCCCAAAAGTCCCATTTTTTCCCCAGTTTTGTGCTCCAAAAATTCCCATTTTTCCTTCCCCAAATTCCCATTTCCCCCCAAAAAAATTCCCATTTTCCCCCCCAAAAAATTCCCATTTGTTCCCAAAATTCCCATTTTCCCCCCCCAAAAAATTCCCATTTTCACCCCCAAAATTCCCATTTCCCCCCAAATTCCCAATATTTCCTCCCAAAATTCCCGTTTTTCTCCCCAAAAAATTCCCATTTTCCCGCCCAAAATTTCATTTTTTTTCCCAAAATTTCCCATTTGCCTCAAAAATCCAAACTCGAATCCGCAAAATTTTTTTGGGAATTTTTATTCCTATCCACCAAAATTTTCCAGGAATGGGGAGGGGATTAAATAAGACAAAAAAGGAGCGAAAATCCCAAATTTTGGGGGATTTTTTGGGGGGGAAAATTGGGAATTTTCTCCCAAAACAGCAAAAAAAAGGGAAAAAAAAAAGGGAATTAAACCGGTGCCATTTATACAAATATAGTGTTTAAAAACGGGAATTTTGGGAATTTTGGGGGAATTTGGGGAATTTTGGGAATGTTGGGAATGAAGGGGGAGGGGTTTCAAACCCTGAGCCGCTCCAGGAAATAATTTAGGGAATTTTAGGGAATTTTTTTAGGGAATTTTGGGGAATTTTAGGGAATTTTTTTGGGATTTTTAGGGAATTTTTAAGATTTTTTTTAAGGAAATTTTAGGAATTTTTTTAGGGATTTTTAAGGGACTTTTAAGGGATTTTTTTGGGGAATTTTAGGGAATTTTTTAGGGATTTTAAAGGAATTGTTACAGATTTTTAAAGGGATTTTTACGGAATTTTTTAGGAATTTTTTTTGATTTTTAAAGGAATTTTTAGGGATTTTTTTTTGAATTTTAAAGGAATTTTTAGGGATTTTTTGGGGGATTTTTAGGAATTTTGTGGCATTTTTAGGGAATTTTTCAGAAATTTAAAAATTAATTTTAAGCAAATTTTGGGGAATTTTAAATGAATTTTTAGGGAATTTTTCAGGAATTGAAGCGATTTTTATGGAAATTTTTAGGAATTTTAAAATTAATTTTTAGGGAATTCTTAGAGAAATTTTAAAATAATTTTAAATAAAATTTTCAGGGATTTTTAGGAAATTTTTAAAGAACTTTGAGACTTTTTAGGGATTATTCAGGAATTTTTAAGGAATTAAAGCCATTTTTAGGGATTTTTAATGAAGTTTTGGGGAATTTTTTAGGAACTTTTAAATTAATTTTGTGGGAATTTTTTTGGAATTTTAATGAATTTTGGGGAATTTTTTTAGGAATTTTAAAATGAATTTGTTGAGAATTGTTTGGAAATTTTGAGGGAATTTTAAAGGAATTTTGAGGGAATTTTAAATGATTTTTTTTTAATTTAGGGAATTTTATTGGAATTTTTTAATTAATTTTTTTTTATTTTTAAAGGCATTTTTGGGAATCTTTTAGGATTTTAAAGGAACTTTTTTGGGAATTTTTAGTGATTTTTTTGGGGAATTTTTTAGGAATTTTTGGGGAAATTTTAGGAATTTTTAAATGAATGTTTTGGAATTTTTAGGGAATTTTTAAAGAGTTTTTTTAGGAATTGTTAAATGAATTTTTAGGGATTTTTCGGGAATTTCTAAGGAATTTTTAGGGAATTTTTCAGGGATTTTTAAATGAATTTTTGGGATTTTTAAAGGAATGTTAAGGAATTTTTCAGGAATTTTTTGGGGGATTTTGAGTCATTTTTTGGGGGGGATGTAAAAGGAATTTTTCGGGATTTTTTAAGGAAAATTTTTAGGATTTTTTAGGGAATTAAAAAAAAAATTTTAAGGAATTTTTTTGGGGGATGAAAGTGCCTGGAAGCGCCTTAATTATTATTAATTATTCCTCATTAATTATTATTCATGAATTCAAGGTCGGGGCTCCTCCCCCTTTTCCCAAAAAATCCGGGAATTCCGGGGGGGGGGGGAGGGGCCTGAGACCCTCCGGAAGGTTCCGGAATTCCACGGAAAGTTCCGGAATTCCACGGAAAGTTCTGGAATTTTTCCAATTCCGTGGAAAGTTCTGGAATTTCTGGAAGCCCATAAAAAGTTCTGGAATTCCATGGAATGTTCTGGAATTCCTGGAATTCCATGGGAGAAGTTCTGGAATTCCGTGGAAACTTCTGGAAGTTTCTGGAAGCACCTGGAAAGTTCTGGAATTCCATTGGAAAAGTTCTGGAATTCCTGGAATTCCATGGGAGAAGTTCTGGAATTCCGTGGAAACTTCTGGAAGTTTCTGGAAGCACCTGGAAAGTTCTGGAATTCCGTGGAAAGTTCTGGAAGCACCTGGAAGGTCCCGAAATTTCTGGAATTCCGTGAGAAGTTCTGGAATTCCGTGGAAAGTTTTGGAATGTTCTGGAACGATGTGGAAAGTTCTGGAATTCCATGAAAAGTTCTGGAATTCCATTGGAAAAGTTCCCGGAATTCCGTGGAAAATTCTGGAATTTCTGGAAGCCCGTGGAAAGTTCTGGAATTCCATTGGAAAAGTTCTGGAATTCTGTGAAAAGTTCTGGAATTCCATGGAAAATTCTGGAATTTCTGGAATTCCACGGGAAGTTCTGGAATTTTTGGAATTCCATAAAAAGTTCTGGAATATTTTCAATTCCATGGGAAGTTCTGGAATTCCGTGGAAAGTTCTGGAATTTCTGGAAGCCCCTGGAAGGGTCTGGAAAAGTTCCGGAATTCCATGGAAAATTCTGGATCCCCCAGAAATGTTCTTGGTCCCCTCTGGAATGTGCTGGAATTCCATGGAAAGTTCTGGAATTTCTGGAATTCCGTGAGAAGTTCTGGAATTCCGTGGAAAGTTCTGGAAGCACCTGGAAGTTCTGGAATTCCATTGGAAAAGTTCTGGAATTCCATTGGAAAAGTTCCGGAAGTCCATGAAAAGTTCTGGAATTCTGTGGAAACCTCTGGAATTCTGTGAAAAGTTCTGGAATTCCATGGAAAATTCTGGAATGTTCTGGAATTCCATGGAAAGTTCTGGAATTCCGTGGAATGTTCTGGAATTTTTGGAATTCCGTGGAAAGTTCTGGAATTCTGTGGAAAGTTCTGAAGTTTCTGGAAGCACCTGGAAAGTTCCGGAATTTCTGGAATTCCATGGAAAGTTCCGGAATTTCTGGAATTCCATGGAAAGTTCTGGATCCTCCTGGAATGTTCTGGAATTTCAGGGAAGTTCTGATCCCGAGGGATCCGTCCCAATTCCAGGGGGGAAATCCCAAAATCCCGGACCCAAAATTGATCCCAAAAAACCCAAAATCCCCAATCCCAAACAATCCCAAATTCCCGGACCCCAAAATTGATCCCAAAGAATCCCCAAATCCCGGAAAATTCCCGAAAATCCCGATGGGATTTCTGCAATTCCAGGGGGGAAATCCCAAAATCCCGGAGCCCGAAAATCCCAAAGAATTCCAAAATCCCAGATCCCAAACAGATCCCCAAGAATCCCAAAATCACGGAAAATTCCCAGAAAATCCCGATGGGAATTCTGCAATTCCAGGGGGGAAATCCCAAAATCCCGGATCCCAAAGATCCCAAAATTCCAGAAAATGCAGAAAATTCCGGAAAATTCCTGGAAATTCCCGGAAAATCCCGGAATTCCGTCTCAGGGCTCCTGGTGCGGCGCGGCCCCGGAGAAGATGCGGGCGAAGCTTCGGCAGCGCCAATTCCGATGGGAATTCTGCAATTCCGGGGGAAAATCCCCAAATCCCGGATCCCAAAATCCTGGAAAATCCCGGAAAATCCCAGAAAATTCCGGAAAATCCCGGTCAGGGCGCCAGGTAGGGCGCGGCTCCAGAGAAGATGGTGGTGAGATGCCGGCAGCGCCAATTCCGATGGGAATTCTGCAATTCCACCAGGGGAAATCCCCAAAATCCCGGATCCCAAAATCCTGGAAAATTCCGGAAAATCACAGAAAATTCCATAAAATTCCCGGAATTCGGTCTCATGGCTCCTGGTGCGGGGCGGCGCCGGAGAAGATCCTGAAAAACTCCAATCCCGAAGGAATCCGTCCCAATTCCGGGGGGAAAATCCCCAAATCCCAGATCCCAAAGATCCCAAAATTTCGGAAAACTCCAGAAATTCCCAGAAAATTCCCGGAAAATCCCGGAATTCGGTCTCAGGGCTCCTGCTGGGGGGTGGCTCCGGAGAAGATGCGGGTGAGACAACGGCAGCGCCGATTCCGATGGGAATTCTGCAATTCCAGGGTGGAAAATCCCAAAATCCCTCATCCCAAAATTCCAGAAAAATGCAGAAATTCCCAGAAAATTCCATAAAATTCCCGGAATTCCGTCTCAGGGCTCCTGGTGTGGCACAGCACCGGAGATCCCAGGAAAGCTCCAATCCCGAGGGATCCGTCCTGAATCCAGGGAGGAAATCCCAAAATCCCGGATCCCAAAATCCCAGAAAATGCAGAAAATTCCGGAAAATTCCATAAAATTCCCAGAAAATTCCGGAAAATTCCGTCTCAGGGCTCCTGGTGTGGCGCGGCCCCGGAGAAGATGTGGGCGAAGCTTCTGCAGCGCCAATCCCGATGGGAATTCTGCAATTCCAGGGGGGAAAATCCAAAAATCCTGGAGCCCAAAGATCCCAAAATCTTGGAAAATTCCAGAAAATTCCTGGAAAATTCTGGAAAATCCCGGTCAGGGCGCCTGGTGGGGCGGGGCCCCGGAGAAGATGCGGGCGAAGCGCCGGAGCTGCCGATCCTGATGGGAATTCTGCAATTCCGGGGGGAAAATCCCCAAATCCCGGATCCCAACGATCCCAAAATCCTGGAAAATTCCAGAAAATCCTGGAAAATCCCAGAAAATTCCGGAAAATCCTGGAAATTCCCGGAATTCTGTCTCAGGGCTCCTGGCACAGCGCCGGAGAAGATCCTGGTGAGATGCCGGCAGCACCAATTTGCCAATTCCGATGGGAATTCCGCAATTCCGGGGAGAAATCCCAAAATTCCAGATCCCAAAATCCCGGAAAATTCCGGAAAATCCCAGAAAATCCCGGAATTCTGTCTCAGGGCTCCTGGTGGAGCGGGGCTCCGGAGAAGATGCGGGCGAAGCTTCGGCAGCACCAATTCCGATGGGAATTCTGCAATTCCGGGGGGAAAATTCCCGAATCCCAAAGATCTCAAAATTCCAGAAAACGCAGAAAATTCCATAAAAATTCTGGAAAATCCCATCTCAGGGCTCCTGGTGCGGTGCAGCGCCGGAGAAGATGCGGGCGAAGCGCCGGAGCTGCCGCGCGGCCGAACTCGACTCGCGCTGCAGCCGCCGATTGTTCTGCCGCAGCGACGCCACCTCCGCCTGCAGGAACTCCTTGTCCTGCTTCTCCTGGGGGGAAAAACACGGAATTGGGGGAAAATTCACGGATTTTGGGAAAAATTCCCAGATTTTTGGGAAAAGCGGGGCGAAAAAATGGGGAGTTTTGGTGAAAAAATGAAGTTTTTAGGGGAAAAAATGGGGATTTTTCGGCAAAAAAATGAAATTTTTTGGAAGAAAAATTAGATTTTTTGGAAGAAAAATGAGATTTTTTGGGGAATTTTTGGGATTTGGTGAAAAATGGGAATTTGGGGAAAATTCCCGATTTTTGGGGAAAAAATTGGGACATTTTGGCAAAAAATGGGGAATTTTGGGGATTTTTGGGGATTCGGTTCAGCCACAGTGTCGCCACCTCGGCCTGCAGGAACTCCTTGTCCTGCTTCTCCTGGGGGGGAAAATACGGAATTGGGGGAAATTCACGGATTTTGGGAAAATCGGAGCGAAAAAATTGAGAGTTTTGGTGAAAAAATGGGGAATTTTGGTGAAAAAATGAAGTTTTTAGGGCAAAAAATGTGGATTTTTGGGCTAAAAAATGGGATTTTTTGGAAGAAAAATGAGATTATTTGGAAGAAAAAATGAGATTTTTTTGGGAATTTTTGGGACTTTTTTGGGAATTTGGTGGAAAATGGGAATTTGGGGAAAATTCCCGATTTTTGGGGAAAAAATTAGGACTTTTTGAGAAAAAATGGGTTCTGCCACAGCGATGCCACCTCCGCCTGCAGGAACTCCTTGTCCTGCTTCTCCTGCCGGGGGAAAATACGGAACTGGGGGAAAATTCCCGGATTTTGGGGAAAATTCCGAAATTTTGGAGGATTTTCAGAAAAAAAATGGGGAATTTTGGTGAAAATTTGGGGTTTTTAGGGCAAAAAATGTGGATTCTTCGGCAAAAAATGGGGATTTTTTGGCAAAAAAAAAGAGATTTTTTTGGAAGAAAAATGAGATTTTTTTGGGGGGAATTTTGGGGAGTTTTTTGGGATTTTGGGTGAAAAATGGGAATTTGGGGAAAATTCCCAATTTTTGGGAAAAAAATAGGACTTTTTTGGCAAAAAATGGGTTCTGCTGCAGCGATGCCACCTCTGCCTGCAGGAACTCCTTGTCCTGCTTCTCCTGCGGGGAAAAACGGGATTTGGGGGAAATTCCTGGATTTTGGGGGAATTTCCCAAATTTCGGGGGATTTTCAGAAAAAAAAATGGAGAATTTTGGTGAAAAAATGGAGTTTCTAGGGCAAAAAATGTGGGTTTTTTGGTGAAAAAATGGGGATTTTTCGGAAGAAAAATGACATCTTTTGGAAGAAAAATGAGATTTTTTGGGGGGAATTTTGGGGAGTTTTTTGGGATTTGGTGGAAAAATGGGAATTTGGGGAAAATTCCAAAATTTATTGGGATTTTTGGTGAAAATATGAGAATTTTTTGGCAAAAAATTGGGCATTTTTTGGTGAGAACTGAGAATTTTTTTTACAGAGTTCTTGGGAATTTTTGGGGATCTTGGAGATTTCGGGAGGGGGAAATGGGAATTTGGGGAATTCCCAAATTTTCATGGAAAAAAATGGGGTTTCTAGGGCAAAAAATGGGGATTTTTTGGCAAAAAAATGAGATTTTTTGGGGGGAATTTTTGGGAGGTTTTTGGGATTTGGGTGGAAAATGGGAATTTGGGGAAAATTCCCGATTTTTGGGGAAAAAATTGGGACTTTTTGGCAGAAAATGGGGATTTTATGGGAAAATTTGTGATTTTTAAAAATATTTTTGGCAATTTTTGGGGGTTTTGGAGATTTGGGTGGAAAATGGGAATTTGGGAAATTCCCAATTTTTGGGAAAATTTGAGTGAAAAAAATTGGGATTTTCGGTAAAAAAAATGGGATTTTGATGGCAAAAATGGGGATTTTGTGGGAAAAATTTGAGATTTTGTAGAGAATTTTTTGGGAATAATGCTGTTTTTTTTAGGGAATAAATTCGATTTTTCCCAAAAAATGTCATTTTTGGAGGGAAGAATAGATTTTTGGGGGAAAAAAATGTGATTTTTTAGGGAATAATCAGAATTTTTTGTGGGATCAATGCTGATTTTTAGGGAATAATGGGAATTTTTTTTTAATAAATGTGGATTTTTATGGGAAAAATGTGAATTTTTAGGGGAAAAAATGTGAATTTTTAGGGGAAAAAATGTGAATTTTTAGGGAAAAAAATGTGAATTTTTAGGGAAAAAAATCTGGATTTTTAGGGAATAATGCTGGTTTTTTTGGGAATAAATGTGAATTTTTTGGGAAAATGTTATTTTCGGATGGAAGAATGACTTTTTGGAGGGGATTTTGGGGTGAAAAATGGGAATTTTGGGGTTTTTCTCACCTTTTCCAGGTCGCTGTGGAGCTGCTTCAGCATCGCCTCCAACTGCGAAACTTTTCCCGGCAGGTCCAGGGGGGCGGGGGAGGGGCTGGCAGCAAAAATTTGGGAAAAAAAATGAAAAAAACAAAACAAAAATTACACCAAAATTACCCAAAAAAATTTAAAAAATGGTCCCAAAAGCCAGATGGAAAAAAATCCCCATTTTTGCCCCAAATTCCTGCTCTAAACCCCCAAAAATCTGCAAAAAAATTGAATTTTTCACCCTAAAATTGCCCTGGATTTTACATTTCCCACCCCGAAATTCCCAAAAATTTCAATTTTTGCCCCCCAAATTTAATTTTTACCCCACAAAATCCTCCCAAATTCAGTTTTCCCCAAAACTTTTAGTTTTTCCCCAAATACTTTTCCCCAAAATTTCAGGGTTTTTCCCCCAAATTTAAATTTTTTACTAAAATTTCAAATTTTTTCCCCAAAAATTCAACTTCCCCCAAATTTGCATTTTCCCCCCAAAATTCAATTTTTTCCCCAAAACTTCAATTTTTTTTCCCAAAATTCAATTTTTTTCTGCCAAAATTTAATTTTTACCCAACAAAATCTCCCCAAATTCAATTTTTCCCCAAGAATTCAATTTTTTCACCCCAAAATTTCAAATTTTTTCCCCAAAATTCAACTTTTCCCCCCAAATTTGCATTTTACCCCCCAAATTTGCATTTTTCCCCCAAAATTCAATTTTTTCCCCCAAAATTCAATTTTTACCCCACAAAAACCCCCCAAAAATAAATTTTTCCCCAAAAAATTCAATTTTTTTCCCCAAATTCGAATTTTTTACCCAAAATTTCAATTTTTTTCCCCCAAAATTCAACTTTTCCCCCCAAATTTGCATTTTTCCCCCAAAATTCAAATTTTTCCCAAAACTTGAATTTTTCCCCCAAATTTCAATTTTTACACCACAAAATCCCCCAAAATTCAATTTTTTTCCCCAAAAAATTCTTTTTTTACCCAAAATTTAACATTTTTTTCCCCAAAATTCCGATTTTTCCCCCCAAATTTGGGTTTGGGTACCTGAGTGGGGGGAGGGGCGGCCGGGGGGGTGGGGGAGGGGCGGGGGGCGGCTCCGGGCTCAGGGCGGGATCGCTCAGGGAGAACAGCGAGACGGCGCGCTGCACTGCGGGACCCAAAACAGCCCAAAATTACCCCAAAAATGTCCCAGAAATGTCCCAAAACTAGCCCCAAAATGTCCCAAAAATATCCCCAAAATCAGCCCAAAAATAGCCCAGAAATGTCCCAAAATCGGCCCAAAATCAGCCCAAAATTACCCCAAAATCTGCTTAAAAATAGCCCCGAAATGTCCCAAAATTACCCCCAAAATGTCCCAAAAATATCCCCAAAATCAGCCCAAAAATAGCCCAGAAATGTCCCAAAATCAGCCCCAAATCAGCACCAAATCGGCTCAAAACAGCCCCAAATCAGCCCAAAATCAGCACCAAATCAGCCCCAAAATCAGCCTGAAATTACCCCAAAATCAGCCCCAAATCACCCCAAAATCAGCACCAGATCGGCCCAAAATCAGCACCAAATCACCCCAAAATCAACCCGAAATCAGCCTCGAATCAGCTCCAAATTACCCAAAAATCAGCCCAAAATTACCCCAAAATCAGCCCAAAATCAGCCCCAAATTACCCCAAAATCACCCCAAAATTACCCCAAAATCACCCCAAAATCAGCCCGAAATTACCCCAAAATCAGCCCGAAATTACCCCAAAATCACCCCAAAATCAGCCCCGAATCACCCCAAAATCAGAACCAAATCAGCCCCAAAAGACCCCCAAATCAGCCCGAAATTACCCGAAAATCAGCCTCAAATCACCCCAAAATCAGCCCAGAAATAGCCCCAAAATGTCCCAAAAATCGCCCAGAAATATCCCAAAAATAGCCCTGAAATGTCCCAAAATTTTCCCCAAAATCAGCCAAAAAATAGCCCAGAAATGTCCCAAAATCAGTCCAAAATTATCCCCAAAATGTCCCAAAATTATCCCCAAAATCACCCCAAAAACATCCCCAAAGTGTCCCAAAATTATCCCCAAAATTCCCATTTTTTCCCCAGACTTCCCACCAAATTTCCAAAATAATTCCCAAATTTTCCCAAAATCCCCGAATTTCCCCCCAATTGTCCCAAAATCCCCAATTTCCCCCCAAATTTCCCCAAAATCCCCGATTTTCCCCCGAATTTCCCCCAAAATCCCTGATTTTCCCCAAAATTTCCCCAAATTCCTCCCAAATTCTCCAAAATCCCCAATTTCCCCAAAATCCCCAATTATTTTCCCAAAATCCGATTTTCCCCCAAATTTTCTCCCAAATTTCCCCAAAACCCCCAACTTTCCCCAAAATCCCCTAAATTTCCCCCAAATCCCCTAAATTTCCCCCAAATCCCCAATTTCCCCAAAACCCCAAATTCCCCCAAAATCCCCGATTTTCCCCCAATTTCCCCAAAATCCCCAATTTTCCCAAAATCCCGGATTTTCCCCCTGAATTTGCCCAAAATCCCCAAATTCCCCCAAAATCCCTGATTTTTCCCCCAATTTCCCCAAAATCCCCCAAATTTCCCCCAAATCCCCATTTCCCCCAAATTTCCCCAATTTTTCCCCCAAATTTCCCCCAAATTTCCCCAAAATCCCCGAATTTCCCCAAAATCCCTGAATTTCCCCTGAATTCCCCAATTTTTCCCCCAAATTTCCCCCAAATTTCCCCAAAATCCCTGATTTTCTCCCAAATTTCCCCAAAATCCCCAATTTTCTGCCAAATTTCCCCAATTTTCCCCCCAATTTCCCCAAAATCCTGAATTTCCCCCAATTTGCCCGAAATCCCTGTTTTTTGCCCCAATTTGCCGTCTCTCTCTCACCCTCGTAGGCTCTGGCCGCGCTCACCAGCGTCGCCCATTCCAGTCCGGCCGCGTCCGGCAGCGGGAACAGCCCCGGCTCCAACCGCGCCGCCGGGCCTGGGGGGGAAATTCCCGAAATTCCAACAATTCCCGACAATTCCCAAAAATTCCCAACAATTCCCAAAAAATTCCAGCCCAAAATCAAAAAAATCTGGGTTAAAAACAAAAAAAAAATCCCATTTTTCCACCCAAAATCCATCCAAAATCCTATTTTTCTACTCAAAATCCCACCCAAATCCATCAATGCCAAAACTCACAAAATTCCCAAAAATTCCACCCCAAAATCCAAAAAATTCCCATTCTAAAATCCCAACAATCCCAAAAATTCCAAAATCCCAAAAAATTCCCTAAAAATTCTGTCCAAAAATAAAAAAAAAAACAGATGAAAATGCTCCAAAAATACCCAAAAAATACCGTTTTTCCCACCCAAAATTCCCATTTTCCAACCCAAATCCATCAATCCCAAAAAATCCCAGAATTCCCAAAAACTTCCAGTCCAAAATCCCAAAAAATGTGGCTGAAAATGCCCCAAAATTCCCATTTTTCCCCCCAAAATCCCCAAATCCGGCAGCGGGAACAGCCCCGGCTCCAACCGCGCCGCCGGGCCTGGGGAGGGGGAAATTCCCGAAATTCCCAAAATTCCCAACAATTCCCGACAATTCCCGACAATTCCCAAAAAATTCCAGCCCAAAATCAAAAAAATCCGGGTTAAAAACCACCAAAAAATGCCATTTTTCTGCTCAAAATCCCACCCAAAATCCCATTTTTCTGCTCAAAATTCCAATTTTCCAACCCAAATCCATCAATCCCAAAATTCCCAGAATTCCCAAAAAATACCAGCCCAAAATCCCAAAAAATCTGTGTGAAAATGCTCCAAAAATACCCAAAAATTCCAATATTTTTCACCCAAAAATCCCCCCCAAAATCCCAATTTTCCAACCCAAATCCGTCAATCCCAAAACGTCCCAAAAATCCCCACCAAAATCCCAGAAAAAATCCTCAATTTCCCCCAAATCCCCCCAAAAATTCCCAAAATCCCCAAATCCCCCCCAAAATCTCAAAAAAATCCCAAATCCCACCGAGAAATCCCCCCCCCAAAAAAAAAAAAAATCCCCAAAAAAATCCCCAAAAATTCCCCCAAAATTTCCAGGATTTCCCCTCCAAAACTCCCAAAAATTCCAAGATTTTCCCCAAATTCCCAAAAATTCCCACCAAAATCCCCCCAAAATTCCCAAAAAAATTTCAAAAATCCTCCAAAATTTCCCAATAAATTCCCAAAATTCCCAAAGTTCCCCCAAAATCCACAAAAATCCCCAAAAAAGTTCCAAAATGCCCCCAAATTTCCCAATAAATTCCCAAAATTCCCCCAAAATCCACAAAAATCTCCAAAAATTCCCAGAAAAATCCCCAAAAATTCCCAAATAATTCCCAGAAAAATCCCAAAAAATTCCCAAATCCCCCAAAAATCCCCCCCAAAAAACCCCAAAAATTCCCGGATTTCCCCCCCAAACTGCCCCAAAAATTCCCGGATTTCCCCCAAATTCCCAAAAAGCCCCAAATTCCGGAATTCCCACCTCGGTTCCCGTCGGCCGCTCTCCGCCCGCTCCGGCTGCTGCGGCCGCCGCTCAGCGGCTCCGGGAAATTCCCGGAATTCCCGGAACTGCCGGAATTCCCGGAGCTCTTCCCGAAATTCCCGAAATTCCCGGAATGTTGGGAATTCTGGGGGCTCCGGTGCCGCCCCCCACAGAGACTCTCGTCCGACAGCGTCCGAGGCAGCGGCTGCGGGAACGAGGGAGTACGGAATGACGGGAATTACGGGAATGACGGGAATGACGGGAATTCCAGGAATTCCAGGAAATACAGGGAAATCTGGGAATTATGGGAAAATAAGGGGAAATACGGGGAAATACAAAAAAATACGGGAAAATCGGGGAAAATCTGGGAATTACAGGAAATTCTGGGAAAATCTGGGAAATTCTGGGAAAATCTGGAAAATATTGGGAAAATACGGGAAAATACAGGGAAATACGGGAAAATTGGGGAAAATCTGGGAATTCCAGGACATTCGGAGAAAATCTGGGAAATTCTGGAAATTCCAGAAAATTCAAGGAAAATCTGAGAATTACGGGAAAATACGGGAAAATACAGGACAATATGGAAGAATATGGGAAATTCCGGGAAATTCTGGGAAAATCCAGCCAATTCCAAGAAATTTGGGGAAATCCAGGGAATTCTGGGAAAATCTGGGGAAATTCAGGAAAATCCGGGAAATTCTGGGAATTATGGAAAATTCCAGGAAATTCTGGGAAAATCTGGGAAATTCCAGGAAAAGCTGGGAAATTCTGGGAAAATACGGGAAAATACGGGATATTCTGGGAAAATATGGGAAAATATGGGAAAATACGGGAAATTCCGGGAAATTCTGGGGAAATCAGGGAAAAGCCGAGAAATTCTGGGAAAATCTGGGGAATTCTGGGAAAATCCGTGAAAATCCGGGAAATTCCAGGATTTTTTGCATTTCGGGTTTGGGAATTTTGGGAATTCTGGGGAATTTCAGGGAAAATTCCCATTTTTCCCCATTTTTGGGGCTAAATACCTCCAAAAAGACTAAAAATTCAAATTTTTCGCTATTTTTTCCCATTTTTTGGGGCTAAAACTTCAGGAATTTTGGGAATTTCAGGAACTTCGGGAATTTTGGGAATTTCAGGAACTTTGGGAATTTCAGGGAGAAAAATTCCAATTTTTCCCATTTTGGGTCTAAAAAAATCCGATTTGTCTCCATTTTTGGGGCTAAAAATCGGATTTTTTTGCCTTTTTTTTGTCTAAACCCTGGGGATTTTTTGCATTTTGGGTCTGGGAATTTCGGGAATGTTGGGAAATTCGGGAATTCCGCTCTCACCGGGGCGGGCTCGGCCTCGGGGCAGGAATTGTCCATCAGGATGAGGCGCTTCAGGTCGTCCTCGATGGAGGATTTCGGGAGGCGCCGGGGGGAGCGAAGGTCCCGCAGCGACGCCCGGAGCCGCGGCTGCCCGAAAACGTTCACCTGCCTGCCGAAAATTCCAATATTTCCATAAAAATCCCGGAAAAATCCATAAAAATCCCATTAAAATACATCAAAATCCCGGAAAAATAAAAAAAATCCCATTAAAATCCCATGAAAATCCATTAAAATTCATTCCAATCCCGGAGCCGCGGCTGCCCGAAAACGTTCACCTGCCTGCCGAAAATTCCACATATTCCATAAAAATCACGGGAAAATCCATAAAAATCCCATTAAAATCCATCAAAATCCCAGAAAAATAAAAAAAATCCCATTAAAATCCATTAAAATTCATTAAAATTCATTCCAATCCCGGAGCCGCGGCTGCCCGAAAACGTTCACCTGCCTGCCGAAAATTCCAAATATTCCATAAAAATCCCGGAAAAAAATGGGGAAAATATAAAAAGTTCTAGAATAAATACAAAAATCCTGGAAAAAATCCCATTAAAATCCCATAAAACCTTATCAAACTTGATGAAAATTCGATTAAAATCCATTAAAATTCATTGAAATCCCAGAAAAATATAAAAAATCCCATTAAAATCTCATAAAAACCCATTAAAATCCCATGAAATCTTATCAAACTTGATTAAAATTTGATTAAAATCCCATTGAAATCCATAAAAATCCATTAAAATTCATCAGAAATCCCATTAAAATTCAATTAAATCCTATGAAACCTCATTAAAATTAAAAATACATTAAAATCCCATAAAAATCCATAAAAATTCATTAAAATCCTGTAAAAATTAATTAAATTCCATAAAAGTCCCATAAAAATTCGTTAAAATCCCATTAAAATTCATTCCAATCCCGGAGCCGCGGCTGCCCGAAAACGTTCACCTGCCTGCCGAAAAATTCCAAATATTCCATTAAAATCCCGGAAAAATCCATAAAAATCCCATTAAAATCCATTAAAATCCCAGAAAAATAAAAAAAATCCCATTAAAATCCCATAAAAACTGATTAAAACCCCGTAAAATCTTATCAAACTTGATTAAAATTCGATTAAAATCCCATTAAAATTCATTCAAAGCCGCGGCTGCCCGAAAACGTTCACCTGCCTGCAGAAAATTCCAAATATTCCATGGAAATCATGGAAAAATCCATAAAAATCCCATTAAAATCCATCAAAATCCCAGAAAAATAAAAAAAATCCCATTAAAATCCCATAAAAATCCATTAAAATCCATTCCAATCCCGGAGCCGCGGCTGCCCGAAAACGTTCACCTGCCTGCCGAAAATTCCAAATATTCCATGGAAATCCCGGAAAAATTCATCAAAATCCCATTAAAATCCATCAAAATCCCAGAAAAATAAAAAAAATCCCATTAAAATCTCATTGAAATCCCATTAAAATCCCATTAAAATCCATTAAAATTCATTCCAATCCCGGAGCCGCGGCTGCCCGAAAACGTTCACCTGCCTACGGAAAATTCCACATATTCCATGGAAATCACGGAAAAAAACAGGGAAAATATAAAAAGTTCTAGAATAAACATAAAAATCCTGGAAAAAATCCCATTAAAATTCATTGAAATACCAGAAAAATAAAAAAAATCCCATTAAAATCCCAGAAAAACCAAAAAAATCCCATAAAAACCCATTAAAATCCCATGAAATCTTATCAAACTTGATTAAAATTCGATTAAAATCCCATAAAAATCCATAAAAATTCATTAAAATCCTGTAAAAATTAATTAAATTCCATAAAAGTCCCATAAAAATTCGTTAAAATCCCATTAAAATTCATTCCAATCCCGGAGCCGCGGCTGCCCAAAAACGTTCACCTGCCTGCCGAAAATTCCAGATATTCCATAAAAAACCCGGAAAAATACCAAAAAATCCCATTAAAATCCATCAAAATCCCAGAAAAATAAAAAAAAATCCCATTAAAATCTCATTGAAATCCCATGAGAAACGATTAAAATCCCAGAAAAATTAATAAAAATGACATCAAAACCCCCTTAAAAATCCACATAAATCCCTTCAAAATTCAGTAAAATCCCATCAAAATTCATTAAAATAAAAAAATCCATAAAAATTTGATTAAAATCCATAAAAAGGTCCCAGTAAAATCCCTCAAATTAAAATTCCCCCAATTTTCCCCGTTTTCCCCCAATTTTTTATCCATTTTCCCCAATTTTCCTGAAATTTCCCCAATTTTCCCCCTTTTCCCCCATTTTCCCATTTTCCCCATTTTTCCCATTTTCCCCCAAATTTCCCCATTTCCCCCCAAATTTCCCCATTTTTCCCCATTTTCCCCCATTCTCCCCCCTAATTTTCCCCTGATTTTCCCATTTTTTTCCCATTTTCCTGAGATTTTCCCCCAAATGTTTCCCCATTTTCCCTCCCAACTTTCCCCCAAATTTTCCCCAATTCCCCCCAATTTTCCCCATATTTTTACAAATTTCCCCAATTTCCCAATTTTTCCCCATTTCCCCCCGATTTTTTGCATTTTCTCCCCAATTTTTCCCATTTTTCCCATTTTCCCCCATTTTTCCCCAATTTCCCCAAATTTCCCTCCTATTTTTTCCCATTTTCACCCATTTTTTTCCATTTTCCCTCCAATTTTCCCCAATTTTTCCCCATTTTCCCCCAATTTTCCAATTTTTTCCCATTTTCCCCCCATTTCCCCCCAATTTTCCCCCCATTTCCCCCCAATTTTCTCCCATTTCCCCCCATTTTCCCCATTTTTTTCCCCAAGTTTTCCCTTTTTTCCCCAATTTCCCCATTTTTCCCTATTTTCCCCCAAAATTCTTCCCAATTCCCTCCATTTTCCCCCCACTTTCCCATTTTCCCCCAAATTTCCCAATTTTTCCCCATTTTTTCCCCAATAGTTCCCCCATTTTTCCCATTTTTTCAATTATTTCCCCAAATTTCCCAATTTTCCCTATTTTTCCTCCAATTTTCCCAATTTCCCCCATTTTTTCCCAAATTTTCCCCATTTTAACCCAATATTCCCATTTTTTCTCCCAATTTCCCCCCATTTTTTTTCCAATTTTCCCCCCAATTTCCCCCAATTTTTGCCAATTTTTCCCAATTTTCCCAATTTCCCGCATTTTTTTCCCAGTTTTCCCCATTTTTCCCAATTTCCCCATTTTTTCCCCCATTTTCTCTCACATTCCGGCCTCTCCCCCGGAGCCTCTCCCGGAGATTTTGGGGCCGAATTTCGGAGCCGCGGGGCCGGGCCTGGAAAACGAAAATTTCACCCCAAAATTGGGAATTTTTACCAAAAATTTGGAAATTTTTTAACCAAAAAATGAGAATTTTGACACAAAAAGTCATAATTTCTAATGAAAAAATGGGAAATTTAAACAAAAAAGGGGATTTTTTTACAAAAAAAGGGATTTTAAATGAAAAAAATGGGAATTCTGCCCCAAAAATTGGCAATTTCACCCCAAATTTGGGTATTTTTATAAAAAAAAGAAAAATTTTACAGAGAAAGGGAATTTTTAACCAAAAATTAGGAATTTTTAAGGAAAAACAAGAATTTCAACCCAAATATTGGGAATATTTACCCAGATTTGGGAATTTTATCCCAAAAATTGGGAATTTCTCCTCAAATTTGGGAATGTTCAACCAAAAAAATTGGGAAATGTACTAATAATTAGAAATTTTAACAAAAAATTTACAATTTTAAGAAAAAATGGGAAATTTTACCCCAAAATTTGGGGAATTTGAGGGAAATTGTGGAATTTTCTCTCACCCGGGAATTTTTAACAAAAAAAGGGGAATTTTTACCCCAAAAATTGGGAATTTTTACCCAAAAATTGGGACTTCTCCCAAAATTTGGGAATTATTACAGAAAAAAGGAAATTTTTACCCCAAACATTTGGGAATTTGAGGGAAATTTGGGAATTTTCATGAAAAATTTGGGAATTTTAACGAAAAATGTAAATACTTACCCAAACATTGGGAATTTTTTCAACCAAAAATTGAGAATTTTTTCAATCAAAAATTGAGAATTTTTACCCAAAAAAATGGGGATTTTTACTCAAAAATTTGGCTTTTTACACCAAAAAAAAGTAATTTTAACCAAAAAAGAGAATTTTTACCAAAATTTGGAGTTTTTACCCCAAAAATGTGGGAATTTTCTCTCACCTGGAGGCGCTGCCGGGTTTGCGGACCGCCGGGGGCGCCGTCAGCTCCGGGGGGGATTTTTGGGAATTCCGGGCGGGATTTTGGGAATTTTGGGGATTTGGGGGATTTTGGGGATTTGGAGAATTTGAGGAATTTGGGGGATTTTGGGGGATTTTGGGAATTCGGGAATTTCGGGAGTCGGCGCCGCTGTCGTCGGCGTCGCTGGAGCTGGAGAGAGGCGGCGACGCCTGCGGAAATTCGGGAAAGTTTAGGGAATTTTGGGGAAATTTTGGGGAATTTTGGGAATTCCAGAAAATTGGGATTCGTGCAATTCCCAAAACTCCCCAAAATTTCCAGATTTTCGGGATTTTTAAAGGATTTTTTGGGAATTTTTGTGATTTTTTGGTGGATTTTTGGGGAATTTTGGGGACTTTTTTTGGGGATTTTTCTTAAGATTTTTAGGGATATTTTTGGGAATTTTGGGGGGATTTTTTGGGAATTTTAGGGGATCTTTTGGGAATTTTGGGAATTTTAGGAATTCCAAATCCCAAAAATCCCCAAAATTCCCAGATCTTTTGGTGGATTTTTGGGGCATTTGGGGTTTTTTGTTAGGGAATTTAGGGATTTTTTTAGGGAATTTTGGGGATATTTTGGGAATTTTGGGAATTTCAGAGAATTGGGATCCCATAAAACCAAAAAATCCCTGAAATTCCCGGATTTTTTGGTGGATTTTTGGGATTTTTTTGGGGAATTTTTTTTTATGCTATTGGGGATTTTTCAGAATTTTCTTTGGGAATTCTGGGAATTTTTTCAGGAATTCCCAGATTTTTTTGGGAATTCCTAAGACTTTTCAGAATTTTTTTGGGAATTCCAGAAATTTTTTGAGACTTTTGGATGATATTTTGGTGGAATTTTGGGGTTTTTTGCTGATTTTTTTGGCTTCTTTTGTTTTTTTTTTCTGGGGGGAATTTTTCAGGAATTCCAGGATTTTTTAGGGAATTCCAGGAATTTCGGGGAATTTTTCAGAACTTTTCAGGAATTTTTAAAGAATTTTGGCGGATTTTGTTTTTTTTTGGCGAATTTGGGGGTTTGGGCAGGGGGGGTTTGGGATTTTTTGCTTTTTTTTTCAGGAATTCACGGATTTTTTTTGGAATTTGGGAATTTTTTGGGAATTTTTTGGGAATTTTTTGGGAATTTTTTTGGAATTTTCTGGGATCTGACCTTGGGCAGGCTTTTCGGGGACTCCTTCGGGCGCTTCCCGGGAATTCGGGACGGAGCCGGGAGGTGCCAGAGCGGCTCTGGAACGGAAATTTGGGAATCTGGGATTTGGGATTTCCCACCAAATTCCCAACTTTTTCATCCATTTTCCCGCCAAATTCCCAATTTCCCCACCAAATTTTTCACAAATTTTCCGCCAAATCCCCAAATTTCCCTCCCCATTCCCAAATCTCCCACCAAATTCCCAAAATTTTCACCAATTTTCCTGCCAAATTCCCACATTTCCCACCAAATCCTGGATTTTGCTGCCAAATCTCCTGCCAAATTCCCAAATTTCCCATTAAATTCCCAAATTTTTCACCAATTTTTGGACCAAATCCAGGATTTTCCCGCCAAATCCCCAAAATTCCCTCCATATTCCCAAATTTTTCACCAACTTTCCCACTAAATTCCCAAATTTCCCACTAAGTTCCAAAATCTCTGCCAAATTCCCAATTTTTTGACCAATTTTCCCATCCAATCCCAGATTTTCCCACCAAATTCCCAAATTTCCCACCAAATCCCCAAATTTCCCTCCAACTTCCCAAATTTTTCACTGATCTTCCCCCTCAAATTCCCCATTTTTCCTGCTAAACCCCCAAATTTCCCTCCAAATCCCAAAATTTCCCACCAAATCTCAGATTTTCCTGACAAATTTCTGCCAAATTCCCAAATTTTTCACCAATTTCCCCACAAATCCCAGATTTTCCCACCAAATCCCTGAATTTCCTGTCAAATTCCCAAATTTCTCGCAAATTTCCCATGAAATTCCCAAATTTTTCACCAATTTTTCCCACCAAATCTGCAAATTTCCCTCCAAATTCCCAATTTTTCTGCCTAATTTCCCATGAAATTCCGGATTTTCCCACAAAATTCCCAAATTTTTTCACCAGTTTTCCAGCAAAATTCCCAAATTTCCCTCCCCCATTCCCAAATTTCCCACCAAACCCCTGCTTTTCCTGGCAAACTCCCAAATTTCCCTCCAAATTCCCAATTTTTCTGCCTAATTTTTCATTAAATTCCTGATTTTCCCACAAAATTCCCAAATTTTTCACCCGTTTTCCCACCAAATTCCCCATTTTTCCGACCAAATCTCCCGAAAAAATTCCCAAATTTACCAGCAAGTTCCCAAATTTCCCACCAAATCCCGGATTTTCCCACCAAATCTCCCTCCAAATTCCCAAATTTCCCTGCCAAATTCCCACATTTCCCACCGAATTCCCAATTTCCCTCCAAATTCCCAAATTTTTCACCCATTTTCCCACCAAATTCCCCGATTTTCCCACCCAATCCCGAATTTTCCGTACCCGCCTTGAGCCTCTCGGTGCCTCCCTCGTGTCCGGCGGCCTCGGAGTGTCCGGAGCTCCCGGAATTCCCGGAATTCCCGGAATTCCCGGAATTCCCGGAATTCCCGGAATTCCCGGGCTGCGGCTCCGCCCCCCTCTGCGGCCTGCGGGAAAATCCGGAATTCTGGGGCTGCCACCCCTCGAAAATCCCAATTTTCTGTTTTTTTCCCAAATTTCCCCCATTTTTTCCCAATTTTCCCAATTTTTTTCCTGAATTTCCCCCCATTTTCCCAATTTTTCACCATTTTCCCCAATTTTCCCACTTTTTTCCCCATTTCTCAAATTATTTTCCACAATTTTTCCCATTTTTCCCTCATTTCCACCTCCTTTATCCCCATTATTCCAAATTTTTCCCAAATATCCCCATTTTTCCCCAATTTTCCCAAATCTCCCCCAAATTCTCCATTTCCCCTTATTTTTCCCATTTTCCCCCATTTTCCCCCCATTTTTCCCAATCTTTCCCAATTTCCCCCAATTTTCCCTCAATTTTCCCCTCAATTTTTCCCTCATTTCCCCTCATTTTTCCCAAATTTCCACCAAATGCCCCAATTTTCCCCATTTTACACCAATTTTCCCAATTTTCCCCATTTTCCACCATTTTCCCCATTTCCCCCCAAATTTTCCCCATTTTTCCCAATTTTCCCAATTTTGTCCCAAATTTCCCCCATTTTCCCCCATTTTCCGTCATTTCCCCCAAAATATTCCCTAATTTCCCCAATTTTTCCCCATTTTCCCCAATTTCCATCCATTTTATCCCAAATCCCCCCATTTTTTCCCAATTCTCCCCAAATTTCCCCAATTTTCCCCCAAATTTCCCCATTTTTTCCCACTTTCCCCAATTTTCACCCCTTTTTCCCCAAATGTCCCAAATTTCCCATTTTCCCCCCAAATTTCCCCCATTTTTACCAATTTTGTCTGAAATGTTTCCCATTTTGCCTCCAATTTCCTCAAATTTCCCCCCAATTTTCCCAATTTTTTCCCATTTCCCCCAAAAATTTTCCCCCATTTTATCCCAAATTTCTCCCCTAATTTCCCCATTTTTCTCCAATTTTCCCCATTTTATCCCAAATTTTCCCTCTAATTTCCCCATTTTTCCCCAATTTCCCCCATTTTTTCCCCAATTTCCCCATTTCCCCCAATTTCCCCTCATTTCACCCCAATTTTTCCCAAATTTTCCCCAAATTCCTTATTTTCCCCCTTTTCTCCCCCCTTTTCTCCCCCCTTTTCTCCCCCATTTTTCCCCATTTTATTCCAAATTTTCCCCATTTTTCCCCATTTTCCCCATTTTTTCCCCAATTTTTTCCCAATTTTCCCCATTTTCCCCATTTTTCCCAATTTCCCCCAAATTTTCCCCGTTCCCACCTCTCTGGGGCTCCGCGGGCGCCGCCGGTGCCGGAGAAGCTTCCGGAGCTCTGGCGGAAGGCGGAGCCGGAACGGGGCGACTCCGGGAAACTCAGCGGGCTGGGAATGGGAAAAATGGGAAATTTGGGAAAATCTGGGGGGAATTGGGGAAATTTGGGGAAATTTGGGGGAAATTGGGGAATTTTTTGGGAAAATTGGGGGGAAATTGGGGGGAAATTTGGGGAAATTGGGAAAATTGGGGGGAAAATTGGGGGGAAATGCAGGAAAATAAAGGGGGAAATTGGGGGTAAATGGGAAAATATTGGGGGAAATTGGGGGAAATTGGGGAAATTTGGGGGGAAAATGGGGGAAATGGGGGGAAATTGGGGAAAATTGTGGGAAATTGGGAAAATTTGAGGAAAAATTGGGGGAAATGGGGAAATTGGGAACATTTGGGGGAAAATGGGAAAATTGGGGGGAAAATTGGGAAAATTTGGGAGAAATTGGGGAAAATTAGGGGTTGAAATGGGGAAAGATTGGGGGAAAATTGGAGAAATTCGGGGGAAATTGGAGAAATTGGGGGGGAAATGGGAAAATATTGGGGAAATTTGGAGAAAATTGAGAAAATTTGGGAAAATGTGTGGGGAAAAATTGGGGGTAAAATGGGGAAAAATTGGGGGGAAAATTTGGGGGAAATTGGGGGAAATTGGGGGGGAAAATTGGGGGGGAACTGGCCAAATTTGGGGGGGAAATTGGGGAAATGGGAGGAAAATAGGGGGAATAAGGTGGAAATAGGGAAAAATTGGGGGAAAATTGGGGAAATTTGGGGGAAAATTGGGGAAATTGGGGAAATTGGGGAAATTTGGGAATTTGGGGGGAATTTGGGGGGAATTTGGGGGAATTGGGGAAATTTGGGGGGAAATTTGGGGGAAAATTGGGGAAATTTGGGGGGAATTGGGAAAAAATTGGGGGGAAATTTGGGGGGAAAATTGATGGAAACTGGGGAAATTTGGGAGGAAAATTGGGAAAATTTGGGGGGAAAATTGGGGGGAAATGTGGGAAAATAAGAGGGAAATTGGGGGGAAATGGGAAAATATTGGGGGAAATTGAGGGAAAATTGGGAAAAATTGGGGGAAAATGGGGAAAATTGGGAAATGTTGGGGGAAATTGGGGGCAAATTGGGAAAAATTGGGGGCAAATTGGGGGGAAATGGGGAAAAATGGGGGGAATTGGGAAAATTTGGGAAAATTTGGGGGGAAAATTGGGAAAATATTGGGGAAAATTGGAAAAATGAGAAAATTCAGGAAAAAAGGGGGGGAATGTTGGGAAAAGGGAAAAAAGGGGGGGATGGGAAAAATATTGAGAAAATATTGGGAAATTTGGGAAAAATCAGGAAAAATGGGGGGAAAAGGGGCAAAATATGGGGGAAAATGGGAAAATATTGGGGGAAAATTGGGGGGGAAGGGGGAAGATTGGTGGAAATGCAAAAATTGGGGAAAATTCAGAAAATTCAGAAAAAAAGGAGGGAAATGGGAAAATTGGGAAAAATGAAGGGAAAATGGAAACATGGAAGAAAGTTGGGAAAAACTTTAAGAATTTTGGGGGGAATTTTGGGAATTTCGGGAGGATATGGTGGGGGGATTTTGGAGGGCTTTTAGGAGATATTCCAGGAATTTTTGGTGGAATTTTGGGGTGAATTTCAGGAATTTTGGGGGGAATTTGGGGGATTTTGTGGGAATTTTAGGGCCGATTCTGGGGGGAATTTTGAGAGGAATTTCAGGAATTTTTGGCAGAATTTTGAGGAAAATTTTGGAGATTTCGTGGGAATTTGGGGGGGGGGGGGGGAAATTCCCGGAATTCTGTTGGAATTTGGGAATTTTGGGAGGAATTTCAGGAATTCCAGAGGAAATGTGGGAATTTTGGGGAGAATTCCATGGGAAATGTGGAAATTTGGGGGTAATTCCGGGGAATTTTTGCTGGAAATGTGGGAATTTTGGTGAGAATTCCGGGAATTTTTGCTGGAAATGTGGGAATTTTGAGGGTAATTCCGGGGAATTTTTGGTGGAAATGTGGGAATTTTGGGGGTAATTTCGGGGAATTTTTGGTGGAAAGGTGGGAATTTTGTGGGTAATTTGGGAATTCCAGAGGCAATTCGGGAATTTTGGTGAGAATTTCGGGAATTTTTGGTGGAAATGTGTGAATTTTGAGGAGAATTTGGGAAATTTTTGCTGGAAATGTGGGAATTTTGTGGGTAATTTCGGGAACTCCAGAGGAAATGTGGGAATTTTGTGGAGAATTTCGGGAATTTTGAGGAGAATTTCGGGAATTTTTGCTGGAAATGTGGGAATTTTGGAGGAATTTTGGTGAGAATTCCGGGAATTTTTGGTGGAAATGTGGGAATTTGGGGGTAATTTCGGGGAATTTTTGGGGGAAATGTGGGAATTTTGGTGAGAATTTGGGAATTTTGAGGAGAATTTTGGGGAATTTTTGGTGGAAATGTGGGAATTTTGAGGAGAATTTCGGGAATTTTGAGGAGAATTTCGGGAATTCCAGGGGAAATTTGGGAATTTTGAGGAGAATTTGGGAATTCCAGGGGAAATGTGGGAATTTGGGGGTAATTCCAGGAATTTTTGGTGGAAATGTGGGAATTTTGTGGGTAATTTCGGGAAGTTTTGGTGGAAATGTGGGAATTTTGGGGGTAATTCTGGGGAATTTTTGCTGGAAATGTGGGAATTTTGGTGAGAATTGGGGAATTCCAGGGGAAATGTGGGAATTTTGAGGAGAATTTTGGGAATTTTGGCGAGAATTTTGTGAATTTTTGCTGGAAATGTGGGAATTCCGGGGTAATTCCGGGGAATTTTTGGTGGAAATGTGGGAATTTGGGGGTAATTTTGGGAATTTTTGGTGGAAATGTGGGAATTTTGTGGGTAATTTCGGGAATTTTTGCTGGAAATGTGGGAATTTTGGGGAGAATTTGGGAATTTTGTGGGTAATTTCGGGAATTCTTGGTGGAAATGTGGGAATTTTGGGGAGAATTTTGGGAATTTTTGGTGGAAATGTGGGAATTTTGGGGAGAATTTGGGAATTTTGAGGAGAATTTCGGGGAATTTTTGGTGGAAATGTGGGGATTTTGGGGAGAATTTGGGAATTTTGAGGAGAATTTCGGGGAATTTTTGGTGGAAATGTGGGAATTTTGGGGAGAATTTGGGAATTTTGAGGAGAATTTCGGGGAATTTTTGGTGGAAATGTGGGAATTTTGGAGGAATTTCGGTGAGAATTTTGTGAATTTTTGCTGGAAATGTGGGAATTTGGGGGTAATTTCGGGGAATTTTTGGTGGAAATGTGGGAATTTTGGTGGAATTTTGGGGAGAATTTTGGAAATTCCATGGGAAATGTGGGAATTTGGTGGTAATTCCGGGGAATTTTTGGTGGAAATGTGGGAATTTTGTGGGGAATTTCGTGAATTTTTGCTGGAAATGTGGGAATTTTGGTGAGAATTGGGGAATTTTTGGTGGAAATTTGGGAATTTTGAGGAGAATTTCAGGAATTCCAGAGGAAATGTGGGAATTTTGGGGAGAATTTCGGGAATTTTTGGTGGAAATGTGGGAATTTTGAGGAGAATTTCGGGAATTTTGAGGAGAATTTCGAAAATTTTTGGTGGAAATGTGGGAATTTTGAGGAGAATTTTGTGAATTTTTGCTGGAAATGTGGGAATTCTGCGGTAATCCCGGGATTATTTGGCGCTCCCTCACCGTTTGCCGTGTCCCGGCGGCGGCTCCCGGGGCAGCGCCGGCGGCACCGGGGCCCGTTTGGTGCCGCCGCGGTGCCAGGCGGGCGCGGGGCGGTGCCCGGCCCGGATCGGCGCCGGGATCGGCTCCGGGAACGGCTCCGGGAACGGCTCCGGGAACGGCTCCGGGTCCGGCGGCGCCTCCGCTCCGGCTGCCAGGCTTTCCGACCAACCCCTGCGGGAACAGCGGGAACGTGTCACCCATGGGACACCCACGGGGACACCCACGGGGACACCCACGGGACACCGTGTCACCCATGGGACACCCACGGGACACCCACGGGGACAGGGACACCGTGTCACGCACGGGGACACACATGGGGACACCCACGGGACAGGGACAGGGACCCCGTGTCACCCACGGGGACACCCACGGGACACCCACGGGGACAGGGACACCGTGTCACCCATGGGACACCCACGGGGCACCCACGGGGACAGGGACACCGTGTCACCCATGGGACACCCACGGGACACCCACGGGGACAGGGACAGGGACAAGGGACACCGTGTCACCCACGGGGACACCCACGGGACAGGGACACCGTGTCACCCACGGGGACACCCATGGGGACACCCACGGGGACAGGGACAAGTGGCACCGTGACACCCACAGGGACAGGGACAAGGGGAAAGGTGGCATGGGTGGCACCAGGATGGCACCACAGGGACAGACACAGGGCAAAGGTGGCACTGGTGGCACTGGGATGGCACCACTGGGACAGGGAAAGGTGGCACTGGTGACACCGATGGGACAGGAGGAGGTGGCACTGGTGGCACTGATGGGACATGGGAAAGGTGGCACTGGTGGCACCGTGCTGGCACCACTGGGACAGGGGACACAGGAGAAGGGTGGCACTGGTGGCACTGATGAGACAGGGACAAGGGGAAAGGTGGCACTGGTGGCTTTAAGATGGCACCACTGAGACAGGGGAAAGGTGGCACTGGTGGCACTGATGGGACAGGGGAAAGGTGGCACTGGTGGGACAGGGACAACGGGAAAGGTGACACTGGTGGCACGGGTGGCACCAGGATGGCACCACTGGGACAGGGACATGGAAACAGTGGCACTGGTGGCACTGAGATGGCACCACTGGGACAGGGGGAGGTGGCATCGGTGGCACCAAGAGAAAATGTGGCACCGGTGGCACACGTGGCACTGGGATGGCACCACTGGGACGGGGCAGTGTCACATGTGGCACCCAGGGCACCAAGATGGCGCCCAGGACACTCAGATGGCACCAAGATGGCATCGATGACATTGAGATGGCACCAGTGGCACCAAGTGCCACCAATGACCTCCATGACACCCAAGTGCCACCAATGACCTCCATGACACCCAAGTGCCACCAATGACCTCCATGACACCCAAGTGCCACCAATGTCAACCAAGACATCCCGATGGCACCAATGGCACCCAGGAAACCAAGATGGAACCAATGACATCCATGACAGCCAAGTGCCACCAACGGCACCAAGATGGCGCCAATGGCATCGATGGCACTCACGACATCTCGATGGCACCAAGATGTCACCAATGACCTCCATGACACCCAAGTGCCACCAATGGCCTCCATGACACCCAAGTGCCACCAATGGCCTCCATGACACCCAAGTGCCACCAATGACCTCCATGGCACCCAAGTGCCACCAATGACCTCCATGACACCCAAGTGCCACCAATGACATCCATGACACCCAAGTGCCATCAATGTCCTCCATGACACCCAAGTGCCACCAATGACATCCATGACACCCAAGTGCCATCAATGACCTCCATGACACCCAAGTGCCACCAATGACCTCCATGGCACCCAAGATGCCACCAATGGCACCAAGTGCCACCAATGACATCCATGACACCCAAGTGCCACCAATGACCTCCATGGCACCCAAGTGCCACCAATGGCACCCATGGCACCCAAGTGCCACCAATGACCTCCGTGACACCCAAGTGCCACCAATGACCTCCATGGCACCCAAGTGCCACCAATGGCACCCATGGCACCCAAGTGCCACCAATGACCTCCATGGCACCCAAGTGCCACCAATGACCTCCGTGACACCCAAGTGCCACCAATGACCTCCATGACCCAAGTGCCACCAATGACATCCATGGCACCCAAGTGCCACCAATGACCTCCATGACACCCAAGTGCCACCAATGACCTCCATGACACCCAAGTGCCACCAATGACCTCCATGACACCCAAGTGCCACCAATGACATCCATGACACCCAAGTGCCACCAATGACCTCCATGACACCCAAGTGCCACCAATGACCTCCATGGCACCCAAGTGCCACCAATGACACCCATGACACCCAAGTGCCACCAATGACACCCAAGTGCCACCAATGACCTCCATGACACCCAAGTGCCACCAATGACATCCATGGCACCCAAGTGCCACCAATGCCATTGAAGACACCCAAGTGCCACCAATGACACCCAAGTGCCACCAATGACCTCCATGACACCCAAGTGCCACCAATGACATCCATGACACCCAAGAGCCACCAATGGCACCCATGGCACCCAAGAGCCACCAATGACCTCCATGACACCCAAGTGCCACCAATGACCTCCATGACACCCAAGTGCCACCAATGACATCCATGGAACCCAAGTGCCACCAATGGCACCAAGATGCCGCCGATGGCATCGATGGCACTCACAACATCTCAATGGCACCAAGATGCCACCAATGACATGGAAGACACCCAAATACCACCAATGCCACCAAGATGGCGCCAATGGCATGGATGGCACTCACAACATCTCAATGGCACCAAGATGGCACCAATGCCATGGAAGACACTCAAGCGCCACCAACCTCCTGGGCGTGCCGTCCTCGTGGGGCGGCACGATGACCACGGTGACGGTGACCGAGGTGCGCAGGAGGTCGATCATCTGCTCGTGGCTCAGCGCCACGGCCGCCACCTTGCAGACCTCCAGGAGGCGGTGCCACCGGTACCATCGGCACCCATGGCATCCAGATGCCACCAATGCCACCAAGATGGTGCCAACATCAACAACAACACCCAAATGCCACCAACACCACCAACCTCCTGGGCGTGCCGTCCTCGTGGGGCGGCACGATGACCACGGTGACGGTGACCGAGGTGCGCAGGAGGTCGATCATCTGCTCGTGGCTCAGCGCCACGGCCGCCACCTTGCAGACCTCCAGGAGGCGGCTGCCGCGGCGCAGCCCGGCCTGCCAGGCGAAGCCGTACTCCTCCACCTCGGCCACGCTGCCGTCGGGGTGCACGTGGAACCCCAACTGGCCCAGCCCGTTCCGCCGCAGCGTCATGTCCACCGTGGCGCAGCCCGGCGTCGTCATCTGAAAAAAATTCAAGTTTCGTGCCAAAATCGCGCGGTTTTGGGGCGGTTCGGTGATGGTGGTTTGAGTTTTCGGCCGTTTTTGGCGCGCGCTGGTGTTTGAGCGATTCGAGGTTTTTGCTTCTTTGCCAATTCACTGCTTTTTCCTCGATTTCTTCTATTTTAAACCCAATTTCCACAATTTTACCCTAATTTCCTCAATTTTATCCCAATTTCCTCAATTTTATCCCGATTTCCTCAATTTCAAATTTTTTTTCCCAAATTTTCCCAATTTTCTCCCCATTATCTCCATTTTTCCCCATTTTCCCAATTTTCTCCCCATTTTCCCCCATTTTCCCAATTTTCTCCCCATCATCTCCAATTTTTCCCCAATTTTCCCCCATTTCTCCCATTTTTCCCAATTTCCCCCCATTTCCCCAATTTCTCCCCAATTTTCTCCCCATTATCTCCATTTTTCCCCATTTTCCCCCATTTCCTCCAATTTTCTCCCCATTTTCTCCATTTTCCCCCATTTTCCCTATTTTCTCCCCAATTTTTCTGCATTTCTCCCAAATTTTCCCAATTTTCTCCCATTTCCCCAATTTCTCCCTAATTTTTTCCACATTTCTCCCAAAATTTCCCGATTTTCTCCCCATTTCCCCAATTTCTCCCCAATTTTTTCCACATTTCTCCCAAATTTTCCCGATTTTCTCCCCATTTTCCCAATTTTCCCCCCATTTCCCCAATTTCTCCCCAATTTTCCCCCATTTCTCCCATTTTTCCCAATTTCCCCCCATTTCCCCAATTTCTCCCCAATTTTTTCCACATTTCTCCCAAATTTTCCCAATTTTCTCCCCATTTTCTCCATTTTTCCCCATTTTCCCAATTTTCTCCCCAATTTTTTCCACATTTCTCCCAAATTTTCCCGATTTTCTCCCCATTATCTCCAATTTTTTCCCCCACTTCCCCCAATTTACTCCCATTTTCCATTTTTCCCCACTTTTCCCCCATTTGCCCAGATTTTCCCCATTTTTCTCCATTTTCCTCCTATTTTACCCCATTTTTCCCAATTTTCCCCCCATTTCCCCCCCAATTTTTCCCACATTTCTCCCAAATTTTCCCAATTTTCTCCCCATTTTCTCCATTTTTCCCCATTTTCCCAATTTTCTCCCCAATTTTTCGACGTTTCTCTCAAATTTTCCCGATTTTCTCCCCATTACCTCAATTTTTCCACATTTCTCCCAAATTTTCCCAATTTTCTCCCCATTTTCTCCATTTTTCTCCCAATTTCCCCAATTTTTCCCCATTTCTCCCCCATGTTTTCCCATTCCCCCCAATTTCCCCCATTTTCCCAGATTTTCCCCCGATTTCCCATTCCCCACTTTTTTCTCAATTTCCCCTATTTTTCCCGATTTCCCCCCATTTTCCCAGATTTTCCCCATTTTTCTCCATTTTCCTCCTATTTTTCCCCCATTTCCCCCATTTTTCCCAATTTTCCCCCCATTTCCCCAATTTCTCCCCAATTTTTTCCACATTTCTCCCAAATTTCCCCAATTTTCTCCCCATATTCATTTCCCCCAATTTCCCATTTTTCCCCCACTTCCCCCCAATTTACTCCCATTTTCCATTTTTCCCCACTTTTCCCCCATTTTCCCAGATTTTTCCCCATTTTTCTCCATTTTCCTCCTATTTTTCTCCCATTTCCCCAATTTCTCCCCAATTTTTTCCACATTTCTCCCAAATTTTCCCGATTTTCTCCCCATGTTCTCCATTTTTCCCCATTTTCCCAATTTTTTCCCCAATTTTTTCCCCATTTTCCCCCATTTTCCCAATTTTCTCCCCATTATCTCTATCTTTTCCCCCCACTTTCCCCCAATTTACTCCCATTTTCCATTTTTCCCCACTTTTTCCCCATTTTCCCAGATTTTCCCCCATTTTTCCCAATTTTTCCCCCATCTCCCCGATTTCTCCCCAATTTTTTCCCCACTTCTCCCAAATATTCCCAATTTTCCCCATTTCCCCAATTTCTCCCCAATTTTTCCCCAATTTTCCCCCATTTCCCCAATTTCTCCCCAATTTTCCCCCCATTTCCCCAATTTCTCCCCAATTTTCTCCCCATTATCTCCATTTTTTCCACATTTCTCCCAAATTTTCCCAATTTTCTCCCCATTTTCTCAATTTTTCCCCATTTTCCCAATTTCTCTCCAATTTTTTCCACTTTTCTCCCAAATTTTCCCGATTTTCTCCCCATTTCCCCAATTTTTCCCCAATTTCCCCCAAATTCCTGCTCACCTTCAACCTCTGCACGATCTCCTTGACCTCCTCGGCCGCTCCCTCGGCTCCGTCCGTTCCCGTTCCCGTTTCCGTCGCCGATCCGACCCTGACGCTGACCAGATCGCCGCGCCCGTGGTAGATCCTCACCGCCGCGCCCTCGGCGCTCCACCCGATCACGTCCCCGGTGCAACAGTTAAAAACCACCTCCTTCCCCTCCAGATCCACCAACACCAAAAACTCCTTGGAAATCCCCAAAACGCACGGCACCTCCGCCCCGCCCCGCCCGAAATCCAGCGCCGAAACGCGCCACGAAACGGCGCCGGCGCTCTCCAACTCCGCCAACGGCCGCGCTTTGGACTTCTCCTTCTTCTTGGAGGCCAAGGAGATGAGGTTGAACTTCCCGGCCGCCTCCAGCGGCGTGTTGGTGACGTAGTTTTCCGCCAGATCCCGCAGATATTCCTGCCGGGTGCGCGTGGCCATGGCGCGGAATTTCTGGGATTTGTGCGCGGCGTTTTCGGCGTTGATGGCTTTGGCCAAGAGGAAGGAGCGGAAGAGGTCGGAGCGGCGGAAGGTGACGCCGGACGGCGGCACCGGGGGCCCGAAGGGTGGGACGTCCTTGGAGCGCGTGACGGCGACGCTGGTTTGGTTTTGGGGGAAAAAAAGGGAATTTTGGGTTTTTTGTGGATTTTTGGGGTTTTAGGGGATTTTGGGTTTTTAGGGAATTTTGGGTTTTTAGGGGATTTTGGGTTTTTAGGGGATTTTTTGAGTTTTAGGGGATTTTGGGGTTTAGGGGATTTTGGGTTTTTAGGGGATTTTGGGTTTTTAGGGAATTTTGGGTTTTTAGGGGATTTTGGGGTTTTAGGGAATTTTGGGGTTTTAGGGGATTTTGGGGTTTTAGGGGATTTTGGGGTTTTAGGGGATTTTGGGTTTTTAGGGGATTTTTGGGGTTTAGGGGATTTTGGGGTTTTAGGGAATTTTGGGTTTTTAGGGGATTTTGGGGTTTTAGGGAATTTTGGGTTTTTAGGGAATTTTGGGGTTTTTAGGGGATTTTGGGGTTTTAGGGAATTTTGGGGTTTTAGGGGATTTTGGGTTTTTAGGGGATTTTGGGTTTTTAGGGAATTTTGGGTTTTTAGGGGATTTTGGGGGTTTTAGGGGATTTTGGGTTTTTAGGGGATTTTGGAGTTTTAGGGAATTTGGGGTTTTTAGGGAATTTTTTGAGTTTTAGGGGATTTTGGGGTTTTAGGGAATTTTGGGGTTTTAGGGGATTTTTGGGGTTTTAGGGGATTTTTGGGGTTTTAGGGGATTTTGGGTTTTTAGGGGATTTTGGGGTTTAGGGGATTTTGGGGTTTAGGGGATTTTTGGGTTTTTAGGGGATTTTTGGGGTTTTAGGGAATTTTGGGTTTTTAGGGGATTTTGGATTTTTAGGGGATTTTGGGTTTTTAGGGAATTTTGGGTTTTTAGGGGATTTTGGGTTTTTAGGGGATTTTGGGGTTTTAGGGAATTTTGGGTTTTTAGGGGATTTTGGAGTTTTAGGGGATTTTGGGTTTTTAGGGGATTTTGGAGTTTTAGGGAATTTGGGGTTTTTAGGGAATTTTTTGAGTTTTAGGGGATTTTGGGGTTTTAGGGAATTTTGGGGTTTTAGGGGATTTTTGGGGTTTTAGGGAATTTTTGGGTTTTTAGGGGATTTTGGGGGTTTTAGGGGATTTTGGGGTTTTAGGGGATTTTGGGTTTTTAGGGGATTTTGGGGGTTTTAGGGAATTTTTTGAGTTTTAGGGGATTTTGGGGTTTTAGGGAATTTTGGGTTTTTAGGGGATTTTGGGGTTTTAGGGAATTTTGGGGGTTTTAGGGGATTTTGGGGTTTAGGGGATTTTTGGGTTTTTAGGGGATTTTGGGGTTTTAGGGGATTTTGGAGTTTTAGGGGATTTTGGGGGTTTTAGGGGATTTTGGGGTTTTAGGGAATTTTGGGTTTTTAGGGGATTTTGGGGTTTTAGGGAATTTTGGGTTTTTAGGGAATTTTGGGGTTTTTAGGGGATTTTGGGGTTTTAGGGAATTTTGGGGTTTTAGGGGATTTTGGGTTTTTAGGGGATTTTGGGTTTTTAGGGAATTTTGGGTTTTTAGGGGATTTTGGGGGTTTTAGGGGATTTTGGGTTTTTAGGGGATTTTGGAGTTTTAGGGAATTTGGGGTTTTTAGGGAATTTTTTGAGTTTTAGGGGATTTTGGGGTTTTAGGGAATTTTGGGGTTTTAGGGGATTTTTGGGGTTTTAGGGGATTTTTGGGGTTTTAGGGGATTTTGGGTTTTTAGGGGATTTTGGGGTTTAGGGGATTTTGGGGTTTAGGGGATTTTTGGGTTTTTAGGGGATTTTTGGGGTTTTAGGGAATTTTGGGTTTTTAGGGGATTTTGGATTTTTAGGGGATTTTGGGTTTTTAGGGAATTTTGGGTTTTTAGGGGATTTTTGGGGTTTTAGGGGATTTTGGGGTTTTAGGGAATTTTGGGTTTTTAGGGGATTTTGGAGTTTTAGGGGATTTTGGGTTTTTAGGGGATTTTGGAGTTTTAGGGAATTTGGGGTTTTTAGGGAATTTTTTGAGTTTTAGGGGATTTTGGGGTTTTAGGGAATTTTGGGGTTTTAGGGGATTTTTGGGGTTTTAGGGAATTTTTGGGTTTTTAGGGGATTTTGGGGGTTTTAGGGGATTTTGGGGTTTTAGGGGATTTTGGGTTTTTAGGGGATTTTGGGGGTTTTAGGGAATTTTTTGAGTTTTAGGGGATTTTGGGGTTTTAGGGAATTTTGGGTTTTTAGGGGATTTTTGGGGTTTTAGGGAATTTTTGGGTTTTTAGGGGATTTTGGGGGTTTTAGGGGATTTTGGGGTTTTAGGGGATTTTGGGTTTTTAGGGGATTTTGGGGTTTTAGGGGATTTTGGGGGTTTGGTTGAGTTGAGGTTTTTGTGAGATCTGGGATTGGGCAGGTTTGGGTTGGGTTTTGGGGATCTTCCAAACAAGTTTTGGGATCCTTCAACGAATTTTTGGGATCTTCCAACCAATTTTTGGGATCCTTCAACTCTTGGGATCCTCAAATTTCCTAATTTTTTACTGATGTTGGGATTTTGCAAATTTTTACTAATTTTTGCTCATTTTTAGGAATTTTGGGGAATTTTTTACAAATATTTGGTATTTTTTGGGAATATTTGATATTCCCAACTCCCGTGACTGGCGGATCTGATGAGATCGACATTTTCAACAAGTTTTGGTTACTTTTTGCTAATTTTTGCTCATTTTTTACCAATTTTTGGGGTTTTTTTTAATTTCTTGCAAATTTTGGCCAATTTTTTACCGATTTTTGGTATTTTTGGGTAATTTTTTCCCACCTGTAGGAGACGTTGTCGGAGCAGGGCTGGTGGGCGCGGACGATGATGAAGACGTGCTGGAAGTGCGACCGGACGTTCTGCGGCGTGAACGGCAACGCGCCCGGCTCTTGGAAGATGATGGTGACGATGTCGTTGCCGATGTGGCGCTTCCGGAGAAGCTGGATTGGGATTGGATTTTTTTTTTCCCAAAAAAAAAAGTGGGAATGGGTGGGATGTAAATTTGGGGTGGTTCAAGCAAGTTTTGGGATTGTTCAGATCTTGGGAGGTTTTAATCCTTGGGATCGGCCAAGGAAGTTTTGAGATGCTCCAATTTTTGGGATCCTCCAACTCTTGGATCATCCAACCCTTGGGATCCTCCAACCCTTGGGATCCTCCAACTCTTGGATCATCCAACCCTTGGGATCCTCCAACTCTTGGATCTCCCAACCTTTGGGATCCTCCAACCCTTGGGATCCTCCATCTTCTGGGACCATCCAACCTTTGGGATCCTCCAACTCTTGGATCTCCCAACCTTTGGAATCCTCCAACTCTTGGATCTTCCACCTCTTCAACTCTTGGATCTCCCAACCAACCTTTGGGATCCTCCAACTTCTGGGACCATCCAACCCTTGGGATCCTCCAACTCTTGGATCTCCCACCCAACCCTTGGGATCTTCCAACCAACTCTTGGAATTCTTCGACCCTTGGGATCCTCCAACTCTTGGATCTCCCAACCTTTGGGATCCTCCAACTCTTGGAACCACCCAAGCCTTGGGATTATCCAACCAATTCTTGGAATCCTTCGACTCTTGGGACCACCCAACCCTTGGGATCAACCAACCAACTCTTGGAATTCTTCAACCCTTGGGATCTTCCAACTTATGGATCTCCCAACCAACCTCTGGGATCCTCCAACTCTTGGATCTCCCAACCTTTGGAATCCTCCAACTCTTGGATGATCCAACCCTTGGGATCCTCCAACTCTTGGATGTCCCAACCAATCCTTGGGATCCTCCAACTCTTGGGACCATCCAACCCTTGGATCTCCCAAGCCTTGGGATCTTCCAACTCTTGGGTCTCCCACTCTTGGATCTCCCACCTCTTGGAATCCTTCAACCCTTGGATCTTCTATCCAACCCTTGGGATAATCCAACCCTTGGGATCATCCAACCCTTGGGATCCTCCAACTCTTGGGACCACCCAACTCTTGGGATCCTCCAACTCTTGGGACCTTTGGCATCCTCCAACTCTTGGAACTCCCAACCAATCCTTGGGATCCTCCAACTCTTGGAACTCCCACCCAACTCTTGGGATCCTCCAACCAATTCTTGGAATCCCCCAACCAATCCTTGGGATCCTCCAACTCTTGGGACCATCCAACCCTTGGATCTCCCAACCCTTGGGATCTTCCAGCTCTTGGGTCTCCCACTCTTGGATCTTCCACCTCTTGGAATCCTTCAACCCTTGGATCCTCTATCCAACCCTTGGGATCATCCAACCCTTGGGATCATCCAACCCTTGGGATCCTCCAACTCCTGGGACCACCCAACTCTTGGGATCCTCCAACCAATTCTTGGAATCTTTCAACCCTTGGATCCTCTATCCAACCCTTGGGATCATCCAACCCTTGGGATAATCCAACTCCTGGGACCACCCAACTCTTGGGATCCTCCAACCAATTCTTGGAATCCTTCAACCCTTGGGACACCCAACCCTTGGAACCACCCAACCCTTGGGATCTCCCGATCTCCATGGACGGAATCCCTGGAGAAGCCGCGGCGGCTCGGCGGTACCTGCTGGCGGTTGTTGGGCGTGTAGGGCAGCATGGTGGACACGTGGAACATGATCTCGTAGTCCTGGTAGGTGGTGTAGAGCGAGTGCGTCCCCGTGGAATCGGCTGCGGAAAACGGGAAAAGCGGAGATGGTGAAATCCCGAAAATCGGAACCGGTGAAATCCCGAAAATTGGGGACAGTGAAATCCCAAAAATCGGAGACGGTGAAATCCCAAAAATCGGAACCGGTGAAATCCCAAAAATCGGAACCGGGGAAATCCCCAAAATCGGAACCGGTGAAATCCCGAAAATCAGAACCGGTGAAATCCCGAAAATTTGAGACAGGGAAATCCCAAAAACGGAGCCGGTGAAATCCCCAAAATCGGAACCGGTGAAATCCCGAAAATCTGAGATGGTGAAATCCCAAAAATCGGAACCAGTGAAATCCCGAAAATCGGAACTGGTGAAATCCCGAAAATTGGGGACGGTGAAATCCCGAAAATCTGAGATGGTGAAATCCCGAAAATTTGAGACAGGGAAATCCCAAAAACTGAGCTGGTGAAATCCCAAAAATCGGAACCAGTGAAATCCCAAAATAGAGGACAGTGAAATCCCGAAAACCTGAGACGGTGAAATCCCGAAAATCGAGGAAGGTGAAATCCCAAAAATCGGAACCGGTGAAATCCCGAAAAACTGACACAGTGAAATGCCGAAAATCGAGGACGGTGAAATCCCGAAAATCGGAGCCGTGAAATCCGAAAATAGAGGACGGTGAAATCCCGAAAACCTGAGACGGTGAATTCCCGAAAATCGAGGATGGTGAAATCCCCAAAATCGGAACCGGTGAAATCCCGAAAATTTGAGATGGTGAAATCTCCAAAATCGAAACCGGGAAAATCCCAAAAATGGAGCCGGTGAAATCCCCAAAATCGGAACTGGTGAAATCCCGAAAATCTGAGACGGTGATATCCCAAAATCGGAACTGGTGAAATCCTGAAAATCCGGGATGGTGAAATCCCGAAAACCTGAGACAGTGAAATCCCGAAAACCTGAGATGGTGAATTCCCGAAAATCGAGGACGGTGAAATCCCAAAAATTGGAACGCATCCCAAAAATCCCTCCTGGTGTCCAGCTGGGACCACCCAACCCCTGGGAACTTCCAACCAATATTTGGGACACTTCACGGCTTGGGATTTCCAAACTCCTGGAATCCTTTAAATGTTGGAATCCTTCAACCTTTGGGATCTCCCAACCCTTGAGATCCTTCAACCTTTTGGATCTCCCAACCCTTGGGTTCCTTCAACCTTTGGGATCTCCCAACTCTTGGAATCTCCCACATCTTGAGATCCTTCAACCCTTGAGATCCTCCAAGTTTTGGGATCTCCCAAACTCCTGGAATCCTTCCACCTTTGGGATCTCCCAACTCTTAGGATCCTTCAACTTTTGGGATCTCCCAACTCTTGGAATCCTTCAACCCTTGAGATCCTTCAACCTTTGGGATCTCCCAAATCTTTGGATCCTTCAACTTTTGGGATCTCCCAACTCTTGGAATCCTTCAAGCCTTGGGTTCCTTCAACCTTTGGGATCTCCCAACTCTTGAGATCCTTCAACCCTTGGGATCCTTCAACCTTTAGGATCTCCCAACCCTTGAGATCCTTCAAGCCTTGGGATCCTCCTACTTTTAGGATCTCCCAACTCTTGAGATTCTTCAACCCTTGGGATCCTCCAAGTTTTGGGATCTCCCAAACTCTCGAAACCCTGCAAATTTTGGGATTTCCCGCTGAAGTCCCGGGAAGGTGCCCGGACTCACTCTTGGTGTCAAGCTGCGCCGCGTACTTGGTGAAGGACCTCAGGGTCACCTTCTCGCCCAGGAGGTTCCGACCCTTGGGATCTCCCAACCCTTGGAATCCTTCAACCCTTGGGATCTCCCAACTCTTGGAACCCCCAAACTCTTGGAATCCTTCAACCCTTGAGTTCCTTCAACCTTTGGGATTTCCCAAATCTTTGGATCCTTCAACCTTTGGGATCTCCCAACCCTTGGAATCCTTCAACCCTTGAGATCCTTCAACCTTTGGGATCTCCCAACTCTTGGAATCTCCCACATCTTGAGACCCTTCAACCCTTGAGATCCTCCAACTTTTGGGATCTCCCAAACTCGCAAAGTCCTTCCACCTTTAGGATCTCCCAACCCTTGAGATCCTTCAACCTTTGGGATCCCCCAAACTCCTGGAATCCTCCAACCCTTGAGATCCTCCTACTTTTGGGATCTCCTAACTCTTGGAATCCTCCAACCTTTGGAATCCCCAAACTCTTGGAATCCTTAAACCCTTGGGATCCTTCAACTTTTGGGATCTCCCAAACTCTCGAAATCCCAACTTTTGGAAACCTTCAACTTTTGGGATCTCCCAACTCTTGGAATCCTTCAAGCCTTGGGTGCCTTCAACCTTTGGGATCCCCCAAACTCCTGGAATCCTTCAACCCTTGAGATCCTTCAACCTTTGGGATCTCCCAACTCTTGGAATCCTTCAAGCCTTGGGTTCCTTCAACCTTTGGGATCTCCCAAACTCTCAAAAATCCTTCAACTTTTGGGATCTCCCAAACTCTCGAAATCCTCCAACTTTTGGGATTTCCCGGTGAAGTCCCGGTGAAATGCCGGGAAGGTGCCCAGACTCACTCTTGGTGTCGAGCTGCGCCGCGTACTTGGTGAAGGACCTCAGGGTGACCTTCTCACCCAGGAGGTTCCAACCCTTGGGATCTCCCAACCCTTGGAATCCTTCAACCCTTGAGATCCTCGTACTTTTAGGATCTCCCAACTCTTGAGATCCTTCAACTTTTGGGATCTTCCAACTCTTGAGATCCTTCAACTTTTGGGATCTCCCAACCCTTGAGATCCTCCAACCCTTGGGATCCTCCTACTTTTGGGATCTCCCAACTCTTGAGATCCTTCAACTTTTGGGATCTCCCAACTCTTGAGATCCTTCAACTTTTGGGATCTCCCAACTCTTGAGATCCTTCAACACTTGTGATCCTTCAACTTTTGCGATCACCCAAACTCTCGAAATCCTTCAACTTTTGGGATCTTCCAACCCTTGGAATCCTGCAAATTTTGGGATTTCCTGGTGAAACGCCGGGAAGGCGCCCAGACTCACTCTTGGTGTCGAGCTGCGCCGCGTACTTGGTGAAGGACCTCAGGGTGACCTTCTCGCCGAGCAGCGCCAGGAACTCGTCGAGCGCGGGCCCGGCGGCCTCGTTGTTGTACATCTCCTCCTCCGAGCTCTGCCCGGCCTTGCAGTACAGGATCCCCACCTTGCGCCGCCGGCACAGCTGCGGCACCGGGATTTGGGGCATTTAGGGGGTTTGTGGGGTTTGGGATTTGGGGTTTGGGGTTTGAGATTTATGGGATTTGGGGTTTGGGATTTGGGATTTGGGGTTTGGGGTTTGGGATTTGGGGTTTGGGGGGTTTGGGGTTTGGGGTTTGGGGGGTTTGGGATTTGGGGTTTGGGGTTTGGGTTTGGGGTTTGGGGTTTGGGGTTTGGGATTTGGGGTTTGGGGTTTGGGGTTTGGGGTTTGGGGTTTGGGGTTTGGGGTTTGTGGGGTTTGGGGTTTGGGGTTTGGGGTTTGGGGTTTGGGATTTATGGGATTTGGGGTTTGGGATTTATGGGGTTTGGGATTTATGGGATTTGGGGATTTATAGGATTTGGGGTTTGTGGGGTTTGGGGTTTGGGATTTATGGGGTTTGGAGTTTGGGATTTATGGGATTTGGGGTTTGGGGTTTGGGGTTTGGGGTTTGGGATTTATGGGGTTTGGGATTTATGGGATTTTTGGGGTTTGGGATTTGTGGGGTTTGGGATTTGGGATTTATGGGGTTTGGGGTTTGGGATTTATGGGGTTTGGGGTTTGGGGTTTGGGATTTATGGGGTTTGGGGTTTGGGGTTTGGGATTTATGGGGTTTGGGGTTTGGGATTTATGGGATTTGGGATTTAAGATTTATGGGGTTTGGGATTTTTGGGATTTGGGAGTTTGGGGCTTTGGGGCTTTGGGAAGGTTTGGGGTGGTTGGAGCAGTTTTGGGATGGAGAAATGAAACCCCTTCAAGCCTTGGAATGCGGCAAATCCGGAAACTCCCAAAACCCAAAAAAATCCCCAAAAACCCAAAAATCCCAGAAAAATCCTATAAATTCCCAGAATATTTCCTAAAATTCCCAGAAATTCCAAAAAAAATCACCGAAAATTCCCCAAAAATCCCCAAAATCCCAAGAATCCTTCAAGGCTTAAGACCGTTCTACCCTTGGAATGCGCCAAAGCCCAATACCCCAAAAACCCCCAAAAAATACCATCAAAAATCCCAAAAAAACCTGGAAAAATCCTATAAATTCCCAAAAAATCTAAAAACATCCAAGAAATCCCCCAAATTCCAATAAGATCCTCTAAAGTTATCAGAAAAACACACAAAAAATCCCAAAAACTCAACGAGTAATCCCAGAAAATCACCAAAAAATCACCAAAAAATGCCAAAAAATGATGAAAATTTCCCCAAAAATTCCCAAAAATTCCCGAAAAAATCCTATAAATTTCCAAAAAATCTAAAAACATCCAAGAAATCCCCCAAATTCCAATAAGACCCTCTAAAGTTATCAGAAAATCCAAAAAAAAAATCCCAAAAAATCCCAGAAAAACACCAAAAAATCACCGAAAAATGCCAAAAAATGACGGAAAATTCCCCCAAAAATTCCTGGAAAAATCCTATAAATTCCCAAAAAATCCCCAAAAATCCAAGAAATCCCCCAAATTCCAATAAGATCCTCTAAAGTTATCAGAAAATCACAAAAAAAAAATCCCAAAAAATCAACGAGTAATCCCAGAAAATCACCAAAAAATCACCGAAAAATGCCAAAAAATGACGGAAAATTCCCCAAAAAAATTCCCGGAAAAATCCTATAAATTCCCAAAAAAATCTAAAAACATCCAAGAAATCCCCGAATTCCAATAAGATCCTCTAAAGTTACCAGAAAATCACAAAAAAAAAATCCCAAAATATCAACGAATAATCCCAGAAAATCACGAAAAAATCAACGAAAAATGCCAAAAAATGACGGAAAATTCCCAAAAAAATTCCCAAAAATTCCCGGAAAAGTCCTATAAATTCCCAAAAAATCTAAAAACATCAAAGAAATCCCCGAATTCCAATAAGATACTCTAAAGTTATCAAAAAATCAAAAAAAAAAATCCCAAAAAAATCCCAAAAAATCACCAAAAAATCACCGAAAAATGCCAAAAAATGGCGGAAAATTCCCCAAAAAATTCCCCCAAAAATTCCCGGAAAAATCCTATAAATTCCCAAAAAATCTAAAAAAATCCAAGAAATCCCTGAATTCCAATAAGACCCTCTAAAGTTATCAGAAAATCCCCAAAAAAATCCCAAAAAATCCCAGAAAATCACCAAAAAATCACCGAAAAATGCCAAAAAATGACGGAAAATTCCCCCAAAAATTCCCGGAAAAATCCTATAAATTCCCAAAAAATCTAAAAAAATCCAAGAAATCCCCAAATTCCAATAAGACCCTCTAAAGTTATCAGAAAATCCCCCAAAAAAATCCCAAAAAATCCCAGAAAATCACCAAAAAATCACCGAAAAATGCCAAAAAATCACGGAAAATTCCCCCAAAAATTCCCAAACAATTCCCAAAAATTCCCGGAAAAATCCTATAAATTCCCAAAAAATCTAAAAAAATCCAAGAAATCCCCCAAATTCCAATAAGACCCTCTAAAGTTATCAGAAAACCACAAAAAAAAAAAAAATCCCAAAAAATCAACGAGTAATCCCAGAAAATCACCAAAAAAATCACCGAAAAATGCCAAAAAATGACGGAAAATTCCCCCAAAAATTCCCGGAAAAATCCTATAAATTCCCAAAAAATCTAAAAAAATCCAAGAAATCCCCAAATTCCAATAAGATCCTCTAAAGTTATCAGAAAATCCCAAAAAAAAAATCCCAAAAAATCAACGAGTAATCCCAGAAAATCAAAAATAATTCAATGAAAAATGCCAAAAAATGACGGAAAATTCCCCCAAAAATTACCGGAAAAATCCTATAAATTCCCAAAAAATCTAAACACATCCAAGAAATCCCCGAATTCCAATAAGATCCTCTAAAGTTATCAGAAAATCACTAAAAAAAAATCCCAGAAAATCACCAAAAAAATCACCGAAAAATGCCAAAAAATGACGGAAAATTCCCAAAAAAATTCCCAAAAATTCCCGGAAAAATCCTATAAATTCCCAAAAAATCTAAAAACATCCAAGAAATCCCCGAATTCCAATAAGATCCTCTAAAGTTATCAGAAAATCACAAAAAAATCCCCAAAAATCCCAAAAAATCACCAAAAAATCACCGAAAAATGCCAAAAAATGACGGAAAATTCCCAAAAAAATTCCCAAAAATTCCCGGAAAAATCCTATAAATTTCCAAAATATCTAAAAAAATTCAAGAAATCCCCAAATTACCATAAGATCCTCTAAAGTTATCAGAAAATCACTAAAAAAATCCCAAAAAATCCCAAAAAATCACCAAAAAATCACCGAAAAATGCCAAAAAATGACGGAAAATTCCCCAAAAAATTCCCAAAAAATTCCCGAAATTCCCGGAATTCTCACCCCCTGCTCGTCCAGCTTGAGGAGCTGCTCGGGGACCTTGGGCGAGGCCAGGGCCAGGCGCAGGCAGTGGATGTTGAGCTCGGGCAGGAGGAATTCCAGCAGCTCCCGCGCCGGGATCCCGCGCCCCGATCCCGCCTTGGCCGTGCTGGGGGTGGCGTCCTCCAGGATGGACCCGCGCAGCGTCGCCAGCTGCGGGAGGAATTTGGGGTTAAAACACGGGAATTTGGGAAAATTGGGGTTTGGTAGAAAAATTCGGGGGGTTTAGGTTAAAAATCGGGGGGATTTGAGCCAAAAATTGAGGGATTTGGCAACGAAATTGAGGAATTTTGGGTCAGAATCGACATCAGAATTGTGGAAAATTTATACTAAAAGTGATTAATTTTAGCCCAAAATTGGGGGAATTTTAGCCCAAAATTGGGGTGATTTGAGCCCAAAATTGGGGGAATTTTAGCCCAAAATTGAGAGAATTTTAGCCCAAAATTCAGGGATTTGGCAACGAAATGGAGGAATTTTGGGTCAGAATTGACATCAAAATTGTGGAAAGTTTATACTAAAAGTGATTAATTTTAGCCCAAAATTGGGGGAATTTTAGCCCAAAATTGGGGGAGTTTTAGCCCAAAATTGGGGGAGTTTAAGCCCAAAATTGGGGGAATTTTAGCCCAAAATTGGGGGGGTTTTAGCCCAAAATTGAGAGAATTTTAGCCCAAAATTCAGGGATTTGGCACCGAAATTGAGGAATTTTGGGTCAGAGTCGACATCAGAATTGTGGAAAGTTTATACTAAAACTGATTAATTTTAGCCCAAAATTGGGGTGATTTGAGCCCAAAATTGGGGGAATTTTAGCCCAAAATTGAGAGAATTTTAGCCCAAAATTCAGGGATTTGGCACCGAAATTGAGGAATTTTGGGTCAGAATTGACATCAAAATTGTGGAAAGTTTATAGTAAAAGTGATTAATTTTAGCCCAAAATTGGTGTGATTTGAGCCCAAAATTGGGGGAGTTTTAGCCCAAAATTGGGGGGGTTTTAGCCCAAAATTGGGAGAATTTTAGCCCAAAATTGGGGGAGTTTAAGCCCAAAATTGGGGGAATTTTAGCCCAAAATTGGGGGGGTTTTAGCCCAAAATTGAGAGAATTTTAGCCCAAAATTCAGGGATTTGGCATCAAAATTGAGGAATTTTAACTCAAAATTGACACCAAAATTGAGGGAAATCAATCGTAAAATTGAGGAATTTGAGCCCAAAATTGAGAAAATTTTATCTGAAAATTGTGGGGAATTTAGCCAAAAATTGAGGAATTGTACCCCAAAATTGAGGGAATTTTAGTCCAAAATTGTGGGGATTTTAGCCCAAACTGGTGGGAATTTGAGTCAAAAACTGAGGGAAGTTTAGCCCAAAATTCAGGAGATTGGAGCCCAAAATTGAGGGGGTTTGAGACCAAATTTGGGGGAATTTTATCCCAGAATTTAGGGGATTTGACCCCAAAATCAACACCAAAATTGTAGAAAATTTATCCTGAAATTGGGGGAATTTTAGCCCAAAATTGAGGGAATTTTATCCCAAATTTAGGGGAATTTGAGCCCAAAATTTTGGAATTTTATCCCACAATTCAGGGGATTTTGGACCTGGCTGGTGCTGCTGGAACTGGGGGCCCAAAATCCCAATTTTTTGGGGTATTTTAGGGGGATTTTTTTTGGTTTTGGGGGGATGTTTTTGGGGGGGGATTTTTTTGGATTTTTTGGTTTTTGGGCTGGTTTTGGGGTAGTTTTGGGTGGTTTTTTGGGGATTTTTTGTGATTTTTGGGGGGGATGGTTTTTTTTGGTTTTTTTTGGATTTTTGGGGGGTTTTTTGGGATTTTTTTTTTTTGTTTTCAAGGTGTTTTTGGGGTGTTTTTGGGGGTTTTGGACCTGGCTGGTGCGGAAGATGAGGCGCTGCTGGAACTGGGGGCCCAAAATCCCAATTTTTTGGGGTATTTTAGGGGGATTTTTTTGGGTTTTTTTGGGGGGATTTTTTTGGGATAATTTTTTTTTTTTCGGGGTGTTTTTGGGGTGTTTTTGGGGGGTTTTGGACCTGGCTGGTGCGGAAGATGAGGCGCTGCTGGAACTGGGGGCCGTGCTCCGAGGGCTCCTCCAGCCGCTCCCGCCGGACGCTGGCGGCCACCGGGCCCAGCCGTTCGTCCACGCCGAAGTAGTTGGAATGTTCTGGGGAAAAAAAGGGAAAAAATGGGAAAAAATGGGAAAAAATGGGAATTTTGGGGGTGAAAATGGGAAAAAATGGGGAAAAATGGGAATTTTGGGGGGGGAAATATTGGGGGGGGAAGGGAGAAAAAAAATTATGGGAAAAAAAAAAATATCCCAAAAAAATTTCCAAAAAACTTTCTGAAAAATAGAAAAAAAGTTTTAAAAAAATCAAAAAGAAATCTCAAAAAATCTCAAAAACAATCACAAAAAATAAAAAAACTCCCCCAAAATTTGAAAAAAAATCTCGGAAAAATGCTCCAAAGAATCCTCAAAAAATCCCCTAAAAATTCACAAAAATTACCAAATGCATCCCAAAAATTTTTAAAAATTAAAAAAAAATTTAAAAACAATCCAAAAAAATCCCCAAGAAATCCCCTAAAAATTCCCCCAAAATGCAAAAAAAATTTCCAAAAATTCTCCCAAAATCCCAAAAAAAAAAAAAATCCCAAAAAATTTCCAAAAAATCCCCAAAAAATTCCTAGAAAAATTCTCTAAAAATTAAACAAAATTAAAAAAAATTCCAAAAAAAATCCTGAAAATTCCCCCAAAATTAAAAAAAAATTCCCAGAAAAATTCCCCAAAAAATCAAAAAAAATTCCCAAAAAAATCCCAAAAATCCCCTAAAAAATCCCTTTTAAAATACCATAAAAATCTTTTAAAAATTCAAAAAAAACTCTAAAAAATTCCCCAAAAATGAAGAAAAAAAAATCCCCAAAAATCCTCCAAAAAAATCTCTAAAAATTCCCAAAAAAATCACCAAAAAAAATCACCATAAATTCAAAAAAAAATCCTAAAAAAATCACCAAAAAAATCACCAAAAATTCCCAAAAAAACCCTAAAAAAATTATTTTAAAATTCCCAATAAATTACCGAAAAATTCCCAATAAATTACCGAAAAATTCCCAATAAATTATCGAAAAATTCCCAATAAATTCCCAATAAATTCCCCAAAAATCCCTGAAATCCCAAACCTTTTCCAAGGAAGTATTCCCGGTAGTAGGTGGCTCCGAGATCCGCGTGCTCCACGCCGTAACTCCCGACCCTCTCGGGGTTCCTCCGCTGCTCCTTGGGGAATTCCAGGATGGAAACGCCGGCGTTGCTCACCTTGGCTCCATTCCCGCATTCCACGAAAAACCCGGAATTCGGCGGCGCCGAAAACGCCGATTTGGCAAAACTGACGTCGCGCTCTCCGCCGCCGCCGCCGATCTCGTTGCGGAAGTGGGGACAGCTCAACAACAACTCGTTGCTGGTGTTGTCCCCCAGATCCCTCTCCAAGTTTTCCTTGGAATTCTGATCCTCGGCGCCGGGAAACGCCGGATCGGCGCCGGCCGAGGCGGCCGAGGCGCCGGTGGTGGTGTTGCGGCGCCGCGTCGACGCCGAGCGCGCCGAAACGGCCTCGAACAAAATGCTCTGGACGTCGAAATGGGCGAAGCCTTTCCGGCAAATCCACGATTTCGGCGCCTCGGGAATTCGGGAATCTTCGGCGGCGTCGGCGGCGTCGTGCCGGGAGTTGCGGAGCTTTTTGAAGATGGACTCGTCGGTTTTGAGGCAGCGGCGCCGGGGTTTTTCCTTGGGGTGCTGCTCCCGAATTTCATCCCGGATTTCATCCCGAATTTCCTCTTGGCTTTCGTCGTCGCGGTTTTCCGATTTTCCGGCGGAAAATTCGGGTTTTTTCGCCCGGAATTCGTCGAGCATCTGGAAGAAACTTTGCTCGGGGATTCCTTGGACGTCGATGGAGGAGGTGCTGCCGTACTCCCGGAAAAATCCGGCGGAAAGGCCGGAATTGCCGCGGATCTCCGGGATTTCCTCGGCGTCGCACTCGCTCAGCGTGGCTTCGCTGCTGCTGCGCTGGCGCAGGGGGATCCCCAAAATTCCCTCCTGGAATTCCAACTCCTTGGAGTTGGGGAGGAAGCGGCGGTGGAAGGGTTTGAGGGAGGGCTGGGAGGGAGGGAAATTCCGGGAGTTTTTGGGAATTTCCGGGGAGTCTTTGGAGCGCGGGGGCCACTCGGCCACGCGGGCGCGGACGCCCATTTTGGGCAGGGCGGGGATTTCGGAGCGCTGGGAGCTCATGGCGGCGGCCACGCCGGAATCAAGGCCGGAATGAGGGGAAATTCGGGAATTCCGGGAGGAAATTCGGGAATTCCGGGGTGGGAGCGGAGCAGCGGCGGCGGCGGCGCATGGTGGGAGGGCTGTGGGAGGAAATAAAGAGGGTTAATGGGGGAATTGGTAAAAAAATGGTGGGGTTGGTAAAGAAATTACAGAATTTCCTAAAAAATTACAGAATTTCTTAAAACATACCAAATTGCCAAAAAAAATCCTGGAATTCTCAAAAAAAAAAAAAAAAAAGGAATTGCCAAAGCACTCTTGGAATTCCCAAAAAAAAAATATCCTGGGATTGATAAAAAAATAAAGGAATTGCAAAAAAAAAACCCTGGAATTGCACAAAAAATTAAGGAATTGGCAAAAAAAAATCCTGGGATTGCAAAAAGAAAAAATCTTGGAATTGTCAAAAAAATCCTGGGATTGGCAAAAAAAATAAAGGAACTGACAAAAAAATAAAGGAATTGCCAAAAAAATCCTGGAATTCTCAAAAAAAAAAAAAAAAAAAAGGAATTGCCAAAGCACTCCTGGAATTCCCAAAAAAAAAAATAGGATTGCTAAAAAAATAAAGGAATTGCAAAAATAAAATCCTGGAATTGACAAAAAAAACCCTGGAATTGACAAAAAAAAAAATCCTGGAATTTCAAAAAAAAATAAGGAATTGTCGAAAAAAATCTTGGAATTGTCAAAAAAAATCCTGGGATTGCAAAAAGAAAAGATCTTGGAATTGTCAAAAAAAATATCCTGGGATTGGCAAAAAAAAATAAAGGAATTGACAAAAAAATAAAGGAATTGCAGAAAAAAAAATCCTGGAATTGACAAAAAAATAAAAGAATTGGCAAAAAAAAATCCTGGAATTCTCAAAAAAAAAAAAAAAAAAGAATTGCCAAAGCGCTCCTGGAATTCCCCCCCCAAAAAAAAAAATCCTGGGATTGATAAAAAAATAAAGGAATTGCAAAAAAAATCCTGGAATTGCCAAAAAAAAATCCTGGAATTGCAAAAATAAAAGAATCTTGGGATTGTCAAAAAAAATCCTGGGACTGGCAAAAAAAATAAAGGAATTGACGAAAAAAAAAAGGAATTGCAGAAAAAAATCCTGGAATTGACAAAAAAATAAAAGAATTGGCAAAAAAAAATCCTGGAATTCTCAAAAAAAAAAAAAAAAAAAGAATTGCCAAAGCACTCCTGGAATTCCCCCCCCAAAAAAAAAAATCCTGGGATTGATAAAAAAATAAAGGAATTGCAAAAAAAAATCCTGGAATTGCCAAAAAAATCCTGGAATGGCAAAAAAAAAATAAAGGAATTGACAAAAAAAATTAAGGAATTAGCAAAAAAAATCTTGGAATTGCAAAAAAAAAAATCCTGGAATTGCAAAAATAAAAGAATCTTGGAATTGTCAAAAAAAAATCCTGGGATTGGCAAAAAAAATCTTGGAATTGCAAAAAAAAAAAAATCCTGGAATTGCAAAAATAAAAGAATCTTGGAATTGTCAAAAAAAAATCCTGGGATTGGCAAAAAAAAATAAAGGAATTGACAAAAAAATAAAGGAATTGCAGAAAAAAAAATCATGGAATTGACAAAAAAATAAAAGAATTGGCAAAAAAAAATCCTGGAATTCTCAAAAAAAAAAAAAAAAAAAAGAATTGCCAAAGCACTCCTGGAATTCCCCCCCCCAAAAAAAAAATCCTGGGATTGATAAAAAAATAAAGGAATTGCAAAAAAAATCCTGGAATTGCCAAAAAAAAATCCTGGAATTGCAAAAATAAAAGAATCTTGGGATTGTCAAAAAAAATCCTGGGACTGGCAAAAAAAATAAAGGAATTGACGAAAAAAAAAAGGAATTGCAGAAAAAAATCCTGGAATTGACAAAAAAATAAAAGAATTGGCAAAAATAATCCTGGAATTGGCAAAAAAAAATCTGGAATTGACAACAAAAGTAAAAGAATTGGCAAAAAATATCCTGGAATTCTCAAAAAAGAAAAAATCCTGGAACTGACAAAAAAAACAAAAAAAAAAAAAAAAGAAATTGCCAAAAAAATGAAGGAATTTGCAAAAAAAAATCCTGGAATTGCAAAGAAAAATCCTGGAATTGTATAAAAAATGCTGGAATTCCCTAAAAAAATTCCAGAATTCCCCCAAAAAATCCAGAATTTCCAAAAAAATACAAAATTCCCCAAAAAAACCTGGAATTCTCCCCAAAAAAAAGCCCCAAGTCCAACCCCTGCAATGGGGTGGGAGCTCCTCCTGTCACAAGGTCAGGAGCTCGTTAACGAGGGACTCCTTAATGAGGCATTAATTAACGAGGGACTCATTAATGAGGGATTAATTAACGAGGGACTCATTAATGAGGGGCCCCAGGGGGAACTGAGGAGGGGGCGAAGGGAGATTGGAGAAAAACACGAATTTCACCCCAAAATCCAACCCCAAATCCCTCCAGGAGCCACAAAATTCCCAAAAAAATCTCATTTTTTCCTCTCAAAATCCACCCCAAACCCCTCAGGAACCCCAAAAATCTCAATTTCACCTCAAAATCCAACCCAAAACCCTTCAGGAACCCCAAATTCCCCCAAAAATCAATTTTTTTTCCCCTCAAAATCCAACCCCAAATCCCCTCAGGAACCTCAAATTCCCAAAAAATCAGAATTTTTTCCCTCAAAATCCAGCCCCAAAACCCTTCAGGAACCCCAAATTCCCCCAAAAATCAGAATTTTTCCCTCAAAATTTAACCCTAAATCCCCTCAGGAACCCCAAATTCCCAAAAAATCAGAATTTTTTTTCCCTCAAAATTTAACCCTAAATCCCCTCAGGAACCCCAAATTCCCCCTAAATCTCAATTTTTACCTCAAAATCCAACCCTAAATCCCCTGAGGAACCCCAAAATGCCTCAGGGACCCCAAATCCCCCAAAATCAGAATTTTGTCCCACAAATTCCAACCCCAAAACCACTCAGGGACCCCAAAATCCCCTCAGGAACCACAAAAATCAAAAACCATCACAATTTTCCCCACAAAATCCAACCCTAAAACACCTCAGGAACCCCAAAACCCTCAATTTTTACCTCAAAACCCACCCCAAACCCCTCAGGAACCCCAAAAACCTCAATTTTCACCTCAAAATTCAATCCTAAATCCCCTCAGGAACCGCAAATTCCCCTCAGGAACCACAAAATCAAAAAACATCACAATTTTCCCCACAAAATCCAACCCTAAAACCCCTCAGGAACCCCAAAAATCCCAATTTTTACCTCAAAGCACAGCTCCAAACCCCTCAGGAACCCCAAAAAATTCCAATTTTTACCTCAAAACACAGCTCCAAACCTCTCAGGACCTCCAAAAATCCCAATTTTTACCTCAAAGCACAGCTCCAAACCCCTCAGGAACCCCAAAAATCCCAATTTTTCCCTCAAAACACAGCTCCAAACCCCTCAGGAACCCCAAAAACCTCAATTTTCACCTCAAAATTCAATCCTAAATCCCCTCAGGAACCGCAAATTCCCCTCAGGAACCACAAAATCAAAAACCATCACAATTTTCCCCACAAAATCCAACCCTAAAACCCCTCAGGAACCCCAAAAATCCCATTTTTTACCTCAAAGCACAGCTCCAAACCCTTCAGGAACCCCAAAAATCCCATTTTTTACCTCAAAACACAGCTCCAAACCCCTCAGGAACCCCAAAAATCTCAATTTTCACCTCAAAAATCAATCCTAAATCCCCTCAGGAACCCCAAATTCCCCTCACGAACCACAAAATCAAAAAGCATCACAATTTTCCCCACAAAATCCAACCCTAAATCCCCTCAGGAACCCCAAAAATCCCAATTTTTACCTCAAAACCCACCCCAAAACCCTCAGGACCCCCAAAAATCCCAATTTTTACCTCAAAACCCACCCCAAACCCCTCAGGAACCCCAAAAACCTCAATTTTTACCTCAAAATTCAATCCTAAATCCCCTCAGGAATTGAAAATTCCCCCCACGAACCACAAAATCAAAAACCATCACAATTTTCCCCACAAAATCCAACCCTAAAACCCCTCAGGAACCCCAAAAATCCCAATTTTTACCTCAAAACCCACCCCAAACCCCTCAGGACCCCCAAAAATCCCAATTTTTACCTCAAAACACAGCTCCAAACCCCTCAGGAACCCCAAAAATCCCAATTTTTACCTCAAAACCCACCCCAAACCCCTCGGGACCCCCAAAAATCCCATTTTTAACCTCAAAGCACAGCTCCAAACCCCTCAGGACCCCCAAAAATCCTAATTTTTACCTCAAAACCCACCCCAAACCCCTCAGGAACCCCAAAAACCTCAATTTTTACCTCAAAATTCAATCCTAAATCCCCTCAGGAACTGCAAATTCCCCTCAGGAACCACAAAATCAAAAACCATCACAATTTTCCCCACAAAATCCAACCCTAAAACCCCTCAGGACCCCAAAAAAATCACAATTTTTAGCTCAATACCCACCCCAAACCCCTCAGGAACCCCAAAAATCCCAATTTTTACCTCAAAGCACAGCTCCAAACCCCTCAGGAACCCCAAAAACCTCAATTTTTACCTCAAAACACACCCCAAACCCCTCAGGAACCCCAAAAATCCGAATTTTTACCTCAAAACCCACCCCAAACCCCTCAGGAACCCCAAAACTCCCAATTTTTACCTCAAAACCCACCCCAAACCCCTCAGGAACCCCAAAATCCCATTTTTTACCTCAAAACCCACCCCAAACCCCTCAGGAACCCAAAAAAATCCCAATTTTTACCTCAAAACCCACCCCAAACCCCTCAGGAACCCCAAAAATCCCAATTTTTACCTCAAAACACAGCTCCAAACCCCTCAGGAACCCCAAAAATCCCAATTTTTACCTCAATACCCACCCCAAACCCCTCAGGAACCCCAAAAATCCCAGTTTTTACCACAAAGCCCAGCTCCAAACCCCTCAGGAACCCCAAAAATCCCAATTTTTACCTCAAAGCACAGCTCCAAACCCCTCAGGAACCCCAAAAACCTCAATTTTTACCTCAAAATTCAATCCTAAATCCCCTCAGGAACCGCAAATTCCCCTCAGGAACCACAAAATCAAAAACCATCACAATTTTCCCCACAAAATCCAACCCTAAAACCCCTCAGGAACCCCAAAAAAATCACAATTTTTACCTCAAAATTCAATCCTAAATCCCCTCAGGAACCCCAAAAATCACCTTTTTTACCTCAAAACACAGCTCCAAACCCCTCAGGACCCCCAAAAATCCCAATTTTTCCTCAAAACCCACCCCAAACCCCTCAGGACCCCCAAAAATCCGAATTTTCCCCTCAGGACCCCCCAAATCTCCGTTTCCCGCCCCCCCGGCCCCTCCCCTCCCTCAGGGCTCGCGCCCCTCAGAACTACAACTCCCGGCAGCCCCCGCGGCCCCCGGCACAAAAACCCCCCGGGGGGACTCCCGAGCGTTCCGGGGCCTCCCGACGCCGCCGCCTTCGCTGTTTGAAGGCCTCCAAAACCTTCCCGCAGCCTTTTCCAAACGGGCCTTACCGGAAAACGGCGGAAATCGGCGGCGGCAGCGCACCGAGTCCCCCCCTCCCGCCGCCCCCGGTGCCCGCCGGGGGTCTGAGGGCTGAGGGGAAAGGGGGGGGGGGGATGTTGGTTGTCACTCACCGGCGGCGCGAGCGCTGCGGCCAATGGGGGGGCGCGGCGGAAGCGGCGCGAGCGCCCCGGCCAATGAGGGGGGGCGGCGCGAGCGCACCGGCCAATGAGACCCCCGCACCCCCCCCCCGGTTCCTCTCGGTGAAAGCGTCTCCGGCGGATCTGGCGGAAAGGGCCGAGCGCGGCCCGAGCGAGGCCGAAGGGGAGGGGCGGGGCTTAAGGAAAAGGCGGGAAGACCTCCGGGCCGCTAGGGGGCGCTGCAGGGTTGGTGTGAGGGGGGAACGTCTTAAAGGCGCAGGACACGTTTTGAGTGTGTGGGGGGGGGGATCCCCGGAATTTGGGGGTGTCCCCCCTCTAAATTGGGGGCGCCGCAGGGAAAATGGGGAGTCCTTGACTCCAAAATGGGGTTTCGCCCCGAAATTAATGGGGGAATAATAAAATGGGAGCCCCAAAACTGGGGATACCCCCCCGCGCCCCCCCCCCGAAAAAGTGGGACCAGCCCAAAGATGGGATCCCCTCAAAACTGGGGATCCCCCCCTAAATTGGGATCCCACCCCCAACTGAGGATCCTCCCCCAAACTGGGGTTTCCCCTCTAAAATGGGATTCCCCCCCCCCCAAACTGGGAATCCCCCCCAAACTGGGACCCCCCCAAACTGGGATTTCCCCTCTAAACTGGGATTTCTCCCCCCAAACTGGGATTTCCCCTCTAAACTGAGATTTCTCCCCCCAAACTGGGATTTCCCCCCCGAAACTGGGACACCCCCCGCCCGTCTGGGAGGCCCCGCCCCTCTCCCTCATCCTTCTCATTTACATACGGCTGCGCCAGGACCAATCAGCGGCCACGGCAGCGCCGCGTGCAGCCAATCAAAGCGTTCGCCGCAAGCCCCGCTCGGCGCGGACGCGCGACCAATCAGAAGAGAGGACGGAGAGCTTTATTTGCATATAGGCGTGTGGGGCGTGCCCGAGCTTATTTGCATACAGCGCGGGAATATTTGCATGGAGGGCACTCATTTGCATAGAGCGCGGGTTCATTTGCATACAAGGCGCGCCCCGCGGGGGTTTCGGACGGGGGACCCCCCAAAACGTCCCCAAAATTCACCCAAATCCTCCCAGGTCCCCCCAAATCCTCCCAGGACCCCCCAAAATCTCCCCAAAATTCACCCAAATCCTTCCCGGTCCCCCAAATCCTCCCAGGACCCCCCAAATCCTCCCAGGACCCCCCAAAATCTCCCCAAAATTCACCCAAATCCTTCCCGGTCCCCCAAAATCTCTCAGGACACCCCCCCAAAACCTCCTCAGGACCCCCCCCCAAACCCCCTCAGGACCCCCCAAAATCTCCCCAAATCCTCTCAGATCCCCCCAAACCCTTCAGGACCCTTCAAAATCTTCCCAGGACCCCCCGAGTCCTTGGGATCATCCCCGGGAGAATTCCGGGGCATAGATCCTTTGGGATCCCCCAAATCCTGGGGGTGATCCTGGGGATCGATCCCCCAAATCCCTGGGAGCATCCTGGGACTGGTTCCCTCAAAATCTGGGATCATCCCAGGGTGGATCCCCCAAAATCTGGGATTATCCCGGGACCGGATCCCTCAATCCACTGGATCAGCCCAGGGAGGATCCCCAAATCCCCGGGATCATCCCAGGGTGGATTCCCCCCAAATCTGGGATCATCCCGGGACTGGATCCCCCAAATCCCCGAGATCATCCCAGGGGTGGTTCCCCCAAACTCCAGGATCATCCCAGGACTGGGTTCCCCAAAATCTGGGATCATCCCGGGACTGGATCCCCCAAATCCCGGGACCGGATCCCCCAAATCCCTGACATGATCCCACAACTGGATCCCCAAACTCTGGGATCATCCTGGGACCAGATCCCCCAAATCCCAGGACCGGATCTCCCAAATCCCTGAGATTATCCCAGAACTGGATCCCCAAATCCCCGGGATCATCCTGGGGGTGGATCCCCCAAAATCTGGGATCATCCCAGGACTGGATCCCCCAAAATCTGGGATCATCCTGGGACTGGATCCCCCAAATCCATGAGATGATCCCAAGGTGGATCCCCAAAATCCCCGGGATCATCCCAGGACCGGATCCCCCAAATCCCCCCAAATCCCCCCAGACCCCCCAAACCTCCCAGACCCCCCAAACCCCACTGGATCCCATTGGATCCCAATGGATCCCTCGGGATCGGGGTAATGGCGACTGACGTAGACGCTCTGCCCGTCGATCCCGATGGATCCCAATGGATCCAAATTGATCCGATGGAACCCATTGATCCCAATGGAGCCCGATGGATCCCAATCGATCCGATGGAACCCATTGATCCCGATGGATCCCGATGGATCCCTACGGATCCCTCGGGATCTCAGTAATGACGACTGACGTAGACGCTCTGCCCGTCGATCCTGATGGATCCCGATAGATCCGATGGATCCGATGGATCCCGATGGATCCCTTGGGATCTCAGTAATGGCGGCTGACGTAGACGGTCTCCCCGTTGATCCCGATGGATCCAATGGATCTGATGGATCCCGCTGGATCCCTATGGATCTCAGTAATGGCGGCTGACGTAGACGCTCTGCCCGTCGATCCCGATGGATCCAATGGATCCCGATGGATCCAATGGAGCCCATTGATCCCGATGGATCCCAATGTATCCAAATGGATTCCAATTGATCCAATGGAGCCCATTGATCCCGATGGATCCCAATGGATCCAAAGGGATTCCAATGGATCCGACGGGTCCCATCAGATCCCAATGGATCCCTCGGGATCACGGTAGTGTCAGCTGACATAGACGCTCTTCCCGTCGATCCCGATGGACCCAATGGATCCCGATGGCGCCGATGGCTCCAATGGCTCCAACGGATCCCGATGGATCCGATGGATCCGATGGATCCCAATGGATCTCAGTAATGGCGGCTGACGTAGACGCTCTGCCCGTCGATCCCGATGGATGCAATGGATCCGATGGATCCCGATGGATCCCGATGGATCCAATGGCTCCAATGGCTCCAATGGCTCCAATGGATCCGATGGATCCAGTGGATCCCGATGGATCCCTATGGATCTCAGTAATGCCGGCTGACGTAGACGCTCTGCCCGTCGATCCCGATGGATCCAATGGCTCCAATGGCTCCAATGGCTCCAATGGCTCCAGTGGATCCCGATTGATCCCGATGGATCCCAATGGAGTCCAATGGATCCGATGGATCCCTAGGGGTCCCAATGGATCCCGATTGATCCGATGGATCCAAATGGATCCCATTGGGTCCCAATTGATCCAATGGACCCCGATGGATCCAATGGGTCGTGATTGATCCCGTCGATCCCAATGGATCCAATGGGTCCCAATGGGTCCCAATGGATCCAATGGGTCCCAATGGCTCCAATGGATCCGATTGATCCAATGGATCCGCTGGATCCCTCGGGATCTCAGTAATGGCGGCTGATGTAGACGCTCTGCCCGTCGATCCCGATGGATCCAATGGATCCAATGGCTCCCAATGGATCCCAATGGCTCCAATGGCTCCAATGGATCCCATGGATCCCATGGATCCCATGGATCCCTCGGGATCTCAGTAGTGCCGGCTGACGTAGACGCTCTGCCCGTCGATCCCGATGGATCCCGATAGATCCGATGGCTCCAATGGCTCCAGTGGATCCCAATGGATCCCGCTGGATCCCTCGGGATCTCAGTAGTGCCGGCTGACGTAGACGCTCTGCCCGTCGATCCCGATGGATCCAATGGATCCAATGGATCCCATGGATCCCAATGGATCTCAGTAGTGGCGGCTGACGTAGACGCTCTGCCCGTCGAACTCGTCGCCGCCGAGGCAGCGCAGGAGGAAGTGGCCGAGGTCGGGCGCCGAAATCTCCCGGGAGGCTCCGGGGCCGCCGGCGGCTCCGACCGTCACCTCGTAGTCGCCGGTCAGCGGCCGCTCCGCTGCCGCCCCCAAATCACAATTAGCACTTTTTTTAGAATTTATCCCAGTTTTTCCCAATTATCCCAGTTTTTCCCATTTTTCCCCTTTTTCCCCCTGAATTTCCTCAAATATTCCATTTTTTCCCCCCATTTTAACCCCTAATTTCCCCCCAAATCTCCCTAATTTTCCTCCCAATTTTACCCCAAATTTCCCCAAAATTTCCCCCTCCTTTCCCCCCAAATTCCCCCCAAATTCCTCCAATTTTTCCCCCATTTCCCCCCAATTTTTCCACATTTTTTCCCCATTTCCACCCAAAGTTCCCCAATTTCCCCCAAAATTTTCCCTGTTTTTCCCCCAATTTTCCCTGATTTCCCCCCCAAATTTCCCCAAAATTTCCCTGTTTCTTCCCCTATTTACCCCCATTTTGCCCCCAATTTTTGCCCCAAATTCCCCCAAAATTTCCCCCCCTTCCCTCAATTTTCCCCCAAATTTTCCCCATCTTTCCCACCAAAATTCCCCCAATTTCCCCAATTTTTCCCCCTGAATTTCCCCAAATATTCCCAATTTTTCCCTCATTTTCTCCCCAATGTTTTTCCCGATTTTCCCTCATTTTCCCCCCAATTCCCCCCCAATTTTCCCCCCAAATTTTCCCCAATTTCCCCCAAATTTTCCCAATTTTCCCCCTTCTTTTTGGTCACTTTTCACCCATTTTTTCCCATTTTTTCCCCAATTTTTTCCCATTTTTCCCCCAAATTTCCCACCAAATCTCCCCATTTTTTTCCCCAATTCCCCCCCAAATTCCCCCCAAATTTTCCTCAAGTTTTCCCTCTTTCTTCCCCTATTTTGCCCCATTTCCCCCCCCATTTTCCCCCCAATTTTCCCCAAAATTTCCCCCCATTTCCCCCTCCTTTCCCTCTATATTCCCCCAAATTTTCCCCATCTTTCCCCCCAAATTCTTCCCAAATTCCCCCCAATATCCCCCCAAATTTTCCCCCATTCCCCCCAAATCTTCTGGTTTCTCCCCCAATATTTTCCTAATTATCCCTCCCAAAACTTTCCCAAATTCCCCCCAATTTCCCTCAAAATTCCCCCCAAATTTTCCCCAATTTTTCCCCCTGAATTTCCCCAAATATTTCAAATTTTCCCTCATTTACCCCCTATTTTCTCCCCAATTTTTTCCCCAATTTTCCCCCCAACTTCCCCCCAATTCCCCCCCAATTCCCCCCCGGGAATTTTCCCAAAACCCGCAGAATTCCCCCCAAACCCGCAGTACCGGCGATGTGCGGGGGCATGACGAGCACGGAGCGCAGCGGCGCCGCGCGGAGGATCCGCTCCGGCTGTTCCCATTTCCACCCGTTCTCCCCCCAAATTTCCCCCATTTCCTCCCCAATTTCCCCCAAAATTTTCCCCAAATTTTCACTCTTTCTTACCCTATTTTCTCTCATTTTCCCCCCAATTTTTCCCCAAAATTTCCCCCATTTCCCCCTTCTTTCCCTCAATTTTCCCCCAAATTTTCCCCATCTCTCCCCCCAAATTCCTCCCAAATTCCCCCGAATTTTCTCCAATTTTCCCCCATTTCCCCCAAAATTTTTTCCCATTTTCCCCCATATCTCCCAAATTTTCCCCATTTTTGCCCCCAAATTCCCCCCAATTTTCTCAAATTTTCCCCCATTTCCCACCAAAATTTCCCCAAAATTTCCCCCCATTTCCCCCTCCTTTCCCTCAATTTCCCCCCAAATTTTCCCATCCTTCCCCCCAAATTCCTCCCAAATTCCCCCAAATTTTCCCCATTTCCCTCCAATTTCCCCCGAATTTTCCCCCATTTTCCCCCATTTCTCCCAAATTTTCCCCATTTTTGCCCCCAAATTTCCCCCAATTTTCTCCCATTCTTCCCCCATTTACCCCCAAATTTTCCCCAATTTCCCCCCAAATATTCCCCCATTATTCCCTAAGATTTCCCCCATTTTCCCCCCATTTTTTCCCAAATTCCCCCCAATTTCCCCCCAAATTCCCCCCAATTTCCCCCCATTTCCCCCAATTTCCCCCATTTTCTCCCCATTTCCCCCCAAATTTTCCCCATTTCCACCCAAATTTCCCCATTCCCCCCCAAATTTTCCCAATTTTTCCCAATTTTTCCCCTTCTTTTTGGTCACTTTTCATCCATTTTTTCTCCATTTTTTCCCCAATTTTTTCCCATTTTTCCCCCAAATTTCCCCCCCAAATCTCCCCATTTTTCCCCCCAATTTTTTCCCCTGAATCTCCCCCCATTTTTCCCCATATTCCCCCCCGGGAATTTTCCCAAAATCCGCAGAATTCCCCCCAAATCCCGTACCGGCGATGTGCGGGGGCATGACGAGCACGGAGCGCAGCGGCGCCGCGCGGAGGATCCGCTCCGGCTTTTCCCATTTCCACCCGTTCTCCCCCCAAATTTCCCCATTTCCTCCCCAATTTCCCCCAAATTTTCCCCATCTCTTCCCCCAAATTCCCCCCAAATTTCCCCCAATTTTCTCCAATTTTCCCCCATTTCCCCCAAATTTTTTCCCGTAAATTCCCACATTTCCCCCCAAATTTTCCCCATCTTTCTCCCTCAATTCCTCCCAAATTCCCCCCAATTTTCTCAAATTTTCCCCATTTCCCCCCAAATTTTTTCCCCATTTCCCCCAAGTTCTCCCCAATTTTCCACATTTTTGCCCCTAAATTCCCCCCAATTTTCCCCAATTTTTCCCCCAATTTCCCCCAAATTTTATCAACTTTTCCCCTTGTTTTTGCTCACTTTTCACCCATTTTTAGCCATTTTTTCTCATTTTTTTCCCCATTTTTTCCCCAATTTCTCCCCATTTCCCCCCCC